GTGTTTCATTTGTCAAGTGTGGCAGACTTGTGAGTATTATCAAAGACTAAGTAAATATCACCACAAGATAACATTCTTTATTCTCTCAAGTTGGGTACTTTAGAGGTTCTTAACCTCACAAAATTCTCAATAGACAAGACAATTCGGAAGGAGATGCAAATAAATTTCATTCAATTCAAAACCTTGCAAAGTGGAACCTTTTTAATCACAAACAAGAAGAATATATACCTGCAACTTGACTTTTATATCCAAGACCATTCGATCTCTTTCTGCCTGCACACAGTAGTTACGATATTACTAAAAGGCGAAGAAGTAATGGCGTGACATTTAGAATGGACGTGTTGTGGATCTTTTTTTGTCATTTTCGATTCAGTTATCAATCTTATTCATTTGATATCTTAATTGCATAAATTTCTATGTAATGGTTGATCAGTCTAGTTTAATTGACTATCCACGCATGTCAGACCCATGGCACCTCTTCATGTCATATTGATATGCTTGAAGCCATGCATGAGAGACAAGATTAGAGTCAGCACTTACAGCCCTCTCCCTTGAACTGAAACTGTCTTCTTTGGTGTTCTTCCCTGGCGGTGAGCTGCAGTTGGAAGATCTAGAAAATAAGTAAGGCGATCAGATAGCTGTTCCAAGCAAATCAGGATATACCTTGGAGGATACCTTCCATTGGATTCAAGAGCCCCGCTTGCTGCTGCAAGGATCTGCTTTCGCTTTTCTTCTTGTTCCTCCGACCTAGCATTCGCAGGAAACCTGTCATAGGTATACCTGGTGGCTGACAAAAAGAATAAAGATGGATCAGAACATGATCCCAAACTCCGTGGTAGACGGACAATTTTCCCAGAAGAAATAGAACGGACTGTTAGATTCATAGTAGTGTTTCTACTGTTATGTATACTACACCAGCTTGGAAATTTTTGTCCCTGTCTAACTACTGGTAGCCAGCCAAAACCCACGAGATTTACATCATTCAGCTTCTCCGATTTAACGAATACTACCAAACAAAAGATCAGAATGTACCTGCTTCTTCAACTTCTGGCTCAGCTATTGTGATTATCTCAGGCTCCATAGAAGATTTAGGCAAAATAGACATCGCATCTTGACCCCTTCCAACTGCGTCTTGTAACTTCTCAAGGAGATTAGTACTGTTCTCATCAAAGCTTAGACGCCTTTCAAGGTAATCGAGGAATGCAAAAGAGCCCAGGAATTGAACCAACTGTGAAAGAGTACCGATAAACAACAGTTATTGAACGGATAAAACGTGACTTAAATTATTCAGCACTTTTGGATGAACACAGATATATAGTCACAACTCAACGTAATATATGAAAAGACTGTTTACCATACAGATTGGAGCAGTAACGAGTAAACATGTTGAGTTATCAAATGCAGCAACTGTAAATATATGCCTTCACAAAGAAAGAGATAAGCTTACCATAGGTTCCGGTGGCTGATTGGTGGATCGTGACCGTCTCTTCAGAAATGCATCAGTGCTAAAAACTTTGTTTTCCTGACAAAAGAAGTTATATAGGTGAAAAAATGTGTGCAGAAGAGTAGATAATAATATAAGTAAAGAGTAAGGATCACATACTATGAAATTGCGGTAGCCACCCAAGATAGATGCAAAAAACTTTAAGAATATAACCCTGCCAGAGGAAATGGATTTTGTATAACAAAACAAGAGAACATAAGTACCCAAAAAAAAATTCCATGGAAAAAGATAATAAAATTTAGGGTAACTTATGACGAAAGTCACCTGAGTTGAAGATCATGATCCTCTCCCCACGGTTTGCTAAGGTTTTTAGGGCATTGCTCAACAGAATTACCAAAGCCCTTTAACTGATCGATCGCCACAACATTCGGGTGCAATAGTTTCAAGATATCGTTTCGCAAAGAGCTGAACTCAGGCTCTGGTAACGGAGGTATCTCCTCAGAAGTAGTAATTTGGTTAGATTCAAGATCCACCACTACAACCTACAAGAGGGAATGTTGTGAGACCGATATCAGGTTGTCTAAATACTAAAGAGGATAATACGAGTTAGAATTAAACTCACGCCATCCATAGCAAGATACGATGTATCGACTTCAGAGTGGAGGCCCATCATATAAGGTGTTGGTGCATCAATGTAGTCTACTCCACTAAAAAATAGTAATGGAATGTAGACTTGCTTCAAAAACATACAACAAAACAAAGAATAAAGATTAGAAGAAATGCAAATGGCTTTGCTAGTTCCCTGTCCAGACTTGCATCAGAAACATTAAATCAAACAAAGGATAAAGACTATAATCAAAATATTCAACTTTCATTCACAGTGTATGTATTGAGTCAGCAAGCTTAAAAATGAGTTCATATTTTTCTAAGTGATCAATTGAGATCTCATCAGTGTTCTAAGACATACCTGCCATCGGAAAGGATAAATCAAGTGACATATAGCTTCAGACACCAGCGTCAAAAGCGAATACCTGTTGAGGGTCACAATGAAGCCAAATAAGTGTGATGCTTAAACAGAGATGATATGCAAATTGTAATCGTTTCAAAACAACAATAAATATGTCAACGCAAAATATTAAGGGTAAAACACGTTTAGAAAATGTCACTTATACTCATTAATTTTCTAAATAGAGAGAGTTACTTGTTAGATCGAAGCAAAATCCTCCTTTCAACTAGTACAGATGTAAACAGCTTAATCAAGTTGTCGACATCCAAGCACTGTACAAGAGGTTGGAGAGATATCTGCATTCAGTAAAACCATGCCAAACATCACATACATTAACTGGAAAAAGACATTAAAGAAATCAAGGAACTCTCGCCCTTGTTCTTGAAGTTGTCAGGAAATCAGAACCACAAAGTGGCAAAGCAAACGCACTCAAAACAAATTAAGGAGAGAAAAGCATAAGTCATACATCTGCCTGAGGAAGACTGTCCTCTGGAGGTGCTTCCACCGAAAGCAAGCAATTCTCGACGGCAAACAAGACTCTATCTTTTCCCGGAGTCGGCAATGGCACATTAGCTACCATATAGGAGATAATATCCCACAATGGTTTACTGAAAAGGTTCAAGAAAGCAGACCATTAACATCAACTTTAAACATAAGAATGGGGATTGCTTTCATTGTTTTGTAGAGAAAAGTTTTATAAAATCACCACAAAAGTAAATGAAAAGGCATGAACATACTGAATAAAATAATATAAACAAGCAGTAACGCAAGGCAAATTCAAGTGAGATATCGACAAGACAGAGATGTTTTCAAGCACAGTGCTTACCAGCTTCCTTCCGAGGAGAAGCAAAGAAGGAAAATCTCTTCGAGAGAATCACGAAGCGCACGGAAATTGGGGGCATGAGACACGATACATATACACTTGTCTGCATATGTATCCGGTGGCAAGCGATAAGCTTCAGCAATATCCTCACAGACTCGATCCTTGAATGCAATGCAGCTGACAAATATTTTTGACCCATCACCCTCTGTGGTAAAAAAGGGTATATACAAATGAGTACTCCTCTAAAATAATCACAGCCACATTTCAAAAGCAAATAAAACTCCAAATAATCACAAACCCGTCAAGACAATGGGATAGCTCCTTGGGAAACTCGCAGGGTCACTGGAAACAAACCCAGAAGTATGGAATCCAACCCCAGCCGGAAGAACACACTATCAAACAAGAAAAGAAGCTAAACCATGAAAATCACCCCGAGTTTAATATATATAGTCACTTCAACTACTCAAGCACTGGAATCCTCAAACAGATAATTCATTTCAATCTGGACCAAGCTAAAATGTTAATCCAATTCGAAGCCAAATTGAAAGATTCAAACTAAAATTAAGCATCTCCAGTTACTAAATGCTCGCTCTAACCAGGAAAATCAGAGCAAAATACATAAGAACCCGAAGCAACTAAACAAAGCGGATACAGTTCTCAAATTCCACATTTCATCGCCGTTTAACAACAAAGCATCACCCAACACCAACCTAAAACCCAATCAAAATCCTTGAAAAAATCGAAAATCTCGAAGGAACATTTCAAAATGGGTTTCTCCAACTTACAGTGGGAAGCTGAGGAGGAGGAGGAGGGTAGAGAGAATGATCAGAAGGAGGGAACTGGTCTAGAAGCGAAGGCAAGTAACTGTTCTCCAATCCATGGAACCCGAGATCTCCGTCGAGGGTTCGCATCTCCGGACCCAGTCCGCAGACGACGAAGTACTCGAAGATCCGACCCATTGCCTTCCTCGGGATCTAGACTGGGCTCTAGAGCATGATCCTAGATTTCGATTTTGGCGGATTTCGTCGAAAGAGAAGAGAAAATGGCTACTATGGTGGTGAATTGGTGAATGATGGAGAAGTAGTTGCTTCAATTCGTAAAATCGAATGAGAAAATCAGAAAAAAAAAAAAAAAAAAAAAAAAACGTTTCCCATTTGGCCATTTCACACAAAATACAACCAATTATTCGTTTTTTATTTGAATGTTTGCAAAAAATAACAAACATAAACAAAAACAGAATTTCTGATTCTGATGTTAAGAGTAAAAATGGCAAAAAATTTGATTCTTTTTTTACGTCAAAAATTGATTACAAAGAGTTTTAATATTTTTTTGGTAAAAGAAGAGTTTATATGATGAGTTCGATAAATACTTAAAAAGTAGAAAAAAATTGTAGAGAAAAAATACTGTAATTCACAGCAAAATCATTTTGTTTTCCTCACCCACCCAATTTATAGGATTTTAAAAAGAGAAAAACATATTTTCCTTAGAAAAGAAAATTCTATAGGGTTTAACGAGATTTATATTTTTTCTGTCATTTAATTATATTTATTTTAATTTGAAAGAGAGGACCTATCCTTCCTCGCACCTGCACATTTGGCTTCTGTACAAAGCCTCTTGACTCTTTGACCACTTCTCCTACTATGCAATAGCAAATTTTTCTCCACTTGCTGTTTCCATTCTCTATCCCGATCGGAAAATTCGTGTGATTTCGATCGGAGAATCACAGAATGGAGCCGGATCTTCATGGCCATCAACAACAGCGAGTCCACAGCGTAGTCATAATCACTCTCCCACCACCCGATGATCCTTCAAAAGGCAAAACAATCTCTGCTTACACCCTCACTGACCACGAGTACCCACCTGAAATCCACCCCGAGGACGAGCTAAACCGGAGTTTTCAACCCGACCCGCTTCACCAGCAATCCGGACTCTGGTTCTCGGATCTCACCGTGAGCTCGCCGAGGTTAGTGCTGGGTCTCCTCGGTCTCTCGCTTCTCGCGATTGCTTTCTACGGCTCTGTTTTCCCAAACACTATTGAGATGTTCAGTGTTTCCGAAGAGAGGGATCGTGACGATGATAGTCTCCGTGAAACGACGTCGTTCGTTTTCCCGGTGTATCACAAATTGAGAGCTCGAGAGATCCCTGACCGGAAATTAGCGGAAGTTTTGGGTATAGTAGAGAATGAAATTGTGGAATCAATTGATCAAGAGCTGGTCAACCCTGTAAAAGTCAACAGTTTGTTATCTGCAAGCTCTACGATTTTTCCCTCTATTGGAAATGTGTATCCAGATGGGTATGTTAAAGTTATTGCATGTTTAAAACTTTGAAAATCCGAATGTGTTTTTGGTTTCTTCAAGCACAAGAAAACAAAGCTTCGTCTTTTGTTTTTTGTTGTTGCAGGCTCTATTTCACTCGCATTCTTCTTGGGAGCCCTGAAGATGGACACTACTTTCATCTTGACATCGATACTGGAAGTGACTTGACTTGGATCCAGTGTGATGCGCCTTGTACTAGTTGCGCTAAGGTAAAGATCCAGTTTTTTTTTAGAGTTTTAGGAGAATTTTCTCTGTGAAAACTGTTGATGGACGTTCTGTGATTTTGGTGGGACTTAGGGAGTAAATCAACTGTATAAGCCAAGAAAAGATATGTTAGTGAAATCCAGTGAACGGTTATGTGTAGAAGTCCAGAGGAATAATCAAGTGGCAGAACATTGCGAGAGTTGTGAACAATGTGACTACGAGATTGAGTATGCTGATCGTAGCTCTTCAATGGGAGTTCTCACCAAAGATGAGCTTCATCTCAAACTCCACAACGGATCACTTGCCAAGTTGGATGTAGTTTTCGGGTAACAGTTTTGTGATTTTGTAACGTGAATATCTGAGTGTTCTGTTCTCATGTTGGTGATGACTTAAAGCTTCTGTGATTGGAACTTTTAAGGTGCGGATATGACCAGCAAGGCCTACTGTTGAACACTCTGCTAAAGACAGACGGGATTCTCGGTCTAAGCAGAGCTAAGATTAGTTTGCCTTCTCAGCTTGCAAGCAGAGGTATCATCAGCAATGTGGTTGGCCATTGTCTTCCCTCTGATTTAAACAGTGAAGGGTTTATCTTCATGGGCAGTGATTTGGTTCCATCACACGGAATGTCATGGTTTCCTATGCATCACCATTCTCACTTGTAAGTGTACACGGTAATCTAAAAACTTCAATTCTTGGTAAATCATTTGCCGGTTTGAATTGTTTTTGGTATATTTCCAAAAGTGTCAATCTTTATTCAGTTGCATGTTCAGAGAAAATTTACATTTTGGGAATCTTGCAGGGAAGTTTATCAGATGCAAGTTACAAAAATGAGCTACGGGAACGGTATGCTTAGCTTAGATGGAGAAAACGGGAGAGTAGGGAAAGTCTTATTCGACACAGGAAGCTCTTATACGTACTTCCCTAACAAGGCTTACTCCCAATTAGTCGCATCAGTAAGTAATCACACTCTGAAACTAAATAGCCTTTTTATTGTCAGATGAAAATCTTCTTATGTTCAATGATGTTTAATGATGATCTTTGTTTGTCAAAAGCTTCAAGAAGTTTCTGGTTTAGAGTTAACACGCGATGAAACAGACAAAACGCTTTCTATATGTTGGCAAGCAAACTTCTTGATCAGGTTAGAATGATTAGGATTTTTCGAGAAACCGATTTGTATCAAAGATCAAATGTTCAAAACTTGTTAATGTTTCCGGTATGTTTTCAGCTCCTTATCGGATGTTAAGCGGTTCTTTAGACCAATAACCTTCCACATAGGGAGCAAATGGTGGATCGTATCGACAAAACTTTTGATTCAGCCAGAGGATTACTTGATCATCAGCGTAAGCACTAAAGAAGCTCTCACTATTGCGATTTACTTGGATTTTGATTTGGCTTTTGTATTTATACTAGTTTCTTTACATGCTTTTTGATGCAGAACAAAGGAAATGTGTGTCTTGGGATATTAGATGGAAGCGGTGTTCATGATGGTTTAACCATTATTCTTGGAGGTAAGCCAAAAAAGGAAACACATAATTATTTGTAAACCCCAATTATCTTGTCTGAATCAAAAATAGTCGAACATGGAACTTGTCAGTAACGTATTTGTTTTGTTCTTGTAGACATATCGATGCGTGGACACATGATCGTATACGACAATGTTAAACGGAAAATCGGATGGATGAAATCAAATTGTGTTCGGCCTCGTGAGTCTGATCACAGTTTACCTTTCTTTCAAGGCTGAAGATTTTACAGTTCTTGCATATGTGTTTTGTACAACGGATAAAATCGACACTTGCGCGGGAGTGTTTACTAGTTGTGTGTAATTACGTGTAAATCACTCTACTAACATAAAATGAAAAAAAGGAAAAGATTAATTGATGTTTAATCTTTAACGTCTCAATTTCCTATACAAACTAAAACGAAACGGTAAAGCATACCATCAATCCAGACAAGGGCTTTTGCGAGATCTCCTAGACTGAGTAATGTCAGAAATGTGTCTGGAGTTGGAGCTTGAGATATAGTAGGAAATATAGTTGAATATCAAGATTTAACGTAATGTATGGTGTGACTTCTGTGTGTAAGACATTTCTTACAATTTCCCCAAGCTCTCTCATGAGCTTCGTTTTTTCTTCTTCTTCAATCCTCATACTTGTTGGGCAAGAAATCTCATTCCAAGTTTCTTAATCATGAGCAATCTGTTGAACACACTACATTTGACAAAGATATTATCACAGGTCTAGTTGAACACTCTACATTTGATATTATCTCTCTCTCGAAAACAAAGGAGAAGTTAAGTAATTCTTTAACGTTAATTGACACACACGAAAAAGTTTTCAGATGATATTAAATAGAAGCTTCATGCTGCTCAGGGTCTTCGATCTTGCCAATGAGACTCATGTGTCCACTTCTGGAATCCACGTCTCTTGTAATGATAGCTCGGCGCTTACTAACCTGACCCTCTCCCAAGTCCTGATCGTATTTGATGTATAAAACTGCATCTTTAAACCCTTTGAGCCTCTCACTCGGCGGCTCCACGTTTTCCTTAGTTTCTACCATGACCTCCACAATCTTCAAATCCGACAGCTTGAGCTGCAATTGGAAACACACCTTTTACATACACTGGAAAAGGTGGTATGTCGTTGCAAAAAAGAAGAAGAAAGACATACATTGTTAGAATAGCGATTGGTTGTGACAAAGGCAAGTTGCAAATACAGAATGATCCAGTCATTTTCTTGCCACTCAGATTCCGGCACCTGCAAAGCAAACAGGACCACTGATCGATCAGTGAAAGCATCAACACACAAAAACATGAATTTTGTATAGTCACTTTCGAGAATCGAGATCTCACCACGTAAAACCGGTTTTGATCAGCCAAGACATCATCTTCCGGCCATTTAGGCACAACAACATGGTAGAACCCAGGTGTCTTTTCAACTTTGGCTTTGGTCCCTAGAGAGATAATTAAGCCACACACACATGACACAACTACAGTAATCAGCAGAGAATGTATATAATCCTGATCGATATTATAATAATGTGATCAAATTAACTAACCTCTCTTTTCTTTGAGTCTAGCAATACGACACTGGACATCCAACACGTTCCACTTTATTTCGTGAATACTGGTCTGAAAAGGGACACGCGTCCCTGTCGCCGGATTCCATGCAACCAAAGTTATGTAATACGTGGAAGGCAGAACGTGAAGGTGTTTGTTATATTTCTGAATGCGATCAAGCTTCAAGTCCGTCCCCTGAAACACGAATAAATACAGGCAAAGCCAAATTGAACCACAACAAAACTGCATAAATCAACAAGAGAGACTCTAGCGTTTAGCTGTAATTATTATTACCTGAATCATATTGTAACGATGAAGACCCATCTTAGCATAAAGGGTGACTTCAAGGGGACAATCCTCATTGGGTTTACACTTGATAACTTGCATTGCACGAAGGCAATGGCAAGGTTCCTTTACATGTTCCACATCGAACCCCTAATTAAGACACCATTAGCAAATACAGTTAGGAAAGATAGATGATCAAAACCAAGCGAGAATAAGAAGAGAGGATTACATCGTATTTCCACACTATATCCCAATACTTGTCCTCATCCTCAGCGATATAGTCCCGTAGTTTCTTTGCTTTCTTCAGGGAAATCTCCCTCGCCGCCTTATTACGAGCCACCTTTGCCCTCGTTAGGTAACGATCCGGATTAACCATATCAGTCTTGTTGGTCTTACCCATTATCGCCGCCACTCGCAAACTTTTCTCACCTCTCTCTGCTCTCGCCGGCTTCTGAATCGTCGATTTAAAACTATGATAACCCTAATTCCTTTTTGGGCCCAAACTGGGTCAAATTAAAACCAAATGAACTTATGATGACATTCTCTGGTAAAAAAACTGTTGATGTAGGATGCCAAGAACAGCAACATTGAGAACATACTTATGCTTGTCTGTATAGATAGGATGAACTACATGGACTTTTTTCAGGTATTTATCTAAATCTGTAAACAGATATTTTCACCATATTTTCACTGAGTTGATGTGTTGTAACTTGTAACAGTCTCATGTAGATGGTTACTCTTCCGTGCGCACCACTCAGTGAAAGGTTAGTTTCTAGAATATCTTTCACGTCTTTTGTATGAGAGATTATCGACTTTGTATGGCCTGCCTCTTTTGTCTCCTCATTGTTGATTGATTAGCTAATTTGGTATGGTTCCTCACTGATGATTTTGTAGATGGTTGATTCAGTAATCTCACACGGATGTTTCCTGCGAGAATGCAGCGTTGAGCGCTCCATCGAAGGTGAACGGTCACGTCTAGATTAATTTCTTGCTGCTTTTGGGATGTTTCTCTCGAGAGCGATGTGGCGGAGATTACGAAGCTTCACACGGCAGATGATCTAGGGCTTCACGTCTAGATTAATTTCTTGCTGCTTCCAAGCCTGATGATAGGAAGATGCTCATGTGTGTTTTTTGTGTTCGCTGTGTCTGAACCAGAACCAAAGTTTCAGCCTTTCACGGGTTTGGATTGACAACGTTAACCTATGAAACGCGAGTAGCAAGTAGCAGTAGCAGCTCAGAGAAGGGGTTCACGACAAGCTCAAGGGAAACTTGTGTTTGGTTCAATTGTAAACTGGATAAATAATCCGGTGCGTTAGATGGCTCGAGCTCGAAAACATCATTTAATAATTAATATATATATATATATATATATATATATATATATATATATATATATATATATGTCTACAGCAAACAAAACACGTTCAGGATCCTGCCTATATTGACAAGCACGTTCTTAGAGTTTAATAATTAAGTAACGATATTTGATAAGACAGAAGCTTCATACTGCTCTCTCAGACTCATCGATCTTGACTTCCAGAGAGTGATGAGACTTGAGACTCATGTGACCACTCTCCAAATCCACGAATCTTGTAATGATAGCTCGGCGCTTACAAACCTGACCCTCTCCCAAGTCCTCATCGTATTTAATGTAGACAACCGCATCTATAAACCCCTTGAGTCTCTCACTCGGCTGCTCCACGTCTTCCTTAGTTTCTACCATGACCTCCACAATCTTCAAATCCGACAGCTTGGACTGCAAACAACCCACATTTATAAACATACAAAAAACGATTCCCAACAACGGATGACATGTTCTTATTGTTTACTTGGGGGGCCCGACGGTTGGTGGAGACGAATCCAAGTTCCAAATATAGGCGAATCCAGTCATTTTCTTTCAACTCTGACTCCTGCACCTGCAACATGAAAGCATCCTAACTTAGCAAGAAAGTAAATATAATACATGTAGAATGTAGACCCTTTTATTTTTTTTGTCAAAAAGAAAATGAAAACTTGCCAAGTAAAGTTGTTTTTGATCATTCTCTGAAGGCCACTCACGCACCGGAACATAATAGAACACAGGTGCTTTTGAACCAAAAACCGCGCCATTGGTCCCTAAATAGGTAAAGTCGAACACATAAATTCATTCATCAGCAAGCATGTACAAAACACAAAACTAATGTTATCCAGATAATAACCTGTCTCTTGAGGTCTAGCAACAATAAACCTGACATCCATCTCGCCCTTGGATCTTTCGTGACTGCTAATCTGAAAAGGCACAACAGAGCCTGTAGCTGGATCCACCGCTTCCAAAGTTATATAATACGTGGCAGGCATGAAACAACACGCAGATTTCCTATTGTATTTCTTTACTCTATGAAGCTGCAAGTTGGTCCCCTGACACATGACATTGAGAAAATGAATAAAGGGACTTGCAAGATGATAACATAACATATAGGAGAAAGTTCAAGACAAGACTAGGTTTTTAACCTCTAGCATATTGTAACGATGAAGGCCAGTCTTAGCATAAAGGCTCACTAAGATTGGACAATCATTCTCTTTCTTACACACGAAAGCTAGCATTCCTCCCAGAGCCGGATGTAACTCCAACCCTTCGATATCGAACCCCTAATTAGTCACGCAACCAGCAAATCAGAAGTATTTATAAAAGCTAGGGCTTAAGGTTTTGTCAGGAAATGGTCATACTAGGGTTACGTTTTGTTCCCAATTAAAACCCTAGAAAATGAGAGAGAGAGAGAGACTTACATCGGATTTCCACACTCGCTCCCAATAGTGACCATGATACCTATACTTGTACATACGCTTAAAATTACGCGCCCTCTGCTTTGCCTCCAACTGATCCTGCAACTCCATCAACTGCTCCTTCTTCTTCTCCAACTCCTCAATCTCAAGCTCATACTGATCAATAAGCTCTCCCCACTGTTTCTCCTCCTCCATCTCCAACTGCTCCTTCCTCTCCTCCTTCTTCTTCCTCTTATTCTCCTTCTTCCTCATCATCTTCTCCCGCTTCCTCTTCTTCTTCTCCTCTATCATCGATGGATTAGGTCCCCCCGCAACAACCTCACCCATTATCCCCACACACCAAATTTCTTTTCTCTGCTCGGTGAAAGCAAGCAAGCGGCTAATGTTGTTATTTCTTTAATCGACTCACCTTCGTTCGCCCGAACATGTGCCCTACTTTACAAAAGGCTGAATTGAGCCGGGCCGACAATGATTCTTCTCTTCTTTTCTTTCCTTTTTCAACTTTTATAATGTACATATATATGTCGGAAAAGATCCCAACAAGTCAAGAACTCTGAACCAAACTGAAAACGATTGGAAGGGGTACCAACCAAAAATCAGGCTTGATGGGCACATTCACATTAGTACTGCATCTGCCGAATAAATAAATCAAAGAGATAATCATATAGGCTTGTTACATGTATTAAATAAATCAAAGACTTACTAATGTGCAACGTTCATGGTAATTTAATTTAACGAAATATATATTTTTCTGTCATTTAATTATATTTATTTTAATTTGAAAGAGAGGACCTCTCCTTCCTCGCACCTGCACATTTGGCTTCTGTACAAAGCCTCTTGACTCTTTGACCACTTCTCCTACTATGCAAATGCAATAGCAAATTTATTTCTTCTCCCTCTAATGGAAATGTGTATCCAGATGGGTATGTTAATGTTATTGCATGTTGAAAACTTTGAAAATCCGAATGTGTTTTTTATTGAAATTAAACTTGATTTTGATCAAGGTTTAATTTTGGGTCCATAAACAAATTATTATTAAACCCAAAATTAGGCCCAAGTTCTAGAACTCTCTAGAAACATCATAAGAGGTCATCACTTCCTCAAATTTTCTAGAGAATTCTACTAGATAACTCTCTAGATATTTATGTAGAACTTTCTAGTTCTTGTAAGACAAAAATCTAGATATTATGTTAGAGAGTTCTAGAGATTAGGATAAACTTGTAAGATAATTTGTAGAAAGTTGTAGAAGAAGAAGAAGAAATATCTAGGACCTAAGGAGGTTATAGAAGAGTGTAGAAACTTTGTAAGTAGATTTGGGAGGCTATAAATACCTCCTCACCCCCTCATTTGTAAATGCACAAGAAATTGAACAAGTTAATAAAGAGTGTTCTAAAGCTAAGTTCTCTCTTGTTCTTCTTAAAAGTCTTTCAAGTATTCTCTTGTGTTCTTCCATATTTCTCTTCATACTTAGAGGGTTTATTGTTTCTTTCGGGTTTCTCGGGTATTACGGTCTTGGGCTAGTGCTAAGCACTATCGGTGCTGGTTTCTCTACATGGTATCAGAGCCATTCTAATCTTGTGCTCATCAAGATCGGGATTTAGGAGAACTCGGGTTTACTCTAAGTATGGAATCAATGGGTCGTGTTGTTGGATTGGGAATGGAGATCTTAAACCAATCTAACTACCGGTTATGGAAGTCATGTATGGAGTCATACTTGGTGAGTGAGGACTTATGGGATGTCGTCGGCGGCAGTAGCACCACACCACCAATGGGAGCTGCTGCGACAGCGGAAGCGACAAAGGAATGGACACGGAAGAATGCCAAGGCGGAGTTTGCATTGAAGAGGTCAATATCCTCGGGAGTATTTGAGCATGTCTCAAGGTGCACATCCGCTAGTTCCATTTGGCAAGCGTTGGACCAACTGTTCAACAAGAAGAATGAGGCTCGTCTACAACTGTTAGAGAACGAGTTGGCGAATGCGAAGCAGGGGGAGTCTTCAATCTCAGAGTTCTTCATCAAGGTAAAGAACCTTTGCTCTGAGATTAACACTCTTAATCCGGAGGAGTCTATTTCGGAAGCTCGGTTAAAGCGGTCTATTATTCGTGGTTTACGACCCGAATATACACCGTTTGTGACTTCCGTTCAAGGATGGGCTACACAACCTTCCTTGGAGGAGTTTGAAAATCTGCTAGCTTCGCAAGAATCCTTAGCCACGCAAATGGCGGGAGTCAAAATCCATGATGACTCGGGGAGCGCTTTTGTAGCTCGGAGGCAACAGAGCTACAAAGGAAAAACCAAGAATGATGGTGTAAAGAATAATGATGGACGGGAAAGATCTTCTACGGGAGACAAGAAGCAGTTCAAGTGTTACCGGTGTGGAAAGCTTGGGCATTTCAAAAAGGACTGTCGGGTCAAGCTGAAGGAAACCAATATGGCGGAATCAAAAAGTCATACTGAAGACGAAGATTGGGGGAAATGTTTCACGGTGGAGGCTGCATCTTCAGGTACATCCACAACTAAAAATCTTGGAAATGATTGGATTGTGGATTCGGGTTGTAGCCATCATATTACCGGAAACGAGAAGTTATTTTCTAGTCTTCAACGTCATGACGGGAAAGAAGCTATCATCACTGCGGATAATTCAATCCACCGGGTTGAGAAGGAAGGGACTATTGTTATTGAAGGAGAAGAAGGAGGCCCAATCACTCTCAAGAACGTATACCATGTCCCTGGAGTTAAGAAGAATCTTCTTTCCGTGGTGAATGCGGTGGACTCAGGTAACTACGTTTTATTTGGACCAAAAGACGTTAAATTCTTGAAGAATATTCAAGAGTTAAAGGCGGACGTAGTTCACACCGGAGCACGGGTTAAAGATCTTTATGTCTTATCGGCCTCAAATTCGTACATTGAGAAGATGAGTACGAATGATAATGCTTTTATTTGGCATGCTAGGCTTGGCCATATAAATATGACTAAGCTGAAGGCTATGGTGAATAAAGATCTGGTTAATGGGCTCCCAAAGTTGAAGATTCAAGATGAAGGAAAGCTTTGTGAAGGTTGTCAATATGGAAAATCACATAGACTTCCATTTGACAATTCTACTTCACGATGCAATGCTCCGTTGGAGAGGATCCATAGTGATTTGATGGGTCCGACGAGAACATCCTCCTATTCCGGGTTCCGCTACATGCTGTTGTTCGTTGATGATTACTCACGGTACACCTGGGTATACTTTGTGAAGGAAAAGTCAGAAGTATTCTCCAAGTTTCAAGAATTCAAGGTTACCGTGGAAGGAGAGTTGGGTCGGAAAATCAAGACCTTAAGGACGGATAATGGAGGGGAGTTTATGTCAAACGAGTTTCTCTCTTTCTGCCGAAAGCATGGTATCAAGAGAGAATTTTCATGTCCATACACACCTCAACAAAATGGAGTAGCAGAAAGGAAGATAAGGCATCTAAGTGAGACGTGTAGAAGCTGGCTACATGCGAAGAATTTGCCTAAGGCTCTATGGGCAGAAGGGATGAGATGTGCAGCCTATGTCATCAATCGGATGCCGCTTAGTCCAAATAATATGAAGTCTCCTTATGAGATGGTTCATGGGAAGAAGCCAACAGTGAAACATCTCAGGATATTTGGATCTATCTGCTATGTCCATGTGTTCGACTCTCAAAGAACCAAGCTGGAGGCAAAGGCGAAAAAGTGCATCTTTGTCGGCTATGATGAACAAAGGAAGGGGTGGAGGTGTATGGATCCAGAGACACACAGATACACTGTATCTCGTGATGTTGTCTTTGATGAAGTGTCTTCATATTACGGATCTCCTCAAGTCTTGGTTGAGCAAGATGGTGCGGGCTCACTTAAAGACGATGAACCAGCTGCTCAGATACCAAGTGATGGTGGAATTTCTGAACCAGAGATGCAAGGTGAAAGGGGGAGCACTAACCAAGAGGAAGAGGAGGAGGAAGATCATGGTTCCTTGGCTAATCAACGACCAAAACGGGACATCGTTAAACCTGCTCGGTACAGAGATGAAAGGTTTGTTACTACTTACTCATGCTACTTTGCATCTCCTTTTGATGAAGAAGAACCATCATCTTATGATGAAGCAAAAGGAGTTAAAGAGTGGGAGACCGCAATGAAGGAGGAGATGGATGCTCTAAAGAACAATTGAAGCTTTGGAGGTTCGAAGTGAGGATAATGTTGCAGATATCTTCACCAAGTCACTACCAAAAGGTCAGTTCGAGTTACTTCGCTCGAAACTCGGGATGGTTGATAAAATCAAGTTTAAGGGGGAGTATTGAAATTAAACTTGATTTTGATCAAGGTTTAATTTTGGGTCCATAAACAAATTATTATTAAACCCAAAATTAGGCCCAAGTTCTAGAACTCTCTAGAAACATCATAAGAGGTCATCACTTCCTCAAATTTTCTAGAGAATTCTACTAGATAACTCTCTAGATATTTATGTAGAACTTTCTAGTTCTTGTAAGACAAAAATCTAGATATTATGTTAGAGAGTTCTAGAGATTAGGATAAACTTGTAAGATAATTTGTAGAAAGTTGTAGAAGAAGAAGAAGAAATATCTAGGACCTAAGGAGGTTATAGAAGAGTGTAGAAACTTTGTAAGTAGATTTGGGAGGCTATAAATACCTCCTCACCCCCTCATTTGTAAATGTACAAGAAATTGAACAAGTTAATAAAGAGTGTTCTAAAGCTAAGTTCTCTCTTGTTCTTCTTAAAAGTCTTTCAAGTATTCTCTTGTGTTCTTCCATATTTCTCTTCATACTTAGAGGGTTTATTGTTTCTTTCGGGTTTCTCGGGTATTACGGTCTTGGGCTAGTGCTAAGCACTATCGGTGCTGGTTTCTCTACATTTTTGGTTTCTTCAAGCACAAGAAAACAGAGCTTCGTGACTAACTTTAGAAGACCAAGGACGATGGGTTTCAAGTTTCTACCGAAGAGCTAAAGCCCATTTTAAAATCAAACCGGATGAAACCGAAACATTGAACCGGAATATGGAATCGCGATGCTAATCAAAACGCAGCCGTCTCGTTTTAGTCCCGGAAAACGATGACGTTTGGGTTTTCCTCATCTCCCCCAAAATCGAAATTCACTGAGCCCTAAATCTACACTCCAAGCGTATAGCCTGAGTAATTTCTTCTCCGACTACCTGTCCATCGTTGGTTTCGTCGTCATTGTCTTTCGATTACGACAGGTATATTTCCGCATTAAGCTCCTCTCATCATTGTGGTATTGCCTAATTGAGTTTAGGTTCTTAGAGAAATCTTCTGGGGTTCTAGATTAATTCTGCAAATGTGAATTACGAACTTCTGAATATCTGATCCAAGTGTGTGGTTTGTGAATCCCTAGAATTGTGAATTTCTTTCAGATTTCGAGACTATTTACATCTGTTTGCGGCTTCATCAGCAAACATGGCAGAAGCTGCAGTGGAAATGAAGAAATTATCATTGATGGATATGCCAGACTGGACTAAGCTCCCTGAAGAGCTGCTTCAAGTTATCTCCGAGAATCTGAACAACTGTTTCGACGTTGTTCATGCTCGCTCTGTTTGCAGCTCGTGGCGATCCGCAATCCCCTTTCCCTGTAGCCTGTTAAGCGCAAGCTACTCTCTTCCCACGTTCAAAAAGCCCTCTCTTGAAAACGAAGGCTTGTTCACCCTCAAGAAGATCCCTTTGTTCCTCTTTAGAGTCCTTACTCTTGATGCTGCTGCGTCGGCTTCTGTGTTTTTCATGGGAGGAATAGACCGTAGAGATGAGTCAGAGGATCAGACAGAGCTTCCACCTCCTATTCAGTGTTCAGTGAAAGTGAAGATTGGAAAATCTGAGCCAACCTTGGTGAACATGCTCGAATGTCAGATTCTCTCTCTGGGCTATGAGTACAGAATGATCGGCTGGAAACCTAAAGACTGCAGAGGCGTGGCTTTTCTTCCGCTAAACAAGGAAGGTGGAGGAGAATTCGTTGTGCTTCTCAACTGCTCTAGAATTTTGTTTGTATTAACAAGTGCTGAAATGAGGTGGAAGCGTCTTGAGAAGGCCCCAATGGAATCATGCTGGGATTTGTTTGTATCTACAAGTGCTGAAATGAGGTGGGAGCAGCTGATGAACGTCCCAGATAAGTCATGGTGGGATTTAGTCACTTTTAGAGGCAAATTTTATGCATCCTTCTCAAGGGAAATTGTGGTTGTGGATCCTTATTCCTTGGACGTGAGTCACACGACTCTCTTGGTTCCGTCTCAGCCTCTGGAGAGAAAAAACTATCTGGTTCCTTATGGCAATGATGAACTTTTCCTGGTTGAACTATGTAACCCTATTTCTGGTCAGTTCGCATTTAGAGTGAGTAGGCTAGATGAGGAGGCTGGTAAATGGGTTGAGGCCACCGATTTAGGAGACTGTGTGTTGTTTATTAGTCGACGACATTTGCGAAATGTCTGCTGCTCGGCTAAAGAGCTTCCTCATGGTTGTGGTGTGAGTGGGGACTCAATTGTGTTCACCAATGTTGGCAGTAAAACATACCCCTTTATATATGGAGTAGATGCCCCTTTCAATCGTTTGAGACCCTCTACACAGAAACCTGTGAAGATCCTCAGCACATCTCCGGTGGTGGCTCTCCGGGTTGAGCGCTAAGCCATTGATCTTGCTTTGGATACCTGAGAGACATATGTCTGTGAGATTTGAAATTTTCTTTATGGTTGTAGGTAAAGACTTGTTTGTGTTCTCTCATGTTAGGGTGATATGTTGAAAGCTAGATCACTTGGTATTCTAGTTTTAATATGGATCTATATGGCTCTATGGAATTTAATTACTTGTCTCATGAACACTCAAAAACCGTCTGTGGTTGTGCTCTTGGCATCAAACCGTCATGTGTTTGACCAAAGCTCTTCAAAAGAAGTACATTTTCTTACCACAATCATGTTGATGTATATATATACAGTATATATGTCTTACATACTTTTTGATGCAGAACAAAGGAAATGTTTGTCTTGGGATATTAGATGGAACCGGTGTTCATGATGGTTTAACCATTATTCTTGGAGGTAAACAAAAAAATGGAAACACATAATTATTTGTAAAACCCAATTTTCTTGTCTAAATCACAATAATCAAACATGGAACTTTCTCATAAACATTTTTGTTTTGTTTTTGTAGACATATCGACGCGTGGACACATGATCGTATACGACAATGTGAAACGGAGAATCGGATGGATGAAATCAAATTGTGTTCGGCCTCGTGAGTCTGATCACAGTCTACCTTTCTTTCAAGGCTGAAGATTTACAGTTCTTGCATATGTGTTTTGTACAACGGATAAAATCGACACTTGCGCGGGAGTGTTTACTAGTTGTGTGTAATTACGTGTAAATCACTCTACTAACATAAAATGAAAAAAAGGAAAAGATTAATTGATGTTTAATCTTTAACGTCTCAATTTCCTATACAAAGTAAAACGAAAAGGTAAAGCATGCCATCAATCCATACAATGGCTTTTGCGAGATCTCCTAGACTGAGGTAATGTCAGAAATGTGTCTGGAGTAGGAGCTTGAGATATTGTAGGATATATAATTGAATATCATAATTAATGTGATATATGGTGACTTTTGTGTGTAAGACATTTCTTACATTTTCCTCAAAGCTCTCTCACGAGCTTCGTTTTTTCTTCTTCAATCCTCATACTTGCTGGGAAAGAAATCTCATTCTAAGTTTCTTAATCATGAGCAATTGAAAGTCTAATTTTATATGAGATTTGGACACATATTACATAGTAGACTAGGAGTTACTAATACAAACATTTCATACTTCTTAATATTGTATATTGATCGATTTTTGTCTGAAAGATAACATGGCTATATCCACTTTAGTGAAAGCAACATGGTAGTGGCACATACATAGATGTACTCATCATGTGCTTCATTGCTGGATTTGCAATTGAAAGCAATATCTCCATCTTTCTTACACGTATAGAGAAATCAAACTTTGATTTATTGCTGGTGGGTCCAACATAACTTGCTGCCAATAAGATGAAAAACATTAAGACGAAAAGAAAACTGATCTTTAAATAAATAAAAATTTGTATTAAACTTGTTTTCTTACATCATTAGTGTAAGAGTACTCTGACTTAAAGCGAGCTATAGTAGCACCAAGAGGCTGATACACAAGACAATCAAGTATTTTGTTACATTCGAACTTTGTGCAGCTTTAGAGCACCAAGCTACATTGGACACAGTTTGGTTACTATCTAGCGGATTAAGCATAACTGTTTGATTCATTCCTCGGTTTAAATGGAAAACATGTATTCACATTTTATCAAGTATCAAATCATAGTCAAATGAATAAAGAGGCGGTGAGTATATACTAGACCCACCATCAATGCCTCATACTTTGATTGTTTCCACAATGTTGAAGTGGTCTCAATTTGTAAGAATGAGGGAAAACTTGCCTTCAAGTGCAAGTCGAGCAATGGGGTAGATCATTATGAGTGTGGGTTCTTCTATGTGTGCGCCATAACAATGTTGCTTGGATTTCGCTTGGAAAACGACAAACCAACACTTGGGATTAGATTGAAGAGTCATAAAGGTTTACGTAATTTCTTAGTATCTTTAGTGTAATGTCTAAAGCTTTAAGTAATTTCTTAGTATCTAATGTCTAAAGCTTTTCTGAGCAATAATAGATGTCTTTATATATATATATATATCATCTCAGGAGGAGACAGAGCTTATTAGGTAATAATGGTGAATTGGTGAGGATAGATGAAACCCTTGGACACCAAGGATTGAGATTGAGATCGAGATCGATTTCCCATCTCCCAATCTACTTGACATTTATTCTCATTTATCCTCTCTCCTCTGTGTGATTGAGATTGAGATTGTCGATTTCCCACCTTAGCAAACTGATCTGATACAGAGCAAGGTTGAGTGTGCTGCAAGTTTCTTATCAAAGTATCTACAAACTGATTTCCCACCTTAATATTTTTGTAATAAGTAAAGATTATATTTAGAAAAAATCTTGACGTTATCAATAATTGTTGATGTGACGCAGCAGGATAGATTACTAGAAAAAATCTTTACGTTTTTCAACGATTGCGTAGGATGATGATGTTTTATTGCCTAGATTACGTTTACAGGAGATTAAGTTAACCATATTGAATTTATTTTTTTATAACAGGACACCGTTTTTTTTTTTCAAATGATTTTCCTGTACATCATACGTTTACAGAATTACAAGGAACCATATAATTAGATGAATCTTTTTGATTAAATAATTAAAATAAACTTGATATATATATTAATTGAGAGTGTTGTATTCAACTATACGATTCCTCGCACCAACTGACTAAGCTAATTAAGAAAGGCGAAACCCAATCTCTTTATTAAACACCAGTTTGACTCCCCACACAAAAAACAATTTCAGTGTCTTTTTTTCCTTTAATAATCTGAATTTCCATGTCGGGACAGAAAATAAACAAAAACAATTAGTATAACACATCCGGATTAATATGTTTTTCTACAAGTTATAGATGCAATTTAATTAGGCTCCCTCCTTTTTCATCGTCGAGATCTGCTTGCCTCTGGATGGAAACAGAGTCAAGTATATCGAAGCTCTCGAGATGAAGGAAGCTGATCGATTTTGATCGGGTAAAGAATATGAGGTGAAAGAAGACTTATTGAGTACGTTAAAGGACTTATTGGAGGTAAGACACTTAGATCACTTTTGTAATCCTTTGTAATCCTTTCTTCGACGTAAAATTCGGAGTTCTTCGTCCTGTTCTTGCGGGACGATGGTATGTGTGTAAGCTCCTATATATATCAAGACATTTCCTATCTTCTCCGCAAGCTCTCTTACGAACTTTCTTTTTTTTTCTACTTCAGTCCTCTTACTCGCTGGGCAAGAAATTTCATTCGAACTTTCTTATGCTTGAGCAATTGAATGAAAGGTATATATACTCTCCTTTTTATGACTCGCTCACCTCAATTCAGTTGCTTTATTTAAGTGTATTTACGTTGCATATTTACATAAGAACATGCTTTAATTGCTGCCCTGTTTACATTTTCCCCTTTCGAATTGATCATAGAAATATATAATCCAAAAAATAAAACATAAAACGACTACATCCCAACAAAAGAGAAAAGAAAGTTCAACGAACACAAGGATAAAGTCAAACGGGAGGGATGATGAGGCGAATCTCACCGTTCTTGGCTATGGTTTTGATCCGACGGTTGGGATTAATTTTCACAATGGATTGGTGGTCAGCATAGCCACGTCACCAGAGTGGAAACGGGCAGCTGAGTCGTGACTCCCTTTTAATTTACACAACAAAGCTTAGTATATACTCACTAATTAATAGTCTGTTTTTTTAATCTATATAGCATAATCTTGATTGAATTCCCAACAAATACTTCCAGATTTTGCTTTACTTCCAAATTTTGCAGAGATTTCAGTAGAATTGATTGAATTCCCAACAAATACTTTAAAATCCATTAATTTTGAATTCTTTTCATTTCTTTCCAATTCTAGCCACCAATACCCCCTCCTAATACAAATACCCCCTCCTAATACAATGAGGTCAAAATTGAATTTTTTTATTAATAAAACTGCATGACACTCTTTGTAAAACAAAAACAAAACTTTATCTTTGTGAAACGGAGGGAGTATGTGATTACCAATGGAATCCGTGCCATCAAAACCTATGAACAGAAATAGAGAATGCAAATTAAACATTTTCAACATATTGTGGAGGAAAATGACTTGTTAAAGAATAAATATCAACATCATAAAAGCGGCAAATAGAACGAAATTACTTTGTTGGTTATGTAAATGAGAAAGAGAAAACATCTAAAATGAGTCTAGAAAAGTCACGGAATTTCAATTTAAATGACAGAAGAAAAAAAGGTTTTCAAAATACAGGAAGGGTCTTGTGGTATATGGCTCTTGGAGAGCAGAAGCCTGAGAATGCTGTCAGAAATGGGGGGGGGGGGGGGGGGGGTGATGCCAGAATCCATAGAGCAGTCCAGTTTTTGGGTGAGAGGAGTCATGTTTGTGAGCTTTCTTCCAAGGGTGAAGATAAATCTTGACGTTATCATTTGGAACACCGGGAAAATCCATCCTCACGAACAAGTCCCCGTGTTCCACCAAACACAAAATTAAACTTGTGTTGCAAAAATAAGGAAAAAAAAAAAGTGGACATGTAAGTAAGATATGAGGACCCCCATCTTACCACATAGCTTCCTTCCTATAAAATAATCTTGATTCAATTTATTAGATACTATGAAATTCTATAATATTATATTGATTCAGATTTACGGTCACATGGTAGGGAACGAGAACCATGATTCAAAAATGAGGAACTCTAAGGTTTTTACATCTCAGTTTTAGAGTGGAAGATTTTCTAATAAAAGCAAACGAGTGTATAAATGTTGTTTGTCTAGACAAAAAATAATGGCTGATGAGCAAACACAAATCTGGAGCAAGGGAAATCACACGCAAACCTAAAAGCTCTCACCAACACCAAACCCGTGACATTTGTGGTGTTTCTTTGGACGTAAGCGGTCTTTTGGCGATGCAAAGAAGCAAAACAAAGCTTTTTCACGCTATACAAGTTTGCCACTACAACTCATTTGAACGTGGTGTAATTACAATGTTGGGCAAACAAGTATGATAAATCACAAATAACTCATTTAATGTTGGAATATTTGAGGATTTTTGCTCGTTAGGAACTTCACAAGCTTTTCCGTTACCAAAAACATTTTTTTTTTTTCGATTTTCTTTTTCATTTCTATTGCTTGATACGCATGTGAAATGTATTTGTCACCAATTTTCGAGATTCTTCAGATGTTTTTTCCTCCAAATTATATGTACCATGCTATCTCCAAAAAAAATAATCACTATTTTTCAAACTCAGATTTTCCAAACATGTGTGCCACTTATAATTAATGCAAGGAAATGAATTATCTTTGAACGGGAACAATCATATTAGTAACTGGTCGTGGGATATAATTAAATCATGAACTCTTTTGATTATTTAGTATGTTAATAGATGAGATCTTAGTGTGACTTGGTTTTAGATGCACGGTGATTATTGATATCAATTACAAAGGTTAAAACTAGTCATCATTTCATTGGTGAGGCTACTGTCTTTCTGGAAATCTCAGACTTTGATGATTTCGTCCAAATTGTAATGCGATTTCTGGATGAAGTACCGTTTCCTTCAGTGAATTCTCTTCAATGATCTCTTTGACTCCTTGAACGTGATCTCAACTTTTCAGGTCGTTCCGCAATTCGCCGTGAAAAACACATCCTTGAAACAGAAAGAAAATCTGAAAACTAGCGAGGACAACTTCATTAGTGAGCTGCTCCTCATCACCCTTAATCGTCCATAATCCTCCAAAACCCTTAATCTCTTTTAGTTTAGGTTTAAAAATTCGATTACTTTTGGGCCTTACAATATTATTTAAAAAACAGGCCCATTATGCAGAATTGTGTTGTTACAATTTCACCTGCAACGAATGAAATGAGACGGGACATGTTTTTGGACTGTTTAGAAATGAATTGACAGATATTTGGTGGTGTGACTCAGTTTTGGAACATTTGGGGACAGTACGGTTTATTAAAGATACCAATCGGCTTTGCCTAATTGTGTCCTTCACTCTGCAATAGAGTTAAACCTAGTCACGGATTTTTATTGATGAACTAAGGAGATGGGACATGTTTTGGACTGTATGGCAAAAGGATTTGTCTCCACGAGGTGATTAAATCTCCTTTTTAATGGTCCAAGTCTGCTTGCCTCAGGATGGAAACAGAGTCTAGTGTCGAAGCTCTCTCGTGAATGATTACGATGAGATGAAGGAAGCTGATCGTAAGAGATTGTGAAAAGAGGAATCATTTTTGTTATATCCGAGACAAGTACGTGGCCAGCTTCTACACTCCATGTCTCCATATATATATTTCTTACTTTGTAATCGTAGAGTCCATTCTTGATTTTGATCGGGGAAAGAATCTGTGCTGAAAGAAGACTTATTGAGTACGTTACAGGGCTTATTGGAGGTAAGACAAAGATTTATCCTTTATTCTAGCAAAAAAGAAAAAGATTTATCCTTTCTTCCAGCAAAAAAGAAAAAGATTTATCCTTTCTTCGACGTAAAATTCGGAGTTCTTCGTGCTGTTCTTGCGGGATGATGGTACGTACTGAGGGTTAAGCATCATGCATGCGAATGTGAAAGTAGCAACATGATGAAATCTTTAACAAAAACTAATTTTTTTTAACACAAGTTATAAGTTGTAAAATCGTGTGACAGAAACTTTGTTTAAGATAGCTTGTATCCTAAGGCAAAATCCATATGGATTTATCCCCTGAGCCACGAGATATCACATCGCTTTTCCCTTGTACTAATGTCAAACCCCTGTTTACTCGGATTATCATGTACGTTGCACATTAGTAAGTCTTTGATTTATTTAATACATGTAACAAGCTTATATGATTATCTCTTTGATTTTTTACATTGTTTGATAAAGATCTCTTTGATTTATTTATTCGGCAGATGCAGTACTAATGTGAATGTGCCCATCAAGCCTGATTTTTGGTTGGTACCCCTTCCAATCGTTTTCAGTTTGGTTCAGAGTTCTTGACTTGTTGGGATCTTTTCCGACATATATATGTACATTATAAAAGTTGAAAAAGGAAAGAAAAGAAGAGAAGAATCATTGTCGGCCCGGCTCAATTCAGCCTTTTGTAAAGTAGGGCACATGTTCGGGCGAACGAAGGTGAGTCGATTAAAGAAATAACAACATTAGCCGCTTGCTTGCTTTCACCGAGCAGAGAAAAGAAATTTGGTGTGTGGGGATAATGGGTGAGGTTGTTGCGGGGGGACCTAATCCATCGATGATAGAGGAGAAGAAGAAGAGGAAGCGGGAGAAGATGATGAGGAAGAAGGAGAATAAGAGGAAGAAGAAGGAGGAGAGGAAGGAGCAGTTGGAGATGGAGGAGGAGAAACAGTGGGGAGAGCTTATTGATCAGTATGAGCTTGAGATTGAGGAGTTGGAGAAGAAGAAGGAGCAGTTGATGGAGTTGCAGGATCAGTTGGAGGCAAAGCAGAGGGAGCGTAATTTTAAGCGTATGTACAAGTATAGGTATCATGGTAACTATTGGGAGCGAGTGTGGAAATCCGATGTAATAAGTCTCTCTCTCTCTCATTTTCTAGGGTTTTAATTGGGAACAAAATGTAACCCTAGTATGACTATTTCCTGACAAAACCTTAAGCCTTAGCTGTTATAAATATTTCTGATTTGCTGGTTGCTAATGTGACTTAGGGGTTCGATATCGAAGGTTTGAAGTTACATCCGGCTCTGGGAGGAATGCTAGCTTTCGTGTGTAAGAAAGAGAATGATTGTCCAATCTTAGTGAGCCTTTATGCTAAGACTGGCCTTCATCGTTACAATATGCTAGAGGTTAAAAACCTAGTCTTGTCTTGAACTTTCTCCTATATGTTATGTTATCATCTTGCAAGTCCCTTTATTCATTTTCTCAATGTCATGTGTCAGGGGACCAACTTGCAGCTTCATAGAGTAAAGAAATACAATAGGAAATCTGCGTGTTGTTTCATGCCTGCCACGTATTATATAACTTTGGAAGCGGTGGATCCAGCTACAGGCTCTGTTGTGCCTTTTCAGATTAGCAGTCACGAAAGATCCAAGGGCGAGATGGATGTCAGGTTTATTGTTGCTAGACCTCAAGAGACAGGTTATTATCTGGATAACATTAGTTTTGTGTTTTGTACATGCTTGCTGATGAATGAATTTATGTGTTCGACTTTACCTATTTAGGGACCAATGGCGCGGTTTTTGGTTCAAAAGCACCTGTGTTCTATTATGTTCCGGTGCGTGAGTGGCCTTCAGAGAATGATCAAAAACAACTTTACTTGGCAAGTTTTCATTTTCTTTTTGACAAAAAAAATAAAAGGGTCTACATTCTACATGTATTATATTTACTTTCTTGCTAAGTTAGGATGCTTTCATGTTGCAGGTGCAGGAGTCAGAGTTGAAAGAAAATGACTGGATTCGCCTATATTTGGAACTTGGATTCGTCTCCACCAACCGTCGGGCCCCCCAAGTAAACAATAAGAACATGTCATCCGTTGTTGGGAATCGTTTTTTGTATGTTTATAAATGTGGGTTGTTTGCAGTCCAAGCTGTCGGATTTGAAGATTGTGGAGGTCATGGTAGAAACTAAGGAAGACGTGGAGCAGCCGAGTGAGAGACTCAAGGGGTTTATAGATGCGGTTGTCTACATTAAATACGATGAGGACTTGGGAGAGGGTCAGGTTTGTAAGCGCCGAGCTATCATTACAAGATTCGTGGATTTGGAGACTGGGCACATGAGTCTCAAGGGCCCTCATCACTCTCTGGAAGTCAAGATCGATGACTCTGAGAACGCAGCATGAAGCTTCTACGGTATTTAATATCCTCTGAAATTTTGTTATCAAATATCGTTACTTAATATCATAGGATATTGCACTCATGTCAGGGTCCCAACGAAAAGATTTCTTCTTACAGTTAATGTCAACAGAAAGAAAATAACAACAAACACTAGTACCAAAGTAACAACTCTGAAAATGTCAACAGAAAGGAAAAAACAACAAACTTCACGTAGACATGCCCGGAAATGAAAGCTCTCTCGAAGAAACAACCGCGATGACCTTCATGTATCATAGTGTTAAGCAACAACCTAGTTTATTGACAAAGGAAGTACAATGTTGGACAGCGATGAAGACTCTCCAATGGCTACACCTACACAAAACACTCTTTGATCCGAGAACAAGCCCTCAAGGATCAATTTTTCTCAAACTCTATTCTGGATAAAAGATGAATAAAAGCAACAAATGAATATTTATACTAAAATGCAGAGTCCCGTCAGCAGACTTCTCTTGCTCCGATCTCTTCTCACATATACACACACACTTACCTCTTGCCACGGATAAAAGCTGCAGAAGTAAACATGGGACCTACAAAGTCGGTGATGAGTGGTGTTGCTTCGCTCAAGCTATAAGAGTCACTCTGCCTCTTAAGACCACATGTTGCATGGCCTTCGTTGAAATGAACATGCATGAGCATGATTGATGCATACACTTTGATATAACCGTCTATGTGGGCTTCTTTTCCTTGTGAAGATTTGCAAAGAAGAATCACTTCTCCATCTTCTATCCATGCTAAGACCACCACAAGTGCGTGGTAAGCAACAAGTTTATAGTTACTACTTGTCGGTCATCGGTATGTGCCCAACAAAGATCTACACATCATTATATAATAGCTAGTAACACAAAACATCACTTAAACAGTACAAGAAACTAAATTACGGTGATTAACCTATCCTACTATATTCACTTCCCACCTTTATGGGTTGAAAAAAAAATACTACAATGTTTAATTTCCATTTAAGAAATGCTATCGCTGTAATTAACAAGCTCCACAAGAGAATTTCACAATCTTTTCCACTACAACTCATTTAATTTCGTGTAATTTTTGGGCATAAGGGAATGATAAATTACTCATCTAGTGTTGGAATATTTGATGATTTTTTTTCATTGAGAACTTTACAAGCCTTGCCGTTACAAAAAAAAAATCAAAAATTAAAAGTTATCCCTATTCTTTTTCATTTCTATTGCTAGATAAGCATGTCGAATATATTTTTCACAATTTTCGAGATCCTTGATTTGTTTTGCCATGCTATCTCCAAAAAATTAATCACTATCTTTCAAACTCTGTTTTTTCAAACATGTGTGACACTTAAATATAATGCAAGGGAAATGAATTATCTTTAAACTGGGGTCGTGGGATATAATTAAATCATGACCTTTTGATTATTTAATATGTTAATTAATGAGAGATCTTAGTGTGACTCGGTTTTAGACGCACGGTGTTTATTGATATCAATTACAAAGGTTAAAACTAGTCATCAGTTTTGTGTTTCTCTTTACTCTATTTTTCACTGAGCTGCTCCTTATTTTCTTGTAGTTTAGTTTTAAATATTCTAATACGCTTTGGGGCTTCACAGTATTAAAAAAAGGCCCATGTCGCATGTTTTTGTACAGTTTAGAAATGAATTGATAGATATTTGGTGGTGTGACTCAGTTTTGTAACATTTGGGGACAGTACGGTTTATTATAGATACCAATCTGCTTTGCCTAATTGTGTCCCATCTTACTCTGCAAAAGAGTGGAAAACCTAGTCACGGATTTTCGTTGATGAATTTCACGAGATGGGACATGTTTTGGACCTTATGGGGGGAGAAAGGATTGGTCTTGTCTGCATTTAGGTTTTTCTTAGTGAGAACTTTGTAAAAAAAGTTCCATTAGGGCTGTAGGTTAGACTTCAAATCTCTCATTTAAATTTGGATTGTTGATTTTCAGTTACTTGGTTTAAAGATCTTAAAGGTTTCTTATTGCTCCAGTGATACAGGTGAGTGAGAGCTTTGATTTCCGGACATAAATGGAGTCTTTGTAGGATGATAATGGCTCAGTACTTGACTAATGATAACCAATGACTTCTAATTAGTTAACCTCTGCCTCCACTTTTTCAAATAATCTCCTTGTTTTTAGGCATTCTCTTGTACATTTGAGACGTGTTTCATGAAATAATAAAATTGTGTACTAATTAACTTTTACTAAGCGTTCATATATTGATTGATATGACATAATTGCTATTAGTGAAAAAATCATCAAGAGTAACAGTAAGAAGTCATCCATACTTTCACTTACCTTCATTTCCAAATCCACAAAACATTGTAGTATTATCTCTAATTATAAACAACTACAAAATAATCCATTAATCTCTTAGGTAGTTCAAACTTATTAAATGGAACCTGTTATCATATGTTAAATGGTGATAAAGACTGGTAAATGGACCACAGACAAAATGAGGCAGAAAACAAAAGACAAACAAACAAAAAGATAAAACTCAAAGAATGGGTAAGAAATAGAAGCCATAAAAGACCCCAAAAACATAATCCAGGTCTGACCAATGAGATCGGAAAGATTTGGATCAACTTCGGTATATATGAATGAAGCCAAAATCATCAGTACTGTGTCCTTACCCTTTGTACAAACCAACAAAAATAGGTATGGCCACACTTCAATAATACTCCTCCTCTTTTTTGGTTTTTACTAGCGTTAACTTTAACCCTCCATTTATTAATCACTGTCAAGATTAATCTGCTCTATATATGTATGTTTTTATAAAGATTCAAAGTTATTAAGTAAGATGTATAGACACAAGACTTACAAAAGTACTTCAGCTAAAAGTCATATCTCCTTACTGACATAAGAAAGATCTGTCAGTAAAAAAATCTTCAAGACTTTCTAAAGGAAATGTCTTTGTCTGATCCCAGCGGAAAAGATTATTAAATAGCCTAAGAACATCCTTTGTCAGTGCCCATGATTCTCCATCCTTCTTAGCCTTTGTCTTCTTCATTGTCCCCTTTTTCTCACTTTAAGATTTTTTTTTTCTGTAAAGCTCATGACAAGTCACTACTCATCAAAATATACAATTTCCAGAGAAGTATAAAACCGTTGCTGGTTTTTTTTTCTTATCAAGTCTCTACTTCTGATTCTGACTTCTTCTCTTAACTCTGTTTCATCTTTTGAGCAGAAATGGTGATTCTTGAGCACCAAGAAGATGTCAAGGCGCCACGAGGCTGCGAGCTTTGTGTGAACAAACACGCGGTTTGGTATTGTGCATCGGACGATGCTTTCTTGTGCCACTTTTGTGATGAATCCGTGCATTCTGCTAACCAAGTGGCAACAAAACACGAGAGAATTTGTCTCAGAACAAATGAGTTATCGATCGGTGTGCCTCAAGGAACAGCATCAAAACCGGTTTGGCACAGCGGGTTCAGAAGAAAAGCAAGAACGCCTAGATTCCGTTGCGAGAAGAAGCCACAACTAAAGATAGAAGATGAGAGAAGAAGAGAAGACCCCTGTGTTCCCGAGATTGGAGGCGAAGGAATGTTGTTTTCCATACCACCAGAAAAACATGATTATCATGATGGTGATGATCATGATCTGACTTCTCTTGTACCAGAGTTTCAAGGATTCACAGAGATGGGATTGTTCTTGAGCAACCACGATGGTACTCAAGAAACAATGAGAGAATTCAACTTCTTTGGAGATGAAATTGATGATGGAATGGAGGATCTATTTTACAATGAAGATGGAGAAGCTAAGACTGATGGAGATGAAGAAGCATGTCATGCACAATCTTTGATGAGCTCCAAGAAAGATTACGACGACAATGTCATCTTGATTTCAACAAAGACAGAAGCAAATGAAGAAGATTATGAGAGTAATGCAAAGCAGAGTAACATGTTACTTAGACTTAATTACGAAAATGTTATAGCAGCTTGGGATAAACAAGGATCTCCAAGAGACCAAACTCATGAGTTTAAAAACATGAGTAACTTCCAGCTAGTTCCTCCAGTAAGCTTCTATTCTAGTCTCAGTTTTGTTTTGTTCTTACAAGAAGAAGTTCAAAATTATTAAGGATAGTCATGGTAATGAATCTCGATTGCAGGGGATAGAAGAGAAGAACATAAGCAGCAGAAGTGAGAGAGAAGCTAGAGTTTGGAGATACAGAGATAAAAAGAAGAATCGTTTGTTCGAGAAGAAGATAAGGTACGAGGTCAGAAAAGTTAACGCAGACAAAAGGCCTAGAATGAAAGGTCGATTTGTCCGGAGAGCTTTAGCTACTGATTCCTAGGAACAGATTCTCAGATTCTACTTTGTGAGAATTCTTGTCAAATAAGACAACTGCAATGAAAATCATAAGCTGTGAAATTTGAGAATTTTCGAAATTGGACTATGTTAGTGTTAGTCTAAAATCAAAGAGATTGATGAAAATGCAATATTAACCTAACTTGTTTAACAAGGAATGCACTTATACGCCTCGGAGTATAAAACGGTGCTCTTCATACTTGACCTAAATGTGTGTAATTAAAAGAGGAAAATCCAACAAAAGTTAGACGTAGAAATAAATAAATTAATCTTCATGAAGATTTTTGGTACTTTTGATGTAATGATTTGTATTAGTATAGTCTATATTACAAAAAACAAAAAACAAAAAACAATACTCCTAAGAACAAGACTCATAAACTCACATCGATCCAATCCGTGCTACGATTTAACCAATTACAATCATCTTCATCAACCTCTCCTATATTGTTCACAGAAAAATCCTCCAGCCGAAAATCATCCATCATCGGATCAAACTCAAGTTCCAACTGAAAATCATTCGATCCATCCACAATATTTGCAACCCTTGATTCGATTTCCAAGTTTTGGACTGCTCTTTTGCGATTCTTCTTACTCGTTTCTCAATTTGGTTATCCTTCACCACAACATCGTAGTTAAAATCACCAAAAATCGATTTAAATTCCGCTGTATTAAAATCCACCCACAAATTGCTTCAATAGCCGTATCTCCAAAAATGTCTGAAATCGACGATGTCATTAACGGATCTTCCAACATTCTACCAATTGTTCCTTCTTCTTCTTCAATATCATAACAACCAAAACCGAATGTTTTCTCCACAACATTTCCCTTCTTTCAGGTTTACTTAAACCACACGACTTAGTTAAACCTACCTCCTTCTCTTCAGGTTTACTTGAATCACACGGCATAACTAATTCTACTTCCTTCTCTTTAGGTTTACTTGAAACCCACGGCATAACTAATTCTGCTTCCTTCTCTTCCTGGTTAAATCTACTACTTCCTTCTCTCTAGGTTTCTTTGAACCACAAAAAAATAGGAAAGAAGAGAAGAGAATCAATTTCGGCCCGGCCCAATATTAGGGCACATGTTGGCGCGAAGGTGAGACTGAGGACATAAACATAACATAAGCCGCTTGCTTGCTTTGCAGAGAAATTTCAAATTCGGTGTGTGGCGATAATGGGTAAGGTCGTTGTGGCGGGACGTAATCCATCGAGGATAGAGAAGAAGAAGAGGAAGAGGGAGACGATGGTAGAGAAGATGATGAAGAAGAAGACGAAGAGGGAGACGATGCTAGAGAAGAAGATGAAGAAGAAGAGGAATAGAGAGACGATGCTGGAGAAGAAGATGAAGAAGAGGGAGAAGGAGGTTCGGGAGCAGGAGGATCGTGAGAAGAGGATGAATGAGTTTAATCGTCAGAAATGGAATCGAGCGGCGCAATGGGAGGTAAGTCTCTCTCTCTCAATTTCTAGGGTTTAATTGGGAACCCGAGTCTGACTATTTCCTGATTTTCTGATTGCTAATGTGACTTAGGGATTCCATTTCAATGGTTTCAAGCTCACCACCATTCATGAGTACCCGAATGATACCCCGATAGTGCGTCTTTATGCTAAGATTGGTCTTCATCGTTACAATATGCTAGAGGTTAAAAACCTAGTCTTGTCTTGAACTTGCTCCTCCTATATATGTTATCATTCCTTTTGTTCATCGTCTCAATGTAATGTGTCAGGGGACCAACTTGCAGCTTCGTAGCATAAAGAAACACTTTAGGAAAGCTTGGATGTTTTGGCTGCCTCCCTCGTATTATATAACTTTGGAAGCGGAGAATCCAGATACAGGTTCCATTGTGCCTTTTCAGATTAGTAGTCACGAAAGAAAAAAGGACAAGTTGGATGTGAGGTTTATTGTTGCCAGACCAGGTTATTATCTGTCTTCACGAGAGTTTTCTTGAAAATGTTACTTGCTTATGTCTTCTTCTACTTAACTATTTAGGGACCAATGTCGATACTTTTATTGATCCAACTGCACCTCGGTTCCTTAATGTTAGCGTGCCTAAGTGGCCATCAGAGAATGATCAAAGACAACTTTACTTGGTAAGTTTTTATTGTTTTCGTTTTGGAAAAATGTATTACATTTACCTTGCTAACTAACTTAGGGTGCTTTCATGTTTTTAGGTGCAGGAGTCAGAGTTGAAAGAAAATGACTGGATTCGCCTATATTTGGAACTTGGATTCGTCTCAACCAATCGTCTGAATCTCGATGTAATAGTTTCATTAGCAATGACATACATATCATGCGTTAACGTTGGTGTATATGTATCATTATAAATGTCGCTTCTTGCAGCTCAAGCTGTCGGATTTGAAGATTGTGGAGGTCATGGTAGAAACTAAGGAAGACGTGGAGCAGCCGAATGAGAGACTCAAGGGGTTTATAAATGCAACTTTCTACATCAAATACGATCAGGACTTGGGAGAGGGTCAGGTTTGTAAGCGCCGAGCTATCATCAGAAGAGACGTGGATTTGAGAACACAACGCATGAGTCTCCAAGGCGATGACTATCTGGATATCGAGACCGACGACTCTGTGCAGCAGCATGAAGCTTCTCAATAATATCATTTGAAACTTGTGTTATCAATTATCCTTTCTTAATTTGTCTTTTTGTTATGCTAATTATTATTATACTAAGAACGTGCCTGTGTATAAGCAGGATCCTGAACATTGTTTGCTTGCTTTAGATATATATTAATTATTAAATCTTCAATTATAGCTCTGTTTTCTGTGAAAATCATATATTGGAGCTCGAGAAATCAAAGCACCAGAAACGTGGAGCTGGTTCCGGTAAGAAGAATGCATTTAAACGTGGAGCTGGTTCCGGTTTGTGACTTTGTGAACTTGAAAATCACCAGCTCTTAAATCTGTTCATTAGACTGCATTTAATGTTTTGCTTAATCGGGTTTCACCAAATACAGTAGGAAGGATTTCGTGGCGGCATTTTGATCAGAATTCCTATAGCTTGAGGAAAATGCGCACTATCAACTTAACTTGTTTAACAAGGAAAGAACTTATACGCCTCGGAGTATAAAACGGGCCTTCATACTTGACCCAAATGTGTGTACTAATTAAAATCCACATCTTAATCTTAGACGTCGATATATAAATTTAATCTAATTTTCAACGATTTATATAGAATTTCGAATCAATAAGAATACACAAATGACACTCTCTAGTTTGTAGTTAGTCCAAAAAGGCAAAAGTCAGTGTGAAGAATTTTACTAAATGTACGTTGAAATGGTAGTTAGAGCAAGGAGTTGGTTCTTCTATGTCCAATTTCGACCTATTTTAGCAGAGAAAGATTTTTGCTCATTTTGATGTAATGATTTGTATTGGTATAGTGTATAGCCATCACCGTGACAAAAAAATAAAAATACAAGATTCAAAAACTCACATCGATCCAATCCATGCTACTGTTAAACCAATTACAATCATCTTCATCAGCCTCTCCTATATCGTCCACAGAAAAATCCTTCAGCTGAAAATCATCCACCATCGGATCAAACTCAAGTTCCAACTGAAAATCATTCGATCCATCGACAATATTTGCAACCCTTGATTCGATTTCCAAGTTTTGGACTGCTCTTTTGCCATTCTTCTTACTCGTTTTAATACTACTCTCAATTTGGTTATCCTTCACCACAAAATCGTAGTTAAAATCATCAAAAATCGATTTAAATTCCGCTGTATTAAAATCCACCCACAAATCATTTGCTTCAATAGCCGTAGCTCCAAAAATATCTGAAATCGACGATGTCATTAACGGATCTTCCAACATTCTACCAATTGTTCCTTCTTCTTCATCACGATCATCACAACCAAAACCGAAGGTTTTCTCCACAACATTATACGCAGTCGACGGACGTAAAACCGATGGTTTGGTTGACTCTACTACCTTCTCTTTAGGTTTGCTTGAAACCCACGGCTTGGTTAAACCTACCTCCTTCTCTTCATGTTTACTTGAATTACACGGCACAACTAATTCTACTTCCTTCTCTTTCGGTTTCCTTGAAACACATGGTTTGGTTAAATCTTCCTCCTCTTCCAGTTTAACCGAATCGGTTTGATTTACAAGACCTAATTGCTCATCAAACTCTTGTTTTCTTTTCTTGTAAGCCTCTGCTGCTGCTTCAACAGTAGGAAACGTTCCAAGCCACTCTCTCTTTTTCTGGAACGGATCTCTTATCTCCGCCGCGTATCTGCCCCACGGTCGCTTCCGTACACCTTTGAATCCCGACGAAGATTTCCGACTTTCGTTTCCTTTCCCGTGCCTCTCGATCAGCGTCGGGACACAGATCTTTGAGACGTAACGCTTCTTCGGTTTTGTTCGTTTTGGTTTGATCGGACGGCGAGGATTGTTTCCGGAGATCGCTTCATCTTCGCTAGAGGATTCGGTGGCGTATGGATCATTACAGACTACACGGACTGATTTCATCGAGCTGATATCGATTTTCTCTGTGTGTTTCTCTTCTTCTTTGCCATTGATCATTGTTTCTCTTCTTTGCAAATAAATCTTACAAAAAAATAAAAATAAAATATTAAAGCTCATCGAATTTTTAGTTTGTGATAGAGACAACGGTAAAATAAAAAATGTATTCAAATATAAAAACACAAAACTGATCGAGTTTTGATTTCGTGATAGAGCCTGAGAAAGAAAAAAACCTCTGTATCGAGAAACATTGGAAAATAATTTGAACAGAAAACGTAGTTATTATTCATCATCGTACCTTATGATGATCTGTATTATTAATTTCGTAAAATTAAAGGAGGAATGATTTGAATCGAACTTGTGTTGTTGAAGAGAGTTTTAAAAGGAGCTTCCCTATTTTTTTTTCTTTGGGTGGTATATAAATGGTAAGGACGACCAACTTGCTGTTCCTTTCTTCTTCATTATTTGTAATTTATTCCTCTTTAGATATATTCTGGAAAGTAAAGTATTTTGAAAATATAGTAAAGAAATCGGGAGATTAGTCTTTCTCCGACTCGGGATATATGAAAATATTCCAATTGTGAGAAAAAAGTAAGTTCAGATTTATGAGAAACAAAATTCTCTGAAGATTTTACCGGTACATATCTATATATTTTTCTCTCATTTTATTAAAAAAAAAATTATAAAACCAGATAGACGCACTGTCGGTATTCTTTTGGGGAAAAAATGGTCTTGCAACAATAGCAAATACGCTACAATCTACATCAAATGATGAGTGGTTGGAGAAAACCCAATGAATAGTTAAATCTTATATAAATTTGATTTAAACGAATATTGAGCTTAGATAGATTTTATATAATTAATATAAACGAGTATAACTTAGATAGATTGTGAATAAATGTTAAGAAAGATAACTGCGAAGAGATATGAAGCATGTGTAAGTGAAAAACGATAAATGGTGAAAGGTAAGTGCAAAGAAATATTGGGCATACATATTTCTTATTTGCGTTGATGCTTCTCCGGAGTTGTTGGTTTTCCGTAAATTTGTCATATATGTTGTGGATAAATTGTCAAACCCAACAACCTAATTTCCAAAGAAGAGGTGACATGGTTGGGAGCAAACATTTCTCAGAGAAAAGGGGGAAAAAAGGAAAACATTTGTGTAGAAAGTTAAAAATCGGCTCCAAATCATTCGAAAGCCTGTTTCCATATTGTTACTTTGAAATCGTGTTCTTAGGACTATGTCCAAGACCACAACGAAAGAAAGATAAAACATATATAAACTATAGAGATTAGAGAGTTAATAATACACTTTCAATTTACGAAGTTTATATATATGTATAACTTTTTTGAACTAGAAGTTAGCCAAACTGAACTGAAAGTGTATATGAAAACTGATAAGAAACTAAAAAGTAGCGATACGAAAACTTCTATCCGATTATCTTCCTTGATTTAACCCTATCGACACTATATGAGTATGATCCGAAAGATTCGTCGTATTAAAAAACACTGATAAAACAAGTTTTGTCATATTAAAGAGGACTTAGTGCCACGATTGCAACTTCTCTAACTTGCAACAAAAGCCAATACGTTACAAAAACAAGAGAGACAAAACCAAAACAAACTAAAAGATCAACTTTTTTCTAGCTTGATAAGCACATTATGACATTTATCATTCTTAGTTGAGATCGTGATGTCTCAATGTAAAAAATAAATATTAAGATAAATTACTTACATATTGATTATAGTGCTTCAAACAAAAACAGTATTTTTTTTTTCTTCTTTGACCAAACTAAAAACGAACAGAGAAGCAAAACAGAGGATGCCAAAAACAGAGACGATGCTTGTGTTAGTATGTTTACATCACTCAACTTGAAGCACATTCTTCTTCTCAAAATGTCTCTTTCTCGTCTCGGATTTTGCCTCTTCTCTTTTCTTCGTTATCTCTTTCATCTCTTCTCTAAACCGTTCTTCTATCTCCTCTAACTCCACTCTTAACCCCTCATCTTCTTCTTCCTCCAAGCTTCCTGCTTTCTCTGCTTCTTGATCTCCTGTTGTTGCACCAGCTATGTTTGCCTCATCATCGGATCGTTGGAAATAATCCGAGGACAAAGACTGAGGAACACAGTCACCATTTTGATGATGATGATCCTTAGAGATCTGGCTCCGTTGCTGCGGATGAATAAGATGATCGATAGATACATCAGTTTTCCAACTCGGTATCAGATTGACGAGCAACATGTCGATCAGTTCCGCTATAAAGGTAACGTTCTGATCCGTCAGCTCGAGCTGTTCGACCATTTCGCTCGACACCTTGGAAGCTGTGTCGCCTTCTTGATAGAACAAGAAATGAATGTTCCTCACACGTCCGTTTTCGTCGACTATACGAAGAATTATCGAAACAGAGTTTTCGTCGTTCTCTTCACCTTTAAGGACAAAGAAGTTGCCCCGCTTTGCACGTCTCACCTCAACACACTTTGATCCTGAATCGTTGCTGCTTGAAGTAACAATAGGAAGGTTATCGTCCTCATCAAGATCGGTCGACAATGGTCGGTTTCGAGCAGTAGCCGGTCCTTCGGACATTAGACAACGTTCTCCGAACGCACCTTCTTTCGGCATTACAATGTCCGGAAGCGGTAAAGGAGTTAAACCGTTCACTTGGAGAAAAGAATCCATCAGAAGCTCCTTTGCTGATAATCTTTCCGAAGCTGGCAATAGACATTTATCGATGAATTGCATTACTTCTGGATCTTTAACCTTACATAGTGAAGCTGGTTTTATACCCTAAGTTACAAAAAAAGACTCCAAAGTTAGTTAAAAAAAATTTGGTAATCAAATAAAATCACAAAAGAAAATATTGAACTTACGGATAAAACTTTCTTGAAGATCTGAGCGGAGTTTGTACATTCACAATAAGGATAATCAAATGTAACCATTTCCAACATACACATCCCAAACGAGTATATATCAGCGAGCTCGTTGTAGTTCTCATCGTAAAGCTCTGGTGCCATAAACTCTGGAGTTCCTGTTTGGTTATAACAATTTCAATCATTTTAATACCGAAAGAAAAAAGAAGAGTAAATTAATAAAAAAAAAATACAAAAATCATACCAATCACACTTGTGGCGTTAGCTTGCTCCATGACAGTAGCTAAACCAAGATCTCCTATCTTCACCTCTCCATGATTACCGTTGATGAAAATGTTATCGCATTTAATGTCTCGGTGAATTATCGGCGGTTCTTGACTGTGAAGATATTTCAACCCCGTTAGAATCTGTCTCGCCCAACATTTCACAGCCTTCATGTTCACTTTTCTATGTTTCTTACGGTACCTTCAACAAGAAACCAAAAACAAAAGTTTTCAACGTGACAAATATAGCAAAAGGAAGCAAAAGAGTGAGTGGTTAATACGTACTGGCGGAGACTTCCTGAAGTGAACAGTTCGGTGATTATGTTAACGGTTTTGTTCTTGTCATCGATCCACGAGTTGTAAAACCTTAGAATGTTGTGGTGCTTCAATGATTTCAGAAGCCGCACTTCTGAATATAGCCTCTCTAGGCAGTCTGGTGATTGCAAAAGCTCATCGATCTTTACTTGGTTCCACGCAACTTCAATCCCATCTACTTCATCGAATCCTTTATATCTGATTATTTTGTGTAAGAGTGTTAATGAAATGGTGAATTTTAAGATCTTCTCATGCATAAAAGATCCCAAAAAAAAAACAGAGATTATGTAAAACCGCAGAAAAAAAGGCATACACTGTCTTGAATGCGCCTTTTCCTATCACTTCTTTGTACTGAAAATGTTACACATTAATTGGTTAAGGAAAAAAAAAAAAAAAAAAGGAGAAACAAACAAAAGTTTGGTGGATCGAGCCTAATGTTATGTAAATATCTTACGAAAAAAATTGAAACAATCATGCAAGAGACAAAGATTATTAGTTTGTTTTTTTACCCGAATATATCGACAAGTTGGGTCGATTTCAAGAATGTCTGGGTCAGGAGGTTCTACAATTGCTGAAGCATCTTCTAAACCTTCCATGTCTTGCTAATCTTGATTAGTATTCTCCAATTTCAGAATTCTATATAACACACAAGAAAAAATGATCTTGAGATTAATTTTTTGACACAAAAGATAACTAAACGCTGATGTAATCCTAATTCCAATTTCGTAAAACAAACAAAAAATTAATCAGCTTAATTATTGATTGACCCAAGAAAAAAATATTATCAAAATCTCACAAGCCACCTGATCCAGACAAATCAAATTGCGGCCATGAACATCTATCACGTAATCGAGAGGAGACATCCATATTCAGACATGATTACGAGAAAAAGGAGATATTTCGTCGATTTTTTTTTTTATATATTTTCGCATAATTATGTGTTTAAGATTTACCTGGAGAAGGAAGGAGTCGTTCAATTCTTGTTTTATTCGCCAATTTAAGATGAAACGAAAAAGGAGATATGATATGAGAACCCTAATTTGATTCTGAAACCTATTGAATATCGAATGAACGAGTGTCGTTTAATCGATTCACGAACAACAAATTTGTTTCCACTAGATTTTATCTCTCTCTTTAGAAAAAGAAAACAAATTCAAGTCCTCTTAAGAAAACAGACTAGCCCATGTAAGAAATATATATCCATGATCCATCAACATTTTAGATTTAAAACGTTTTCGTTTTTGGAGTTAGGTGACGCATCTTACAGATGGCATCTGATAATTGTACAATATCAACCCATTGCTGACGTGGAAATATTCAAATGGATATTTGTTTTTGGAAGATTACTTTGAAATCCCTTTTCGTGGCTTACCTGATCGGGTGTCCGAACAGACAAATATTCGCTTTTTTCATAAAAGAAAATAAAAGTGTGATCTTTTTAATTATGAGATGACATCAGCTGAAAGTGACTTCGACCTGCATGGCACGGGTCTTCTTGCTAATCTAATAAATATTGTATGGAATTTTATTCAAACATTAAGCTATGTGTATTGTATAAGTATTATGTAAAACGTACATGCACAAATCAAGTAGTTAAGCTAGGTGTATACTGAGCTGGAGAAACTGATATTAGTTTGTAGTATGGCTTCGTAAAATTCGCCTAAAACGGATTAATTATTATATATCTTGTTAGCTGTTATATAAATTTTTATTTTTTAAAAAAAAGTTTTTCTATCCAGAGTTGGTAACGGGTTGAATCCAAAAATTTTATAAGAAAGAGAATCTACGAAACTAAACTCAAACAACGATTACACAAAAGACATATTTACATGTGAACTGAAAGATTACATTAAGTAAAACCTACAAATGTTTTGGTTAAGAAAGAAAAACTAATTAAGAGATTGTTGCAGAAGAACCACCACTATCAAGATAAATTAGTACCCTGATTTGACTGTTATTCACTTATTTTTCCAAACAGGGAACGATTAGATAGTATAATTAAATCAAGGGGTTAATTTACAATTAAGCAAAACAAGAGCTATGTATAATGTTATAAATGGCTCTTGTTATACATAGCTTTACAAAACAAGCAAAACAACCATTTATAATTATACATAGAGACCATGGCCAAAGTCTGGTTTTTCTTTAAAGCTAGCTTAATGGCCACTATCGATAAATCTTCTTCTTAAGATTTATTTATATAAGAAGGAGAAGAATAGAAGTGGTTCGAGAGAAGATTTTTCTTAGAACCGATAATGAGAAGAATGACTATGTTTATGAATTATGATCCTAAAGAATGTAAATGGGACGTTTCAGCAAAAAGATTCTTGATGTGTGTGATAGAGAGAGAGTAAGGTATGGTTATGGCAAACAACGTTGCTTGTGGTATGACAGAATGCGTAAAGAGTGGAGAGTGGTCAGAGATTTGGCTATGTTGAATCAGAATTTTCGTGGCGATTTTCTTGAAATAGCTAATTATATACCGTGGGAAGCTCTTAATCTTGTGGGACAAGTTTGCGAGTCGAGGTCGTCGCTGTCAATACAAGAATATTTGGTGTGCTGTGGTTGGGCTTGAAAGACGCAATGATGGTGATGAAGTTTGGGGAAACGTTGAGTGGGCTAGCGTTGTGCTCACGGTTCCTAGATCATATGTTTTTTTTGCGTGGTCGAGTCATGAGTACGTATTGATATACTGTAGATTGGTGGATTGCTGCTTTTAGATTTTATTCTTTTAACCGATACAGAGTCATGACTTCTTTTTTGGGTGGATTGCTGCTTTTAGATTTTATTCTTATATACCGATACAAAATTTAGATTAAAAGTTATAAATACAAAAGGTAATTTATTGTGATTTGTGGTATGAACCCAAATTGTAGAGGTTTGGCTATGTTGAATACGAATTTTCATGACTGAAATGGCTAAGAATACCGTAGAAAATTATTAACTGAACGCATTTTTATATATGTGAAGCGGAGAGCTGTCATTTGGATAGAATTCATTAAAATCTATTAAAAAAAAAAACTTTACAACACTTTTGAGAGGCTCTTTTGTAATAGAAGGAATGTTTTTAACAATAACAAAATAATTAATAAATAAATTCAAAAAAAATTGTTTAAAATATAATCGAATCGATAGGAATGACAAAAGTAAACATTGACAATACTTCTTAAAACAATTTAGGCAATAAATTGAAATTTCAAGAATTCGAAGTCAATATATATACATTTTGCTAGTTAGTCAATTTAAAAACTTGGCTATTAGTTATATATTTGAACTCAGTACATTTACATTTTGAAACTTTACAAATTCGAAGTCAATGAACATACAAGTTAGTCAATTTAAAAAATAAGTTAGTCAGTATATTTACATTTTGAAACTTAACAAATTCGTAGTCAATATATATATACATTTTGCTAGTTAGTCAATTTAATTTTTTGGCACTTTAGTTATTTTGGTGTGCTTTTTATTTATTTACATTTTGCTAGGCAGTCAACTTAAAATTATGGTATGGTAGTTGTTTTTAGTATTGAATTTTGGTTTTTGAAGTCTAAGAAGCAAATATACATTATTTCCAAAACGTTTTAGGTAGCATTAACAATCTTAACTTTTATGTCAATAATTGAACATGTTTGATTGTTTATGGTTATCTTAATTTTATTTTGTTTACTTTCACGAATGGTCGAATATTATTTTTCATTTTATCGTATTTATTTCACGCGTTGTAAAATATCTTATTATAAACCTCATGTATACACGAGACCTCTAGTAAACAATAAACCTCAAAGAGAGAGAGACCAAAATCAAAGAGTGATCATGATAAGAAAAAAAAGGTAAAACTTGCAAGGGGCTAAGGTTGGCGAACAAAATATAAGGGAACGTACCATATTGTGTTATGTAAAAGATTGTCTGATAATGGTTTGGCCATTTGTTGAGGCCGGTTGTGACCTCTTAAATGATATTTTTACATCACACAATATGGTTAGTTCTCTAATATTTTTGGCCATGTGTTGAGGCCGTTTGGCCATTATTAGACAAGCTTTCACTTTTTTTTGTTTTTTTTTTTTTTTTTTCTGAACAGCAGACAAGCTTTCACAAAACGTCAAACATAAGAAGAAGAAAGAGACGACCTAAAGGAAAAGAGACACAGTGTATAGCCAATAGCTTCTTCTTTTTTGGTTAAACACAAAAATGTATATATTTGAGTTCGAATCATTAGACAAATGGGACTACATTAAACACAACTTGGTGTATAATACGCAATAGTCTAAAGATTTACATCGCATACAACGATCACTCTGTTTCAAGTCCGGATACTCTTAATCCGATTCGTACATTTAGTGAAAGATCAACCATATAGGTTAGGCGAGTTTTAGGTAGTTTTTAATGCTTCGGACAAAGCTTGGAAAACGCTTTCTTGTGTCATATCCTCAACAATCACAACTTTATCTCGAGATTTAGATCCCGAACCCAATGAAACTTGTCTTCTTTTCACCCCCAATACCTGTTTCAGATAAACATCTAATGATAGTGAGAACCTGATGAGAATAATCCACCTCTTAACTAGCTCTCACCATCAAAAGAAGACATGACAAACAATTCTCATTGCTTAAAGCATCGCATACCCATTGCAATATAGATCAAGCCAACAATGTATCTTAAATCATTTAGTCAAACATTACAGAGACACAATCCTACATCAAACTATGAGAGCCAAATCGGATGATAACATTAATTCTGTTCCTCAAGAATTTGAATGTGATAACATTAGTGACTAATCCAAGATGCTAGAAGAGAGAAGGTATAACAAAAGGTGAAAACTTTTCCGACGAAGAAGAGAAGAGAGAGAGAGAGAATTTACAGAGCTCATGTACTCGAGAAGAGCTGCGTTAGCTTCACCGTCTCTGGCCGGAGCATCGATCTGAACGCCCACCGCTTCATCGCTCACATCTTTTGATCAAACAGAGAAGCCAATTCGGTAAAAAATTCAGAGATGGTGTAAGAAATTAAACCGAACAAAGAAGCAAAATTACCGGTGATGGAGGCAGATTTAGAACCAGGCTTCGCGTGGATGGTGATGGCGACGGAGGACGGTGAAAGGAGGCGCAAACACGACGGAAAGCTCGACGTATCATCGGCGGTAGGTTTAGCCGCCGTTGATGCGGCTGAATTTGTCTTCTTTCCTTTCTTCGTCGGAGCCATCTTTTTTTCCGGCAAAAGAGGCTCTTTTCTTAACCGGTTGAATCGAATGTTTGTTGTATATTTTAATAGGCCCTTTGGGTATTGATTTGGGTTTTGGATTTTAAAAACTATTTCTGAAGAAAATCCTCAAAAAACAACTATTGCATCATTGACTGATCATACAAAAGGATTATATATACCACAAGAGACTGTAAAATTCAAAATAGTTGACACTCTTTACAAAAGACTTCATCTTTTTACTTCATATCCTTAAGAACTTGTGTTTGTAGAATTCATCAAAAGAGAGACGTGTAACTGCAAAAATTTGGTAACCAAGAACTGAATATACAACAATAAGGGAATGTTGAAACCACAAATGGATTGAGATTTTGCTGTACCTGGATTAATAGAAAGCAACCTTGAACAGACGTCAATGCAATCTGGATGCAAATGTTGAAGAATCAACCGAGAGAAGGGAAGTGATGTACTAGATTTGATGTTCCTTAGAACCTATGGTTAGTGATAAAAGGTTTTTAAGTTTATTGGCAATAAGAGCTTTTAGATGAAAGATTACTAAAAACCAATTCAAGATCTCACCTGAACATTGTTCATACCGCGAAAAGGCGGATACCCGTGAAGAAGCTCGAAAAGGATCGCTCCTACACTCCACATATCAGCCTGCAATGTTTTTCCAGTGAATCTCCATTGCAAAAGCTCACCATTTTTCAACAGACAGAGATTCAATGGAGCACAATCTCACCTTTTCATTGTATCTCTGAAACTGAAGAACTTCAGGAGCCATGTAAAACGGTGAACCACACACAGTCTCAAGATACTTTCCCGGAACTAGTTTCCTGCTTTCCACATGAATATACAAAAATCTGTATATACCTCAAATGCTATAAACACTCCATAAAGCAATGACTTTTCTGAAAATTGTACCTAGCAAGACTGAAATCAGCTATCTTCAACACTAATTCATCACCTGATCCAGCAAGTAAAATGTTCTGTTTCCAATCAAATACAACGTCACAAATCCAAATTCTCTATTCTCAATCATTAGTAAGTCATGAATCTAGCAGTACCTCAGGTTTAAGGTCCCTGTGTATGATGTGATTATCATGAATGATTTCCAAACCAGCTCCTGCATCAAAAATTGATACTTTGTTAACTCTCCAGGAGAATCAAATGCAGTAGAAACATTAGCCTGACATTATCACAATTCACAAACCAATTTGCTTCATAAATCTCCTGGCAATGTCTTCTTCAACTCTCCCATGACGTTGAATATACGATGATAAAGTTCCTCCATCGCAATATTCCAGAACCATGATGAGAAAATCTTCATCCTGAAAATGTCAATTTGAAATTAAAGCTAAACGAATTTTCAGATATTCGAAAAAAATCAGGAAAAACCCAGATTCGTGTGTGTGTGATCGTACTTGGAAAACTTGGAGAAGACGAATGATGTTGGGATGATCGACGGAAGATAGAAAATCGAGCTCGCTGTCTAAAGAGCTTCGGAGATTGCGATTGAGCTTCGAGAGATCGAAACACTTGATCACCGATTCTACTCCGGTTAACCTGTGCTTCGCTAGCCAAACCGTTGAGGTTAAACTCTCACTCAGCTTCGATTTCGGTTTGTATTCCTCTAGCATCACAATACGCTTCCAGAGATTGTCTTCTTCGAGGGAAGAAACGTTTTTCATTGATTCAAACAAAACGAAGAAGAAGATCATCAAAATTTGCTCAAAGGAAGTTGACAGATCCTCTAGCGTCAAATTCTCGTAAAATTTTAGTGTTAATCTTACGACGTCGTTTCGCAGAACTTGTATTTTCTGGATATACTATTACGACGACGTCGTTTCAGAGAAACTTTTTAGTTCGACTTCATCTTGATTTTAATTACGACGTCGTTTCAGAGAAACTAACAAACATGTTTCCACACCTTCGACTGCATCTTGATTTTGGTTTTTCAATGTATGTCTCACAAATACAATACACGAGAAATTGTGTTGTTTAATTTCCGTATTAATCTTCAAAAATCAAGCTGCGTAGTTCAAATATTTGAATAAAGTTAAGGAAATATGCTTAACGAGATAAGAATGCAATGATTACAGAAGTTACATTATGTTCATATTCAACAATCAGTTCAAGAAACAAAATCTCCATAGGTCCTAGTCTAGTCGACGGGTTTTAAATCCGATACTTTAAATTTGCAATTGATATAAGTCAACATTCATTTCATAATTAGATCAAGTAAGTTTGGCTAATTAATACAAAATATAAGATGTGGAACAGAAAGAAAAAAAGTATGATCACACGTATTGAACTATTGATTAGTAAGACAAATGCATGTACCGAAAGGAATAGTTTTGGAATTACACTGTTAGTGCTGTTCAATATGATATAGAATTTCTCTTCACATGGTAATTATATTAAAAATTTATTCTGTTTTCTATATTAAATAAGAAAATAAATCCAGCCAGACTTTTAAAAATATTAAAAGGGAAACATTAAAATTGCATTTTTTTCATTTTTTTTCCTTTTGTTGTAAAAAGTAATAAAATGGTCTACTGGCTCGACAACTAATTGTATCATTTTCTTTGGTGTCATTACAATTCCTTTTGTGTACTGTCTCCATAGGAAACAAAATCCTCCATAGGTCTAGTCAAGTCCACGGGGTTTTAATCCGATACTTTGGCAATTGATATAAGTCACATTCATTTCATAAGTAGACCAAGTCCCTCTACCTAATTAATACAAAATATAAGATGTGGAACAGAAAAAAAAGGTATGATCACACGTATTGATTAGTAAGAGCATGTACCGAAAGAAATAGTTACAACGTAATAAAAACATTGCTGTAAAATATGATATAGAATTTCTCTTCACATGGTAATTATATTAAAAATTTGCTGTTATTTTATATATGAAATAAGAAAATAAATTCAGCCAGACTGTTGAAAATTTTAAAAGGAAATATTAAATTGCATTTTTTCATTCTTTTCCTTTTGGTCTACTGGCTCGACAACTAATTGTATCATTTTCTTTGGTGTCATTACAATTCCTTTTGTGTAATGTCTCATAAAACCAATAGTCCATCTTTTACTTAGCTAATAAAACCAATAGTCCATCTTTTACTTAGCTAATATGTACAACCTATTAAACAAAAAATGCTATTGTTGACTACGCAAGCAAAATTCCAAAAAATTCAATTAATTTATTTTAACACCTGTCCAAAATTTTATGATGGTAAAAACATTTTTTTGTATTATAAAATGCATCCAACTTCTTGTAATAGGATATAGACATCTATTAGATTACATAGAATCTCTCACTTTTAATCAATCTCTTCAAAAAGTAGTTCTAATGTTGGCAGGAAATCCAAGTAGAGGTGAGGATAAAACTCGCTCTCTGCAGCAAAAAACTTCTGAATTCAACTCTCTTCTCAATGGAATTCCGGCGAGTACCAATATTCTTCTTGTCGACACCAATTTCGTCACTTTATTTGATATGAGGGACATCATGCAGCAATACGCCTATGAAGGTAACTCTTTCTCTCCATCCCTCTCTCTCTGTAACTTCTCTCTGTAATTTTATTAATTTATTAAAGAGTTGTTAGGGTTAGGGTTTCATTCTGTTTTTTTTTCTTGTTATCCAGTGACGATTTTTACAGAAGCGGACGAAGCTATCGCGTTTTTGACAAACTGTGAACATGAAATTAATATCGTGATTTGGGATTTTAATATGCCCGGAATTAACGGACTCCAAGCTCTCGACATTATTGGTTCGAGGTTGGATTTGCCTGTCGTGAGTACGTAAATCGCTGATTATTTTTATTTTTAAAATTTTAAAATTAATAAACGAAATCTCTTTTGTTTGAATTAAGAAAAAAAAAAAGAATAATAATAATCTGTTTATATCTTTGTGTAGTTACGGCTGATGATGATCCAGTAGAATCTGTGATGCAAGCAACGTTACATGGTGCATGCGACTATTTAGTGAAGCCGGTTAAATCATCGATCATAGCCAACATATGGCAACACATTGTACGCAAGAAGATGATGCGTAAACCCGGTTTAGTTCCACCGGTTCAATCAGAAGACAAAGGTGGACAAAACATCGGTGAGGCTGAAGAGAACGCAGCAAAGAAACCGCGAATGGCGTCAGCGAGTGAAGAAACTCAACCACTTCCATCAGATCCGGTTCCGAGTAATGGTTTAGACAAAGACAACGATAACTCCAAGACCATAAAGCAAGGCAACGGTGAAAAAGACAAGGTAAATCCGAAGAAACCGAGGACAGTGTGGGATAACGATCTTCAAGAGAAATTTCTCGAAGCCATTGATGTAGCTGGTGGTAGTGAAAGTAATATATCTAACTATTTCAATTTATTGATTATTCTCTTTTTTCTTGTCATTTTTTTCTTTCTGATCTTGTTTTGAATGCAAACGCAGAAGCTAATCCAAAGGAAATTCTCAAAATTTTGAAAGAGATGAAAGTCGAAGGACTTACTGGAAACAATGTGGCTAGTCATCTTCAGGTACTTGTTTTGTATTTTATTTTTATTTGGTTGACAAGAAACCCATCAATTTATTAGATTATATTGTGCACATATCAATAACACAAGTTTTATATCAATTAATTAATTAATGTGTTGTTGTGCAGAAATATCGTCAAAGTCTTGCTGAAGTCAAAGCTCCTGCTCAACCGGTGCAAGAGGCTCCTTGGGTTCCCTTAGGCGTGTACGATACTTTAGTAAAAAGTTCGTCAATTAAGATCAATGATGACCAGGTCCAGCAGGACCAATATCGCAACAATGTTCAAACAACATCACTGTTGAATGGCTTCACGATCCAGCCGAACCAATATCCAAACAATTTTCTCACAACAACGTCACTGTTGAATGGCTTCACGGTCCAGCCGAACCAATATCCAAACAGTATTCACACAACAACATCGTCACTGATGAATGGCGGCCTAAGCAGTGTTCAGACAGCAACATCGTCACTTGTGAATGGCGACAAGGTCCAGCAGAACCAGTATCTGAACAAGGTGCACGCAGCAACGTCGTCACTTGTGAATGGCGACACGGTCCAACAGAGCAAGTATCGAAGCAGTGTTCAGAGAGCAACATCGTCACTTGTGAATGTCCAGCAGAACCAACATCTAAGCAGTGTTCACACAGCAACATCGTCACTTGTGAATGGCGACACGGTCCAGCAGAACCAGTATCTGAACAAGGTGCACACAGCAACATCGATGAATGGCGAGACGGTCCAGCACCAGTATCTCAACAATGTTCACACAGCAACATCGTCACTTGTGAATACCGACCCGATCCAGCAGAACCAATATCGAAATGGTTACTCGACTGTGAACAACAACAACGACAACCAGTTCATGACCAATCCTTTGCCCCGTTTGCCCTATCTTGACCATCCCCATCTCCAGCCGCAGCAGCCCCAACAGGAGTCCCAGCAGGAGCCCCAGCAGCAGCAGCCCCAACAGGAGCCCCAGCAGCAGCATGATCAACAACTTCCGCTATCTCATGAATGGAATTACGTGACAAGCAATTACGAACCTGAAGAAGACTATAGCGCAACGGAACCTGAGCTCATTTATACAAATTCAACATATGATCTAGGAGAGTATTTTCCAAATGGCTACAACTTCCCTCAGTGATCTGGCCTTTTCTTTACTTGTCTCTATGTAGGAGATTATCTGATTTATAATTCGAGATTCTGAGAGACTAGTCTGTGCCATGGAGAAAAGGAAGGGAAGACTGGTCAATGTGACTTATCTTGTGAGTCACAAGAAGCTTAGCTTAGTTATTAGTATTACTCTATCAAACCCATTACTATATTGGTAATGGAGAATATGCATTTCAATTAATCAATATTATCAATGTTTTTCTTTTTCTTATAGATTCTTTTCAATGTATGATTATGTTTTTCAATGTTTATAATCCATGATATGTGCGTAAATTTAATATATAAAACTAAGGCACTTTTGTTCATTTGTCACTTTTGAACTCTATTGAGTTTGTTTCCCTTTCGTTATTTTTGCCTCTTTCCGTTTTGTAAGATGATGCTTCAGCATCATATTTTCTTGTAACTCTCTTTTATTGATACACATCAATACACCCAGCCTTAGAAAAAAAAAAGCACTTTATGCAAATATCTATACACGCTATAGATTTTTTGAAAGAAGATTCACTACTAAAAATTATGGGTAAAGCTATGAAAAAGTTACAAGAAAGCCACGGAAAAGTTAGGAAACCCATAATTAATAAACACGAAAATACACGCTCTCATTCATTCTCACGAAGAAATAACATAAGTACCATTAATGAATGGGTGACTTAATTAACTTTCTTAGCCATCAAACCCTATATTACGATTATACACTATTTGAATTCAACAAAACCCTAATTTCATTTTATGATTATCGCAAATCATAATACTTATCATCTTTAATTTTACAAACATGGTTATAGTTTGTATACCTGATTAATTACTAAATTACTAATCTTTTTTTATAACGATTACTAAATTACTAATCATCTTTAGTTTTCTCTTATTATTTGATAAATTATTGCTTTGAATTTAAGTGTGTTATCTTCTGGTCATACACCACTATTGAACTCTCCAATATCTGTTTGATATTTATTTGAACAAAGGTTCGATGTAATCTAATAACAATGCAAGACCAGCTGATTAACAATACTCATGAGTATCAAAGATTGATCAATGGGCAATGGCGACGCAAGATTGGCGTTTGGTTCACCAACAGGATTCCAAACTGTTATCAATCAAAACTGAACACGCAGTAAACACATGAAACACATCAAAATTGTCATTTACATTTGTAATGTCCTTTCTTTTAAGTAAAACATCCTATATATTTGAACAGAATAGTAAAGATTTATTTTCTAGACATATTATATGTCTTCTTCTAGTGGCTAATTCAGTTTGGGTCAAAATGTACTTTCAAAAAATTATTCAAGAATATCAAATCATAGTAGGAATTAAAGAAAAAATGGAGTCTTAATTATTATTCACGAAATCAATGGAAACATAACTCATAAACTTCATAATTTCCTGTTCTTAATTAGAATCTTAGTCATCTATATTGAAGATTATAAGTTGGTGTTTGAAAATTAAGTTGGAGCTGTCTTTTAAGCACTTGCTACCAGAGAAAAGGTTCAAGAGTTCAGGAGGCCAGAACCTAAGACAGAAAAGCTTTGAGCTAATGGTAATAAGTTAATAAACTAATAATGAGCTATAAATAGTACGGAAAAACATAGCACAAAGGTTCTTGTACGATAAAAACGAAAGAAAGAGACTGGTGTTTATTATGTTCTTTTTCTGATATCTCTCCATCGCGAATCCCTTCTCTTTAATATATACATATATATAATCATTGTCATGATGTCCTTTTAACAACAAGAAAAGTTGGAAACTAATACAAATGTTTACTATGACAGTGTACATGACTAATCTCGATAAAAGCATGAAAACTCTCTTGTTATCCTCTTATATTATAAAGTTGTATACTTTATGTGACTATATGTGAGTGTGTTTGAATCAATCTTGCTACATAAATATCAAATCAGTGTAGATATTTTCATTAAACCCATTCAAAGAGATTTCCATTGCACGAAATTAATTAATGGAAATATAAGTCCACAACCTCATAATTGCATTCTTGTTGTTAATTAGACTCTTGAGTCATCTAAACTGAAGATTTTAAGTTGGTGTTTTGGGAACCAAGCCACTAAAGATTTTAAGTTGGAACAGTCTAATAAGACACTTACTAGCAGAGAAAAGGTTTAAGCTAACGGTAATAATGACCTGTCGTATAGAAAAACATAGCACAAAGGTTCTTTTACGATAAAAACAAAAAAGAAGATAGACATTGGTGTATTGTTTCGTGAGAGGAACTCAAGTGAAAAGAATATGGCGCTCCTAAAATAAATACATAAGATAGTATTTCGAAATAAATTATAATTAAGGTTCTATAGTTTTTAAGTGTATGAAATTCTATCTTAAGTAAGAGTGTAGAACAATAAGATAAAGGTGGCCAAAGAAACTCATATTTCTAACAAAAATACAATGTTTATTATGTTCTTTGTTCTGATATCTTTCTCACCACAAAATCCTTAAGTTCTCTTTAATAGATAATCATTATCATGATGTCCCTTTTACAAAGTGTCTAAAGAAAAGAGCTAGGAGATTGATACAAATGTTTTATATGACAATGTACATGACCGATCCCTGTAAAAGCTCAAGAAAAGCGTATAATGGAATTCAAAGATCAAATACCGACAAGACTAGAGAGCATTAAAACTCTCTTGTTTCGTTATTTTATAAAGTACTTTCGTTTGTGTGACTGTGTAAGCGTGTTTGAGCACGACCGTGCTCACGATTGTAAAAAGGGCAACTCCCTCAGGCCCCTGTTTTATACAATATACACTGCATGGAGTCTCGAGTGTATGTATTCATCTTCTCTTTGTATATGGAGTTTGATTTGTTCACATATGTATACAAATTGATCTAGAAATAATTGGTGCCAAAAGAGACCAAACACACTATTCGGATATATATTTTTTTGTTCATAGGGCAATTAAACGTTTTAAAACTAGGAGATGCCAAAATAATAAATAAAAAGAAACATCTTAAAACAAGCATGGAAAATCCCAACAAAAAAAAAATTGAAGAAAAAACAAGGAAAACAAAATGAACGACTATTATAAGTACGTGGTCATGTTATTTTCAATATATTTTTCAGCAAGTTGATCGCTACTTAATTACATGTATGTGTGTCAAATGTAGTTCTTAAAATAAAAAATCATGTGGTTATGTAAGATGCAAAATCTGTATGACGTTGCTCTACTACTACGGAGGTAATAATTCCCAGGATTTTAGCTTGTCACGGCGCATCAAATGTAGAAGTTAAATACTTCTTATTACTTTACTACATTATCACTAATTAAAATAATTGAAAGTGCAAATAAAAAAGTGCAAAGGAGGGTGAAAAAGAAGAAGTATCCCCTACACTTGTTCTCTTTTGGTGGGCTAATTCTTGTCCACAAAATTCATATACACTATCTCCAAGTCTCTAAATCAATAATCATTAATCTATAAAATTCATTTTTAATTGAAAAAGAGTGCATACTTGCATATAGTAATCAAAATTTGGTGTGTTACAGATACAAATGTTGGTTAAAAGCGAAGAGGCATAATTCCGACCTCCACTAAGTGACATCAAAGTTTATGCAGGTGTCGGTTATTCATTCCTATGATCAAATTTTAAACGGTGCGAAAATATATATATACATAGTGGTAAGTGGTAACAAAAAAAAAAAAAAAGGAATTTGAATGCCAACATTTTCTTCGAGTTTTTCAAAAGTGTTTTTCGATATTCATATGCATTTAAAATAACTCTTTACATCAGTTTATCCATATAAAGTGGATTATTTAGAATTCCACAGCAATCCCAAGAAAACAGAATTATAATGTCATTATTATGTTCTTGTTCCCCTATTTCACAGATAGTTCACTATAACTTTTTTTTTTTTTGTAAAAGGATATTAGTTCATTATAACTTCACAATTCGATATATAGAAATGTAGTCAACTTCAGTATTTTCATGCAAAAAGTGAAAGAATCACTACCAATTGTTTTTTCGTAAAAATGATCACTTTAATGCATTGGAACTTAGAAATCGTAATACGTCAGACAAGAAATCTCATACTATTAAATAAAACGATCATGAAATAAATAAATAAAACGCATTAAAAGATAAGAAACATGGGACTTTTTTTTGTGGCAAAGATGAAACATGGGACGTGGTACTAAGGTTGGGGAAATTTAGGAGAAGAACGCGACAAAGTTCAAATCCGAACGAATAACGTTCCACTCTTTTGAAAGGTAAGCAAATAAACAAACGCCGACCAACGAAACAAATAATTAAACAAACAATAGAACCATTTATATGCAGACATTTGGGAATATCAAAACAGATTTTGCAAATATTACCCGTAAAGAGAAAACAGTTTACATAGAAAAAGCCAAAAAGGTCTTATGATCTGATATTAAACAATGAACTTTTGAAATTAAGAAGGTAGAAAGAGAGAGAAAAAAGAAGCAAATAAACAAACAACAGAGCCATTTATATGCAGACAACAAGAGGTCCAAATATCAAAATAGATCTTACAAATATTAACAGCATAGAGAAAATAATTTAGTAAACACAAGGACAAAAAAAAAGGTCTGACAATCTGACCTATTTCTTACAAAATCCGATGAATTTATGGACACATCCGATGTAAGGAAGCCTATATACATATCTCAGTGCAGAAAAAAAAATGAACTTTTAATTTCAAAATCATTTAACGTTCAAGAAAGAAAAAGGTTATTACAAGTGGCAAAAGATTCAATCCATTTAGTTAAATAGTGATAAATCAAAATAGTAGAAGTTTCGGAAAATAAAACTCTGAAAATCAAAATTTCCACTAAAATATCTCAATGGAAAACATAATTTGCTGATAGTATGTTTTAAAGTAAAGTGAATGATTAAGCAACACATACACATACACATGGAAAGAAGAAAGAAAGATAACTGCTAAAGCACAAAGACTGCTTTACAACACTACATTTTGTGGGCAAAGCATTTAAATTGTGAAGAAGATACAACAAAATCTTCCTCCTCCTCCTGATAAATAAAAATATAATGGAAAAATAAAATAAAATCCAGCGTATCAAGAATCAACACAAGACAAACAGGAGGATACATCAAAGATTTCTAAAATAAAGTGAGACAAAAAGAAAAAGAAATGAATTGAAAACTCAATGTTGGAAAAGAAAAGTGATAATAGTCCCTACACAAGCATCTTGTGGTTGGAGAAGATGTTGGCGAATGGCACAATCACCACTCAAAAGGATTCATGAAAAATGGATAAGCTACTGGGTCCCAAATCTTCTCCAATCTCATCTGAACAAATAGAAGAAAAATGCCACTTTCTTAAACAAATCTTATTACTCCTCAATTATTAAAAGAAAGAAATCTCACTCCCACTCTCAGTAATCATGTCAAGCTATATATAAGACCACTTTGAATTCCCCAAAAGATTAAGAAACAAATAACCAAACAAAGACAATCATAACAGAGAAATAGACTTTGATTCAAAGCTTTCTTTCTAAAGAAAAAAAAAAATGTCTGCAAATGAATTACCATCTTCAGCTCAAGAACAAATCCTAGCCAGTTTTGTCTCAAGAAAGCTTCTTCTGCACAACCCTTTTGACCACAACAATCCACAAGCCTTTGCGGTTTCACCATCTCCTCCCATCAATCATGAGAACAACCTCAGCGGAAACGTCCTGATGCTTCTCTCAATCCTCATCTGTGGAATCATCTGCTGCCTCGGATTACATTACATCATTCGTTGCGCGTTCAGACGTACTTCAAGTTTCATGATCTCTGAGCCTATCTCTAGTCTTTCCACACCAAACGGTCCATCAAACAAAGGAATCAAGAAGAAAGCTCTTAGGATGTTCCCTGTCGTGAGTTACTCACCTGAGACAAACTTGCCGGGGCTTGGTGAAGAGTGTGTCATTTGTCTGTCGGATTTTGTTTCCGGTGAACAAATCAGGCTGCTCCCTAAGTGTAACCACGGTTTCCATGTTCGTTGCATTGACAAGTGGCTCCAACAACATTTGACTTGTCCAAAATGCAGAAACTGTCTGGTTGAGACATGCCAAAAGATCTTAGGTGATCAAGTGATAGCAACACCAGCGACCGTACCAACAGAGAGCATAATTGTCATGATTTCTCCTCTAGAGCCTGAAGGAAGAGCAAACACTTTTAGATAAAGCAAGCCTGATTTGCCCAATTCAGAATTTGTGCTCAAGTTAGATAGGAAATTTTGGATCTGAGCACAACACTTCAATATTTTTTCAGGTCTTTCTTTCTTTTTTTTTTTGCCTGTGGCACAAAGTGTATACAGAGGAACATATAATCACTTTTTTCAGTGGCATCTCACTGAGTTCATCAAACTTCTCTTTGCAAAAATATTAATTTTTCGGTGGAATGTGAATTCTTATGAATAAAAAAAACCAAAGACTGATAAGTGCTAGTCATATTTTCTTATGTGTCACAACTCACAATCACTGGACAGAACAAAGAGTCACCAGACAGAACAAATGGTTTCCTGGTATTAAATGCAATTACGGTCCAGAACTGATCATGTATATGCTTGATGGTGACAAAAGCACAAAGGTCATCGACAAAAAGATGCATCTATCCAGTATCCACTTCACTCAAAACCCACTTAAAACACTGTCTACATGCATGAATAATCAGGATAGCAAATAGCACACGTCACATGATTCCTCCTCCTAATGATAACGAAATCAACTATGCCATAGTAATATGGAGCCAAGCCTTAATAGGGAAAAACGTACCAACCAATCTGAACTTATGGGTAAAAGTGAGAACGAAAAGCTACTTTTGGGGATGCATAGTCTTGTAAGACATCAAGCTATACGGAACTTGGTCCTGGGTCCTGTAAGATTGTCAACCACCAGACAAGTGATAAACCAGAGATACCTATGCCACAATATAGCTATTGAAGATGTAGAGTTGATTTGTATATACCATCCCGGTCGAGACAATCCATCTTCATAGGTCACACACATATCTAAAAGTAAAAGACGGTATGAAGCAAGATAAGTAAGAAATCTTTAACTAACATCAAACAAAACACTTAAAGCTTCCAAATATCCTATCTAATATACTTAATCTATTCCTTTTCTCCACAACAGGCGCACATCTTGGGTATGTACACTAAGCTAGTGCAAGATATTATCATGATAACTGAACCTAGATAAGGCTTAAGCCTAACGATTCATATCGACTCAATGCTAGCTCATTAATATGAAAAGAATAAATGGAGTGATCAACTTGATTTACCACTTGATATCTTAGTCGTTTTTTCATAGATTCTCCAGATATCAAAATCAGAATCCTGAAACTGAGTGATGTAAAACCAGCTAAAAAAACTGGAGTCCACAGCCCGTTTGTTAAAAAACCTACTAACAACTGCTTTAGTTAAGGTCCACATGTTCAAACTATGAGATTTTGGAGATCCTTCAGTGTAAAAGAGAGCAACATGTCATAAACAAGGTTATCAAAACAAAAGGCATGTCATAGAAAAATGATAGTTTCAAATAAGGCTTAAGATCCTAGGCCTTTTTGATTGGATTGGATATAAATAAAGCAAGTGTTCAAAAAGTTCAATTAATAAGCAATGTATGACTACAAAGTGGGAGTTAAATAGTAATTGAGGCTTTGCACACAAAAAGAAGGGTTATTGGTTAATCATAGAAGACTGTGGATTACAGGTAGCATATGAGGTATATCATTTCTGGTAATATGTCTAGTGTGTGTGAAAACTGCAACAGAATAGTTTAGTAATCCAACTTCATATCAGTTAAGAAGTCTAATTTAGTAGTGTACAACTGCAAAATTGTTCAACTCTCTTAACAATGGATGCTGTATACAAAATTTTCCTTCAATTTACTACTGAAACAATCGTCGGACATCAATACAATTGCTAATTAGTAAAAAACGAAACAGTAAAGGTGTTCAAAGTACTGCTACCAATCAATTGGAAAGGTTTAAAAAGTGCAGTTAATATAATGTTCTTTTGTTGGGAGAGAAGTAAGAGAACTATCTATCATTAACAGCATTAAAAGTAAAACCGTATGTAAAGACAAAAGCAATAGAGTAAAATGGTAGCTTGGGAAGATAAAGTTTTAAAACATTTTTATTTTAAAGCAAGACAAAAAGAAAGTATTTCAATATTCAATTTTGGAAAGTGATAGACCCTACCAAGTTCTTGTGGTTGGAGGAGGTAGGGGCCAACGGCACAATCAGCACTCAAGGATTCATGAAACTGGATAAGCTCAAGTTCTGGGTCCCAAATCCTCTCAAATCTCATTTGAATAAAGCAAGAAATAACCACTCTCTTAAACAAATCTTATTAGTTTATATAAAATCTCAGTCCCACTCAGTAATACCAATCATTAATCATCTCACGCTATATATACGACCTCTTTGAATTCACAAAAAGATTAAGAAGCAATAACCAAACAAATCCAAGAAAAGCAGAGAGAAGAGACTTTGATTCAAAGCTTTTTAAAGAGTTGAAAAAAATGTCTGCAAATGAATTACCTTCTTCAGCTCAAGCCTTCCAAGAACAATTTCTTGACAGTTTTGTCTCAAGAAAGCTGCTTCTCCACAACCCATTCGATCACAACACTCAACGAGCCCTTGCGATTGCACCATCTCCTCTCAAATCCCATCAGAACAACATCAACGGGAACGTCCTGATGCTTCTCTCAGTCATCATCTGTGGAGTCATCTGCTGCCTCGGATTACATTACATGATTCGTTGTGCATTCACACGCTCTTCAAGATTCATGATCTCCGAGCCTATCCCTAGTCTTCCAAAAAGCTCATCAAACAAAGGAATCAAGAAGAAAGCTCTTAGGATGTTCCCGGTTGTGAGTTACTCACCTGAGATGAACTTTCCGGGGATTGGAGAAGAGTGTGTCATCTGTTTGTCAGATTTTGTTTCCGGTGAACAAATCAGGCTGCTCCCTAAGTGCAACCATGGTTTCCATGTTTGTTGCATTGACAAATGGCTTCAACAACATTTGACTTGTCCAAAATGCAGACTCTGTTTGGTTGAGACATCCCAGAAGATCTTAGGTGACTTCAGTCAAGATGATGAAGTGACGGCAACAGCAACATCAGGACCAACAGAAAGTGTAATTGTCATGATTGCTCCTCTAGAACCTGAAGGAAGAGTAAACACTTTTAGAGAAAGCAGCTAGATACATACGAAAATTATATTCCAGTTAGATAGGAGATTTTAGGTCTGAGCCATAGATACTTCGATTTTTTTGTTTGTCTTTCTGTTTTTTGCCTGTAGCACAAAGTGTATACAGAGAGAATATTTCTCATTTTTCAGTAACATCTCACTGAGTTCATCAAACTTCTCTTTGCAAAGTCATTTTTCAATATACGAATCATCAATAACCAAAGGTTGATAAGTTTCACGTGTCACAATCACTACACAGAACCAAAAATTCACAACACAGTAATGAATGCTAAGGTTTGTTTAGTCCACAAGATGCAATTATGGTCTAGACCTGATCGAGTATATGCTTGATAGTGACAAATGCACAAAGTTTGTGAACAAAAAAATGCATCTGTCCACTTGACTCGACACACTTAATAAAGTACCTAAATGCCTCAAAACCAATCCACACAGATTAGTCATCAGGACAGAACATACCACATGTCACATGATTCTTTTTCCTAATGATAACGAAACCAACTCTGCCACTGGAATAGAGACCCAACCCATAACAGTGCAAACAAACCAACCTAAGTGTTTTGGTAAAAGTCAGGCCTAAAAGGTACTTTGGAGTTTGGAGGATGCATAGTCTTGTAAAATTTCAAGCTATACCAAACTTGGTCTTGTGAAATTCTCAACCGCCTCAGTCAAGTGATAAATCCATCCTATGGGATAAATACACCTACGCCATAATATCCAATCAAAAATGTAGAGTTGTTTTGTAAATAACATCCTTGTCGAAATAATTCATCCCAATTGGTCAGACATACTTACTCTACTATAATCCGTCCCAATAGGTCACACACCTCTTATCAAATTAGTAATCAAGTTTGTGGTAAATGTTATGTCTAAAGTTAATATATTTACATCTTTTTCTCTACAACAGAAGAGATTTTTGGTATATACACTAGCTAGTGCAAGATCTTATCATGATAACGAGAAAAGGCTAAGCATAACGATTTAGATCTACTTAGTGCTATCTCAGAGTATGTAAACAAAAGCAACATCTCATACTTTTGATTTCTATGATAACATAAAAGATCGTGCAAATATTAAAGATTGCATGGAGTGATCAACTTGATATCTAAGTCTTTATTCATGGATTCTCCAGATATTAAAGTAACAATACTGATAACTCATAACTGAGTGATCCAAACCCAGCTAAACAACCTGGAATCCACAACCTATTATAAGAAACTACCAATAACTATTTTAGTAAAGGGCCACATTTTTCTAACTACGAGATTTAGGAGATCCTGCAGTTTTAAAAGGAGCAACATGTCATTAACATTGTATTAAAACAAAACAACAACATGTCATAAACTAATCATGGTTTGAAATCAGGCGTAAGATCCTAGGCATTTGTGATTGGATGGGATGTAAATAAATTATTGAAAAGTTCAATGAATAAGCTCTGCCGACTAAAAAGTGGAGTTTAGTATTGAAGAAGGGTTATTTGTTAATCATAGAAGACTGTGGTTTACAGGTGGCATATGTCCATTAAGCATCTAAAAGAAATCAGATGGTATCAAATCATTTCTAATCAAGTATATTAAAGAACAATTTTTTTTTGTAAGACTGCAAAAAAGAATCTTAAGTACAAGTTTAACTTAAGCCCTTACTGCAACAGTTATACCATTGAGTGTATGAAAACTGCAGTAAAGTATCTAAATCAAGTTTTTTGTAACAATTTGGATTTAGCTTAACTTATTCCCTCACTGCAACAGCTAATGGTGTAAAAGTGTTCAACTCTCAATAACTTAGGCTGTCTAGAAATTTTCCTTTAACAGATGTTCAAATTTCTGCTACCATCTAACTGAAAAAAGTTACAGTTCCTATTCCAATCATTATAATGTTCGTTAGGTAGGGAAGAACTATTTATTCTTTAACACTATCGTAGTGCTTTAAGAAAACTCCAACCACTTGTTGGACTCAAGACCTCAATCAACAAGATAGATGCACTTTTTGTAAATATAATATATATGTACAGTAGCTTTAAATAATTCAGAACGATGCTAATAATGTAATGGAGAAAGATTGTCGACATACCGTTATAAAGCAGAGAGCTGTACACAATACGCTGTTCTCTAAGTTACCAAGACAAAAAACAAAGAAGAAGGATATTTAGCAGTAATGATGAACAAATATATATTTACTTAAAAGTTTACCGAAAGACGAACACTGAGAAATATCAAGACAAAGGGTCCCCAAGACGAAACAAGATATTTAGTAGGAACAATGAACACAAATAGATATTTACATGAAAGTTCAAGTAAAGATTAACACTAACTATTATCAAGAGAAAAAAGATATTTACTCATAAGTTCGCCAATAAACTAACACTGAGAATAGGCATTGAAGAGTAAATAATTAAAGAATAGGCTCCACCAAAGATACTCATATATTGAAAACATTAATAATTGTACATAGATTACTAAGAGACAGGACTAAAGCTCTGTGATTCAGTATTTCTAATTCCTGAAACTTTTCTCATGGCCCTTAAACCCATTGGATCCAAACCATTTCCCCAGCATAACATGCATTCAGAAAAACTCTTTCTTGAGTGTTTCCAGCAAGTCACGTGATTTCACCTTGATATGTTGGTAACATTTCACTTGTCAAGAATCCACACAAGACAAACATGAACAAACAGAGTTCTCTATTTTTAAGTGAGACAAATATAAATGGTTTCAAAATTCAATGTCGAAAAAGTGATAGTCCCTATACAAGTATCTTTCTGGGTCCCAAGTCCTGTCAAGTCACATTTGAAAAAATACAATGAAGAAGCAAAACCTTTCTTCAACAAAAATGAATAGTCTCCAAATATAAAACTATCTGTCCCTACTCAGTAATCAGTAAGTTTCTCAAGCTATATATAAGACCACTTTGAATTCCTAAAAAATTAAGAAGCAATAACCAAACAAAGCCAAGCAAAGCAGAGAGGGGAGACTTTGATCTAAAGCTTTTTCAAAGAGTAAAAATGTCTACAAATGTGTTACCTTCTTCAGCTCAAGCCTTCCAAGAACAACTCCTTGTCAGTTTTGTTTCAAGAAAGCTGCTTCTGCACAACCCATTCGACCACAACACTCAACCAGCCATTACGACTGCACCATATCCTCTCACCCATCAGAACAACTTCAGCGGAAATGTCCTGATGCTTCTCTCAGTCCTCATCTGTGGAATCATCTGTTGCCTCGGGTTACATTACATCATTCGTTGTGCATTCACACGCTCTTCAAGATTCATGATCTCCGAGCCTATCCCTAGTCTTTCAAAAAGTTCATCAAACAAAGGAATCAAGAAGAAAACTCTTAGAAAGTTCCCGGTCGTGAATTACTCACCTGAGATGAATCTGTCGGGGATAGGCGAAGAGTGTGTCATCTGTTTGTCAGATTTTGTTTCCGGTGAAAAGCTCAGGCTGCTCCCTAAGTGTAACCACGGGTTCCATGTTCATTGCATTGACAAGTGGCTTCAACAACATTTAACTTGTCCGAAATGCAGAAACTGTCTTGTTGAGACAACACAGAAGATCTTAGGTGACATCAGTCAAGAGGATCAAGTGACGGCAACACCAGCATCAGCACCAACAGAAAGTGTAATTGTCATGATTGCTCCTCTAGAACCTGAAGAAAGAGTAAACACATATAGAGAACGCAGCTAGTTTCCCAGAAACCATCATAAATACAGAATTTCTATTCCAGTTAGATAGGAGACTTAGGTCTGAGCCATAGACACTTCAATTTTGTTTGTCTTTCTTTTTTCGCCTGTAGCACAAAGTGTATACAGAGGTTAACATATCTCACTTTTCAGTAACATCTCACTGAGTTAATCAAGCTTCTCTTTGAATATTGAATATATATCCATACACGTAAGAATCATCTATAATCAAAGGTTAATAAGTGTTAGTTCAGATATTGGTATGTATCAAAAACTCAAAATCACTACACATAACAAAAAAGCCAGTAGTCAATGCCAAGATTAGTGTGTCCACAAGATGTTATTACGGTCCAGACCTGATCGCGTATATGCTTGATAGTGACAATTGCACAAAGTTCCTGAACAAAAAAAAATGCATATGTCCACTTGACTCGACCAGTTTAATAAACTACATATATGCCTCAAAACCGATCCACGCACAATAGTCATCAGGACATACCACATGTCACATGTTTGTTAACGAAATCACTCTGCCATAGGAATATGAACCCAGCCCATAACAGAGCAAACCAACAAACCTAAGATTATGGGTAAAAGTCAGACCTACAAGCTAGTTTGGTGGATGCATAGTCTTGTAAGATATCAAGCTAGACCAGACTTTGTCTTCTAAAATTCCCAAACCACCTGTCAAGTATTAAACACCGATCCTCTGGGATACCTATCATAGGTCGTATGCCATAATACGTTATTGAACATTCCAACACCAAAATCTAAACGTGAGGGTATGAAGGAAGATAAAGTAAGAAGTCTTTCACCTCCATTAAACCAAATTATTCTCATCAAAGGCATTAAACCAAATTGGTACTCAAGTTTGTACCAATGTGTGGTGAATGCTCTTTCTAAAGTTATATACTAAACCGAGGAAAGGCTAAGCCTAACGATTCAGATCTACTCAGTGCTATCTCATAGTATGTAAACAGAAGCAACATCTCATAAAGGAGGATATCAAAACAAAAAACATGTCATAAACAAATGATGTTGTCAAATACGGCTTAAGATCCTAGGCATTTCTGATTGAATGGTATGTAAATTAAGTGATTAAAAATTCAATGTTTAAGCACTGACCGACAAAAAAAGTGGTAGTTTAATAGTAATTGAGGCTGTGCACTAAAAAGAATGGTTATTGGTTAATCATTGAAGACTGTATGGTTTACAGGTAGCATAAGGTATCAAATCAACCAAATAAGTATCCTAAGTACAAGTTTAACTAAAGCCCCTTACTGCAATAACTAACTATACAATTGAGTGTGTGAAAACTGCAATAAAGTATCTAACTATTGTAAAAATTGCGGAACTAGCTTAATGCAACAGCTAATGCTATAAAATTGTTCAACTCTCTCAATAATTTAGATTACATAAATTTTCCTTGAATTTACTAAATAGTTACAACGAAACATCAAAGATGTTCGAATTTCTGGTACCATCTAATAGGAAAGAAAGTTAAAAGAAATACGAATTCCCATTGCAATTATTATAATATTGTTTTGGGAGAGAAGAACTATTTATTCTTAACACTGTCGTACTGCTTTAAGAAAATTCCGACCACTTATTGGACTCAAGACCTCAATCAACAATATAGATTCATGTCTAAACTTAAATTTAATGTATTATAGAAGTTTTACATAATTCAGAACTAATAATGAAGAAAGATTGTCGACATACCGTTATAAAGCAAAAGAGCTACAGACAAAAGGTTGTTCTCGAAGTTACCAAGAGAAACAAAAAGAAAGATATTTAGCAGGAATGATGAACATATTACTAATATTTACTTAAAAGTTACCGGAAAGACGAACACTGAGAATAATCAAGAAAAAGGGTCCCCAAGACAAAACAAGATATTTAGTAGGAACAATGAACAAACAATTTGTTTACTTAAAAGTTCACCGAAAGATGAACACTGAGAAATATCAAGACAGAGGGTCCCCAAGACAAAACAAGATATTTAGTAGGAGCAATGAACAAAATAGATATATACTTGAGAGTTTAACAAAAGACTAACACTAATTGTTTTCAAGAAGAAGAAAAAGATATTTAGTTGGGACGATGAACAAATAGATATATTACTAAAAAAAGTTAGGCATAAAACTAGCACTGAGAATTGCACTGAGTAATATTAAAGAAAAGATTCTACGAAAGATAGTCGTTGTGTTTCAGCATTTAAGAAGAATAATCAGCTTTTTCTTCAACAAAAGTTATTATTCTCCAATTATAAAATTTCCTGTCCCCACTAAGTCATCAATACGTGTCTCAAGCTATATATAAGACCACTTTGAATTCCCTATAACATTAAGACGCAATAACCAAACAAAGCCAAGCAAAGCAGAGATCTAGAGGAGACTTTGATCCAAAGCTTATTCAAAGAGTAAAAATGTCTGCAAATGGGTTACCTTCTTCAGCTCAAGCCTTCCAAGAACAACTCCTTGGCGGTTTTATCTCTAGAAAGCTGCTTCTGCATAGCCCATTTGATCCCAGCACTCAACCAGCCGTTGCGGTTGCACCATCTCCTCTCAGAACCCATCACAACCTCAGCGGAAATGTCCTGATGCTTCTCTCAGTCCTCATCTGTGGGATCATCTGTTGCCTCGGGTTACACTACATCATTCGTTGTGCGCTCAAACGTTCTTCGAGATTCCTGATCACCGAGCCAATCGCTAGTCTTTCAACACCACGTGGTTCATCAAACAAAGGAATCAAGAAGAAAGCTCTTAGGATGTTCCCGGTTGTGAGTTACTCACCTGAGATGAATCTGTCGGGGATAGGCGAAGAGTGTGTCATTTGTTTGTCGGATTTTGTTTCCGGTGAAAAGGTCAGGCTGCTCCCTAAGTGCAACCATGGGTTCCATGTTCGTTGCATTGGCAAGTGGCTTCAACAACATACGACTTGTCCAAATTGCAGACACTCTCTGGTTGAGACATGCCAGAAGATCTTAGGTGACTTCATTCAAGCTGATCAAGTGATGGAGACACCAACAGAAATCGTAATTGCCATGATTGAAACACCAACAGAAATCGTAATTGCCTTGATTGCTCCTCTAGAACCTGAAGGAAGAGTAAACACTTTTAGAGAAAGCAGCTAGATTGCTCAGAAACCACCATAAATTCAGAATTTGTGCTCAAGTTAGATAGGTTATTTTAGATCTGAGCAAAATTCATGTCGCCAAGATACTTCAATTTCTTTTATGTCTTTTTTTTTTGCTTGTAGCACAAAGTGTATACAGAGAGAACATATAATCACTTTTTCAGTAACACATCACTGAGTTCATCAAACTTCTCTTTGCAAAGTTGTTTTTTTTTTACGGTAGAATGTGAATTACGGATTCTTATCCAAAAACATTAAGAATCATCTATAACCAGAGTCATATATTCTTATTAGTCACAGTCACTACACAAAATCAAAAAGTCACTAGACAGAATAAATGGTATTGAATGGCAAGATTAGTGTGAACAAGCAGTGTTTAGTCTACGAGATGCAATTACGGTCCAGACCTGCTCACGTTTATGCTTGATAGTGACAAATGCATATGTCCACTTAATAAACTACCTACACGCCTCAAAACCGCTCCACACACATTAGTCATCGTGATACTTCCTCCCACTAATAATGAACTAATCGGCCATAGGAATATGGATCTAACACATAACAGAGAAAACCAACCAACCTAAGTTTATGGATCTTCTACTCTGATCTGACGGTTGCTACAATATACCATGTTGATGCCTCAAAAAAATTCTCATCCTACATCTTATCAATATTCAAGTTTGTATTAGACTGTAGAGAAAGTTCTGCCTATATTTAATATAGCTACACCATGCTTATTTCCTCAGCAACAGACGCATATATTAGGTATGTACACTAGCTAGTGCAAGATATTACAGTGATAACAGAACCGAGAAAGGCTAAGCCTAATGATGATGTCGTAGTATGGAAGCAGGAGAAAAATTACAAACTTGGCCTACTTCAATTCTCTGTGGATAGAAAAATTTGTGCAAATATAAAAAACACATGGAGTGATCTACTTGATATCTTAGTAGTTTTCACAGATTCCCCAAATATTAAACTCGAAAATCCTAATAACTGAAGTGATTCAAAACCATGTAAACAAGCTCGAATCCACAACTCATTGAAAAGAAAAGGAAAAAAAAAAAACTACTAATAACTGATGTAGTTAAGGACCACATGTTCTAACTACGAGATTTTGGAGATCCTGCGGATTTAACAGAAGCAACATGTCATAAAGATGGTTATCAAAACAAATAAGATTTCATAAACAAATCGTGTTTCAAATAAGGCTTAAAGATCCTAGGCACTTGTGACTAGATTGGATATAAAGTGTTGAAAAGTACAATTAATAAGCATTTCCCGACTAAAAAGTGGAAGTTTAATAGTTTTTGAGGATGTCCATTACACATCTGAGTGAAATCAGGTAATATGTCACTGAGTGTGTGAAAACTGCAACAAAGTATTTTTAAGTACAACTTTTCCGTGATAAATTGCGGATTTAGCTTAAGCAAGGCCCTGACTGCAACAGCTAATGGACTAAATTTGTTCAACTTCAACTCCTCAACATTCTAGAAAATTTCCTAGTGGAACAACCGTTGAACACCAATACAATTACCAAATAATCATAGTGATACATTAAAGATGTTCAAATATACCCTACCGTTTAATTGAAAGAAGATGCGGAAACACTAGCAATTATAATAATGTTCTTTTGGTGGGAGAGAATTGTCTATTATTAACAGCGTTAAAAGTGAAGCATTGATGTAAATACAGAAGCACTAGAGGACAATGGTAGCTTTGGAAGATAAGGTTTTAAAACACTATCGCAGTGCTTTAAGAAAATTATGACCACTTGTTGGACGTAAGACCTTAATCAACAAGAAAGATTCATGTCTACAAATATTGTAATATACTAAACATAGTAGCTTTAAATAATTTCAGAATTATGCTAAAAATATAATGGAGAAAGTTTGTCGACATACCCTTATAAAGCAAAAGAGCCGTACACAATAGGCTGCGCCTATTCATCCTAGCACAAAACGATGTTCTCTACATTATCAAGAGAAAAAAAGATATTAACTCTGCGTTATCAAGAGAAAAGGGATATTTAGTATGAAGGATGAACAAATAGATATTTACTCAAAAAGATATTTAGCAGGAAAGATTAGCAGATAGATATTTCACTTAAAAGTTCAGCAAAACACTAACACTGAGAATTGGCATTAGAGAGTAATGATTAAGAATAGGTTCCACCAAGGAAAGTCATAGATTGAAAATCAATAATGGTAAACAGATTATTAAAAAACAGGATTATAGCTCTGTGATTCAGTATTTCAAGTTTCTAGCAAAAGAGAACTTTAATTATAATGTTCCTGAAACTTTTCTATGTCCCTTAAAACCCATTGGATCCAAACAATTTCCACATCATAAGATGCATTCAGAAAAATTCTTGCCTGAGTGTGATTTTACCTCGATATGCTGGTAACTTTTCACTTCACTACTTCAGTCATTTAAAGTAATACAGTGAATGGCCAGTTTTCGCACCTTGATTCATGTTATCCTGCAGTTATATAGACAAATCAAGAATTTCAACAAAAAGGTGAATGAGTATCAAATTAGGATATTCCAAGCAAAGGAATCATGACAGCATCAACAATAAAAAGTAAAGTTTATCTGCTTTAAAGAAGGAACCAAAAGTCTAATCACCATCTGCTGTACCATTTACATGTAACCAAATGGCACAGACAAGAAAAAAAGGAATTTATTTCCGAGTGAGATTTCTGAGAAAAGATAGAAAAAAAGAGAGGCCTCAAATGCTCTGTAACATCAACTTTTAATCCCAAAGAGCTTAATCCTCCCCAGTCTAATGTTTCACTAAACCAAGTTTTAGCAAGTAGTAACAAAGAAAAAGAAGTTCTATAGAAGCACCTTTCAAAGAATCTTGTTTTGATTTTGGAGATGCAAGAAAATCATATTGATACTAGATTCATGTAGATTTTTCTAGCAATTTGCAACCAATGAAAAATGATCTCATAAAGCAAACAAAAAGAATCATTTTTTATTTGTTGATTAGTGGGACCAATTGCTTTAGCTCTGATTTAAAACAAAGGCATGTAAAGATAAAGAAAGAAAGGAAACTGTTTAGAAAAAGAAGCAGGAGAGTGATACTAATGCTATGAGAGTGATCTTTATCTATAAAAGTAACCTTTAACGAGACTGATTGGGAGATGCTTTGTCCTTTTGGCTACTCTACGGACAGCTTGAGTTACTACGGATGGGGGTGGATTCCTGTTCCCCAAACATTAGTGGAATTCATATTTTATCCGTACACCTTCAAAAACCACACAAAACAAACAAAACTTTTAAGATCCACCACTGTTAAAAACTAGCAAAAAGGGAAAGAAATGAAAAGTTAAATCAAGCCTTGCTTAGAATTCTATATCAAGGACTGATGCCTGAAACCAAGCCACCTCCTTTATAGGTGAGACAAATATCACCAGGACAAAACTATTTAAGGAAACATGACCCACAAATACTCTCTACACCATATTTTAAAACATAACATATGAAATCTAATGTATGTGGCATAGCTTGACAAAATTCTTCAAAGGAAAGAAAAACATGTGTTAGAAGCTCTAATACCTAAGGCACAGGGAGATCTCAGTAAAATGAGACAGGAGATATTATTCTGAATATTGTTCTGCTATGTCAAAGTCGAGAGGGAAAGTTCCTGGCTGCTCCAATTAAAAGCTCATGGGACCCTGGAAGCAATTCCGGGATATTTCATTTGCTAAAGCCACAGCCACATGGCACTACCATTGCAGCAACTGGTATGATGGACCCATTTTTCTATAGTAAAAGCATATTAAGCTACAAAATATTTAATAAAACCAGACACTATAGGTCAAGGACCTTATTAAGAAAATTAAACTAAAAAAAAACTTTCCTCATTAAAATATCTAAAAAGATGAATTGAAACCTTTACCTTTCCTCTATATAAACTAGCTCCAACGGAAACATAGTAAACCACCAATCCATCTTAAAATTAAGTTATCATGTCAACTACCATGAAACCAAGTCAGATCTTCCAAGATATTCTTGTAAGTTCTTTCTCAAGAAGATTACTACTTCATACCCATACACTTGATCAATCACCAACTCCGGCACCATCCCCAAATGCAGAAGATAATAACTTCGATGCAAATGTTGTTATGGTCCTATCAGTCCTCTTGTGTGCACTCGTTTGCTCACTTGGACTCAATTCTATAATAAGATGTGCCTTGAGGTGCTCCAATATAGTACCATCCGAAGCTGGTGAAAACCAAGCAGCTCGCTTGACCAACACAGGAGTCAAACGAAAAGCCCTGAAGCGTTTCCAGACAGTAAGTTACTCTGCTGATTTGAATCTGCCTGGCCTAGACACCGAGTGTGCCATATGCCTCTCGGAGTTTGTGTCCGAAGAGCGTGTGAAGCTGTTGCCGACATGCCACCACGGGTTCCATGTCCGGTGTATAGACAAGTGGCTTAGTGCACACTCGTCCTGTCCCACCTGCAGGCACTGCCTCATCGAGACCTGCGAGAAGATCGCTGACTGCAGCCAAACAAGCTCTTTAAACTCTAGTCAACCACCACAAGACAGCATCGTCGTGCAAATAGCACCACTAGAACCGGAAAGATGGATACGGTGTTTTAGGTGAAACTAGTCACAGTTATGGTTTAAGAAACCGGATTAAACTAGTATGTATTTAGAATTAGTCGAGATCAGAAGCGGCTTACACTTGAAAACAAGTTACGCATTTCCACTGTAAAGTTGTAAATATTACGAAAAAAATGCAAATTTCTTCGTATCTTGGACTTCCTAATGTTGAAAATTTCACAGTAACAGGCCAGTTTCACAATAGCTGTGCAAAAACTCACATAGGAAACGAAAAGATAAAATATTGAAAAGTAAAAAAAAATGCAGGTTGATGAGAGGACAAATCACTTAAACCAAAAGTTGAGTGAATGAGCAATATATAAATGATGGTCAACTAAGAGAAATGTCACAATCTTAGCATTAAGAAGTCTCAAGATTATTAAAGGCATTGCTCTGCCACTAGCTTAATTTTACTGAGTATCATAAATGGTTAATGCCCTTTTGATGTAAAGCAAATGATTATATACAATGTAGCCTTCCAGTAGTAGATTAGAAGACCCTTGTTGCTTTTGTTACAATAAGGGTCTGTGATGAATCATCAGGCCATATAAAACTTGTGACAAACCCAGAGAAATTTTGCAAGGCCCACAAATAAGAGAAACATGCACTAATAGTCTAATACAATCCACCGAAAGAGAAAGGTCACAAGACTCACAACTATAACAAACGGCATAAAGCGAATTGGGGTCCGAGAACAAATCCATCACATGAAGAGAGTGACAAAAGGAGATGAGTAAGCACAATAATTGGAAAAAAAACGGCATTTTGTGCTGTTAGATATCAAGATCCGTTTCATGAGAAAAAAAATGGATTATGAACTATGTAAAACTAGAAAACTAGAACCTCGTACACAGAGCATCAATCAATGGATAATTTTCCGCTCACTATATCAAATCTATGTAAAAGTAAGAGAATTTGGAAACAAATCAAAATCGATAGACAAGTCTCAGGTGGAGAATGCTACCAACAGAATCGTAAACCCTAGGTACCAAATGAGGACAAATTTTGCACCATCCATATGAACAAACACATTACTCCTCGGAATCAATCAATGAACAAGAGGTGACACAGGAGTAAATGAAATGACACCAACAAAAAAAGTATCAAAATTCGTTCCTATCAAACCCAATCGAAAATCTCAATTAAGAGACAAATTTCGAGATGAATCGGACGAAATACCCAGAATACTATGGGAAAGGAGGAGAATTTCTTACAGTCGTCCTTCTTTTGACGAAGATCTTCTCAAGGCGGCGTGATTGCAATTTTCAGAGCGGTTCCTCTTTGTTTCGCGCCATCGATTTTAGTATTGTACATCGATTGAAATTAGAATCTGTTCTCGGATCATCCATAGTTTTTATTCGGGTCGGGTATAAATAAGCCCATTTATAATTAAGCCTAGTCCAGTATTTTCTCCAAATGCCACAAAGTTTATAAAATTTGGTCACTACGTATAAACTTATTTCAAAGATCTTTGATTTGTTTAAGGTTAAGGAAGATGCTTCCAAATCTAAACTCTGTAACATAATGGATGTTTGTGTCAGGACGATTAATTGTTGGCTATCAAAGACAAAATATGTTTATAAAATCGAGACTAATACAAATCTTTTCATTTGATGCAATTAGGTCAATCACTAATTGTGAAAAAACAAAAATAAATATTTCTATGTCTTTTAAAATTGATTCAACAGCTGATATGTTTTTTTTTTTTTTTTTTTTTTAACCGGTTTCATTGTGAAGAGTTCTGTCACCGGATGTAAAATATTTCTCTCCATATATATACCATACAATCAAATCGTCATCTCCTTTAGTTTGTCGATACGAAAGTTTCCTTACGATATTTTGGGGATTATCATAGACATATATAGTCAGAGTTGAATTAGGTAATTAGCTGAAAACATTTTGGAAACCAAATAAGACGGGAATCGAATATATTTATCACAAACTCACAGCTAGCTTCTTAGCCTTATATTATATAGATTTTCATGTACTGTTTACATCTATAATGGGTTAAGAGTTATATTTAAAGATTTTGGCAATGATCTACGTACCTAAACTAATCGGCTATATCAAAAACGAAATCATTTAAAACTGAATATACCAAATATGCCAAAACAAAATCAATTTTCCCTAGTGAATAAATTAGTTAAGACAAAAAAGAAAGATTAACTCATAATTACGATACACTCAACCACAAGTCTCCACTCTATATAAAATATTCTCAAAGTTTCATTACTGCTATCCCAATCTCTTCACCCACCAAACAAACAAATCTCTCTGTAACCAAAAACATTAAACGCTACAATGCCGGAGAATACGTGCGAGAGGTTAGAGGGGAAGACGTGGAAGAAATACATATTATGGGCATTTCTTGGTCTAATCGGTCTGGTTGCGTTCGTTGTCTTATTGATATGGGCCATACTTCACCCGCACGCCCAGCATTTTGTCCTAAGAGACGTTACCGTTTACGACTTCAACATCTCACTGCCAAATTATGTCACTTCAAATATCCAAGTCAGTCTCTCTTCTAAAAACCCAAACGATAGGATCGGAATTTTCTACCCCCACGTTAACGTCTACGCCTCATACCGCAACCAAGAGGTAGCGTCTTGCGCTTTAATGCTTTTTTTTTTTCTGTGTGTGTGTGTTTGTGTATTATCCATTCCATCGACCTATTGGTTGGTGCAATGTTTAGAGAGCAGCAAAATTTAGTATATGTTAAGTTTTTAACGATAAAACTGCATAACACATGACCCATCTTAACCTATTATGAAGTATATCTCTTTTTCTCAGCATCTACGTTTGTCTTGATGCTTTTAGTTTTTGTATTAATGAATTAGGTGACAATGAGGAGTCTAATGCCGATAACGTATCAAGGACATGATGAGGAGTCGGCGTGGTCGCCGGTTCTGAAAGGCTTCGGCGTGCCGGTGGAGCCTTACCTGTCTGAATCATTGTACCAAGACCTAAACAACGGGGCGTTGCTTCTAGACATCAAGGTCGACGGTTGCGTAAAGTTTATTGTGGGCTCGTGGGTATCTGCATGTTATCGGCTCCGTGTCGACTGTCCAGCCTTCCTTACATCCTTCGGCCACTTCGATAGCCCCGGTATGCCGATCAAGAAATACCTTTCTCAGCGATGTGCTGTTGACGTATATTAAACAAGCTTTTCCAGAGGAATAAGAGGAGATAGAGATATGTTAGAGCAATTGGTTGTTGATTTTGCTTTGTTAATTACTTCTTCTAAGATTTATTCTGTAATTGATCTCATTTATAGAATCTCGATTTTTTTTGGATTGCTCTTTGCACACTCACTCTTTCTTATCAAGCAAATATCATTTTTTTTATATATTATTTTTGCCACCACTATGAAATCCAAACTTGAGAGTTAAAACTTAAAAAGCATCGTAGACTCGGTTATTACCGTCATGTTAGTTGTCCATGCACGTTATAATGCTAAGTTTACTAAATTAACACTTCCATTATCGACTGACCAAGCTCAAAAAGTTAGAAAAATCCATCATCATCTAAACTAGTTAAAACTTAAAAGACAAAGTTCTATACATATCAACATGCAACACTTGTTTCGAAAATCAAAAGCTCTTTCAATTCCTCGGTTGAAATTTGTTTCAACAAAAACAAAAAAAAAGCTTGTATGTGGGCTTATGAATTGGGCCTTGATAAGAAAGAGGAACATGAATTATGAATTGGGCCTTTATATCAAAGTATTCTGATTTTTCTGAGATGATTCGAGAAACCAACCTAAGAAATCTCTAGTCTCGATCGCAGCCGGAGAAAAATGTCGAGCGCTTCGTCGTCTTCCTCGACTTCTGCTCGGGAATTCGAACTTGAGAAGGAGATAAAGAGGCAGGAGGTTTCGATTGATGAACTGAGCAGTCTCTCTTCTTCTCGAAGTGTCTACCAGAAAACTGGGAACCTCTTCTTCCTCACTACATCGGAGAAAGCGAAAACCAATGCGCAGAAACAACTAGACTTCGCAAAATCTGAAATCGACAAGATTCGATCGCAGGCTTAACAATGGAGCTTTGTTAGTTTCCCGAAGCTCTACTCGATTCTCGATACAGAGCTTACTGTGCCTTTTTTTCCTTTTATGTATCGAATCTCTGGATGCTATGTATCAATTTTCATCTTTTTAATTTGAAAAAAAAAATTAACGAGATTCTATGAATCCAGTTGTATCAATTTCGTGGAATTGCCTGCACATTTCTTGATTTATGATTTGAAGAACAATATTCGACTAACAAACAATAAATTATATGCATTCGATCATAACATTCAGAAAGCAATAAGTATTTGATCTACCCATAACCCCACTATATAACAGCCATAGTTACTGCTACTAACAAAGTTGTGACCATAACATAAATGATGAAACATCACGTGTAGATGAAATATTCGACTAACAACAAGAATTTGATTTATCACTATATAACAGCCATATTCATATAAGAAACACAAATTTTATCATTAGACAAAACAATTCATAAACTCTTACGAACTAGTAATCATTTTATCATGTGTTTTTCTTTCACGAATGTTATCGAAAAAAAAAAAAAAAAAAACAAAAAGTACCAAAAATGAAATAAAATTCTATTTTTAGACCGTTAAAATTGATAATGCATATTTATGGAAAAGCCAACCACAGCCACATGTTCTCAGCTCTCACAAAGACCCACTCACACAGTCACACTTCCTCTCTCTTTCTCTAGTCCTCCAATGGCAGACTATGACGACGACGAGATCCACCACCACCATCAAAGACCACCACCGTACATCCCCAAAGAAACCGCCATACAAGCACTAAACACAATAATCCAGCTCCACTTCGAGAGAACCCTAGAGAAAAAACGAGCCATCGACAACCAAAAGAAGAAGCTCCACAAGCTATTCAACCTCTTCTTCATCTTCCTCGCCGTCGTCTTCGCTTCTCTCTCTCAGCCCTCAAGCCGTCTCCAATGCCGCCATTCTTGGGGACCCATTTGCCTCCTCTCTTTCTCTCACCTCGTCTTCTATATCTCCGTCGCGCAAACCCTCCGTTGCGTCAACGGGTTTAAGTACCAGCGTCGTTGCCACAAGCTCACTCTCGGCCTCGCCACTGAGAAGCTCCGATTCGTCAAGAACGTTGCTGCTTCCGCCGTGGATGGCGACGAGATCTCTGCCGCTGCTGCTGCCGGAGATCTAGAAGTGCCGTACCAAGAGCCGTCGGAGAGTTATTTGGGGAAGTTTAAGAGGAATTGGGCTCTTCATTTCGGGTTCTTGATCCTTCTTTATGCTTTCATGGTCTCTTTCTCTGTCGTCGTCCTCTGTTTCTGATCTCTTTCTAGCTAATGGCATTTTTGGAAAATAATTAGCAAATAAAAGGGTCGAAACTTTGGAGATCGATTCAACTTTGGATACCATTGCTATTCATCTACAAAGCCTACTCGATTCATCATTATCTAGGGGTAATTCTGTAACACAATCGTTTGTCCATGGCTTAAACAATAATTTTACATAGGATTATATAGGATACATATTTAGAAATTAAAAAATGGTAATTTAGCTCTTCAAAGTTTTTGTCCCAAAAATAACACTTTCAACATCTTGCTACTTGAGATTCATCATGAGCACAAATTAATATTTGTACTTTTTGTTTCGTACAAACAATACTTTCAACATTTTACTATCTTGAGAGACACTTTCAACATAGTAGATGCATAAATTAAAAAGTACAGATATTTGATTTTTATATGCTTTTAACGAACATAACACATCCGACAGTCACATTTTCCGCCAACAAGACAATAGTTATCGAACTAACGGCTTTATGGGTTGGTTTTATAATTTTCATATCCCACGGGTAGAAGTAGAAGTAGTTTTGTTGGTGCCTCCTCCAGTGTGCATTTCCTCGCTGCTCGAAGAAGACGGGTCAAGCCCGTACTCGCTCGTGGCACCGTATTCGCTACTTGCACCGTAATCGCGACTGTCCAATGGCACTTTCCGGAATTTCCTCATCTCAGCACCATACGTGCCCGTCTCATAGTCGAAGCTTCCGTCGCCACCGCTCGATCCAATGTAAGAACTCTGCCCTGCCTTCACACCGTCGTTTAAGTCGTCCAGCGATGCATCACCCTCCAACGTCCGAACAATCTAATAAAACAATGTCGAAAATGTCGTTAGTCATTAATTAATCAGACGATCAAAGATTAACTTACACGTAACACCTGTATTTTCTAAGGCATCTTTAGGCGCCAGTTAATGAACTTTTTAAAAAAGTACAATTACAATAGTCAATAAAGATACATTTTTACTCTTTAGTCGATCTTTGGTTTGACTTATTTCAACTAGCCAGTTAGGTGATTTTAACCTAGAGTTTTGTTATTTTACAGTATTTTTACCTTTTCATATTTGTTTTTTAGTCCAAAATAATTAGACCAGAAATTTAAAACCTTTTAAATCCTTAATTGATCGGTCTTTTGTTTTGACTAATTTGTTATGACTGATTTGGTCAAAATCTTAGTGGTACAAAAAAATTCGATCTTGTAATCAAACCTTGATATGTATGTCACGCTTAATTATTAGTATGTACCTGACTCATCTTTGGGCGGCGGCGACCAGAGTGTCTTACGGCAGCAGCTGCACAAGCCACCATGCGTGCCATCTCGTAAGGCTCGTAACGGTTCTCAAGCAATGGATCAACCAATTCTCCATAGTCTCCGTCCTGAGCTGCGTTCATGCATAATGGTCTCGCCTGCCAATAGAAAAATCAACAAAACATGATGAAATTGTTTTCTATTTTGGTTTGAGTTCAATTTATATAAATGTATGTTGTATGTATATATGCTCACCCAATCAACCAAGCTATCTTCCATTTCACCACTTAGATCAACGGGTCTGCGTCCGGTAATGAGCTCAAGAAGCATAACTCCAAAAGAGAATACATCTGATTTCTCTGTTAACTTCCCACTGGATGCATATTCAGGAGCCAAGTATCCGAATGTTCCCATGACTCGAGTCGACACATGTGTGTGGTTTTCTTGAGATAGCTTAGCCAAACCAAAATCTGCAATCTGAAGAATATAATTGAAAGGAAATGTTACGGAGAAGAGTAGAAACAAAATTTAACTACAATTAAAGCATACCTTGGCTTCGAAGTTAACATCAAGCAGAATGTTTGAAGTTTTTATGTCTCTATGGATGATTTTAGGATGACCTTAACACAAGTATCACACAAAACATATAAATGTCAGCAATCTAGAACTTTGGTTTTGAGCTAAGTTAGTGAAAGGACACAAAAAGAAGAGATTCACTCACAATCTTCATGTAGATATGCAAGTCCTTTAGCTGATCCTAATGCAATCTTGAGTCTAGTAGGCCAATCCATCACAGTCCCACTTTTCCCTATAATTCATTGATTTAGTAAAAATGTGAGTTAGTTTTCATATAAGTCATAACACTTCATAATAACACAAGAAACTAATCAATAAAATTACCATGGAGGTGGAACTCAAGTGTGTCATTAGGGAGAAACTCATAGACCAACATCCTCTGACCTCCTGCATTACTACAATATCCGACAAGTGACACAAGATGTCGGTGATGAACACGACTGATGATATCAACCTCTGCTTGGAACTCTCTATCGCCTTGCCCACTTCCTGCTTTAAGACTCTTCACCGCAATCTCTTTACCATTAGGTAAGAGACCTTTGTGAACATATCCGAACCCTCCTTGTCCCAACAAACGGTCTTGTGAGAGCCTTGAGTGGCTGCCGCGAGCTCCTCGTAAGTGAATGTGCTTTTGTTGAATCCCAGAGCCACTGAAGGGTGTGGCGGTGGTAATGATGGAGCATATGGACCTGATGAGTAATTTGAGCTCATCTCGCCACTAAATACACCTCCTGACATTGGTGCTGGTGGTGACTGCATTGGGTGCCAGTTTCCTGGAGGTGGTGGTGGCGGCGGTGAATTCACCCAGTTTGTTCCCATCGATCCAGGAGGTGGAGGCAGATTCACAATGTGATCATTTTGGTTGTAATGTTGTTGTTGTTGTTGTTGTTGCTGTTGTGTTGTACCACTGTTGAAGCATTGATCACCCCCAGCTAAATACCAACCAAATACAAAGTTTAGACAAGACTTAGCTAGATAGATCAGATTTAGAAGAAAATAAGAATCAAAGAGGTTTTGCAGAATTAACTTATTTATCTAGTTTCTTGGGTCGCAAGATATAAGACTTTACTCATTTTTTGGCTAACAAGAAACTAAGGTAGAACTAGGTTAAACTAAAGCTTAAGAAATGGTACGTGGTTTAATTAGGTTCCATGGGGTTGCATGTATTTAGAGGAGATGGTGTTTTAAGCGAAGAGGTATGATTGATCTGGTTTCTTGGTTAACAAGAAATTACGGGGTTTAATTAGGGTTCAATGGGTTTTGTGTATACATACTTTGGTTTGCGGCGTAAGCATTGCTTCCGTAGTACTGCATCTGACCAAGCTTTGATTTCTTCTTCTTCTTCCGAAGACAACAGACGCAGAACAATATCATGACAAGGAACAAAAATCCAGCTGCAGCCACAAGTCCTATAACAACACCCATGTTCTGACCATTATTACTTGACGAATTCGAGCCACCGTTGCTTGTAGGCGGCGCCAGCGATCTTGGTTGCGACGGTGAGCTACGGTCGGAAGTCTTAGAAGACGGTGGTGGAGGATGTGGCGCATTGTTTCTGCCTCCTCTATTATTTCCGTTGTTATTATCGTTGTTGTTGTTGTTGTTGTTGTTGTTTCCTTTGGCATCTTGCTGCGGTGGGGGCGGTGAAGGAGGAGGTGGAGATTGTGATTGTGAGGATGAGGAGTCAGACGATGGTGGTGGGGGCGAAGAACCATCGGAAGAATTTCCCGGCGGAGGAGGAGGAGGTGACTGTTGTTGTTGTTCTTGTTGGGGTGGGGGAGCTAGAGGTGAAGACGGAGGAGGGGGAGATGATGTTGTTTGACTGTCGGAAGGAGGAGGGGATGTTGTTTGATTGTCCGTAGGGGGTGACGACGGAGAAGGAGGAGGAGGTGCCGGCGGTGAGTTTTCGGGGGTCTGCCCCTCCGCCATTATCTCTCTCTCTTTCTCCCCCCGGTGGTGTCAATTGGAAGCTATTGTGAAATGAAACAAGGGACACCCAACTCTTTTCTTGTTCCTAGGAACAAGGACGCCATTTTTTGAAATTCTATTTTTAAGAAAGTTTCGATTATTTTTTCTTACTGTTATGTCTCTATATTTGGGTAATATACAGCCAGTCAAAAATTAAATATTCACAACTAATATCTTCCGGAAACATTCCGTATTCAAAAAGTTCATTAAAAAATGCTTTCGTTGAGAGTTGAACTCAAGACCTCCCGCTTACTAAACGGGTGCTCTAACCAACTGAGCTACGAGAGCTACTGTTCAACATTTTCTTGTTTTATCAAAATTTGTTCAACAATTATTTTATGTGCCATTCATATATATATATATATATATATATTTTTTTTTTTTTTTTTCGAATTATAATGACTATGTTACAATCATTATTTCCGCTTTCGTCTTTCTTTTTAACAGATTTATCATATAAAAAAATTAATTAACACATTCATTTATAAAACATTTTCTTTTAATTATAAAATATATTGTCATTTTTTTCGCTTTTTTGGTGATATACTTTCTTATCATTTGTCCACTTCAATTTTTTATTGTGAAAAAATACATTTCATTTCCAATAAATAACAACAACCATAACCAAATATTAAAGAGCCAATTCACGATATTTTTTTTTCGCTACTTATCAACATGTTTGATAAACAAATTTCCTTCTTTTTCTTGATGAATATAGCATATTATATTAAATGATTTCAATTTTGTTGATGAAAATAAGCACAGCGTATTATTCAATGAAAAAAAAAACAATTACCATAACCAAAAATAAAAAGATAATTCATAGTATGAATTTCATTCCACCAATTCAAAGTAATTATTACAGTTATTGAAATGTATCATGCTGATTATAAGACCGAAGTCTATTGTACGACTTTTCACCAAGACTAAAAGAACATGTTCGAATCAAAAACTGAAAAACTTGAAATGAAAAACAGAAGAGACGGTCGTCAAATCTGGGAAGAGGAGGTGGACGCAGCAGATGGATTAGCGTTCTTGCGAACGTACTTGCGAGCCCAGACATGTTTGCCATCGATAGTGAACTTGTTCCTGTTCCTCACAGTAACGATCTCTTCAATCATCGACATGTGTTCAGTCTTCATGACCATCCTCGCAAACAAAGGTTGCTCATTATCTTCTACTTCTTGCATCTCCACCGCATCGATCACTTCCCCGAACTTCCTCGTGAAGTAAACCCTAACTTCCTCTTCCGAGATCGGATACCCTTTCGAAAACGTCAGAAACACCGTCCGGTCATCCGCCGCCACCACCACCTCTCCATCATCCGTCTTCACCTCCTGATCTGTCTCTGTGTCGATCTTGTTTGCTTCATCTTCAACAGATGGAGGAAGAGTAGGAGTGAGAACCCTTTCTTGTTGAACACTCTGCCTGTTGATGGTTGCTTGTTGAGAACTCAACCTGATATTCTTCAAATCTTCAAGGACTTTCTCTCTCTCTATAGCCAACAGAATCTCCTGGTAGTACCTCTCCGCTCTCACGCACATGTCATCAAAAGCTCTGGTGCAGATGTCGCTCAGATTCTTCCTCACTCCAAGAAGCAAAGCGTCACGGCTTTGGTTGATGAACTTGATCGTAAGCCTGCCTCCAGTGATACGCATGACCAAAGGAATAACCGAATGATCATCGGTGTTGTTGGCAACGAATAACGTTGCGTAATCCTTGTTGTACAGGAAACTCAAGCACGCGACGATCTCATTCGCAACCGCATCGATGAATGCGTCTGGCAACGAGACAACGTACGAGACCACGTTGCGAGCGTAATTCATTTGCTCCAGCAAGTAGAGAAAAGCAAACACTTCATACGACTGGTTCATGTCGCGGTTAAGAACAAAGACAAGACGGAAGAACAAAGTTCTGTCGATCTTGTGAAAAGCGTTAAACTCTTCTTTAGATACCGCCATTTCGGTGATTGAAGATGACGAAGTGAAAAAAGACATGATGAATATAAGGTTTTTACTTCGGTTTGTTGTGGCGGTGGTGGTGTGTTGTGAGTGTTTCGACAGAGTTTATAAAGATGTTTCAATCGGAGTGTGAAGAGGTGCAATCTGATTTTTCCTTAATACGACGCTAATTACATACATGTCTCTGATTAATTACATTGAAGATCATAATCTTCCGATTCAGAAAGAGAGACCTGGCATCGTTTGGTTGTGAAACATCATGACCCTTCCCTAACATCGTTTTGTTTCGCGTCGTATTATTATCATGTCGGCCATTTTTTTCCCTTTTTCTTTCTTTGTTTATGGAAAAACCCTAAATAATTTATTTCTATAGTAATGTTATAAAAAACTGTTAAAAATAAAATAAAACTCACTGTTCCAAGTCTATCTGGATTTTTTGTTGGTTATGGAACTATATTACGTGAATTATCTAGTATTGTACTCCCAAAATACAGTCAACATTAAGCCCAAAATACGTGATTTTTTTGGCTTTGGCTATCAACATTAACTCATTAAGCCCAAAATACAGTCAACATGTAATATCTTAAAAATCTAAAAATAATTAAATACGTCAAAGAATTTCAATTTTTTAAAAGACAGGTCAGCAACAGCATTAAGGCTCAGGGGGCAGCAAGAAGGAAAGAGAAGAACGAAGAAAACCAAAAAACACCGACTTTAATCAAATCCCAGAGAAATCGCAGAGCTTTCTCTTCTAGTTTGCACAGAGAGAGAGAGAGAGAGAGAGAGAGAGAGATCCCTCCGTCCGTTGTGCAATCTCTTGCTTATTGCGATGCCTTCCCGTAGAAGAACTCTCCTCAAAGTCATCATCCTCGGCGATAGCGGGTCTGTTTTTATTTTTGATCTCTCTCTGTGTATCTGTTTCTTCGATGTGATTTAGTGTTTTCGATCAGTAAGATAATACTTTTTCTGGGTCAGAATTTTGGAGGTTTAAGTCGGAATTTTGTTAATTACTTTTTTCGATCTGAATTGGGGGTGATCTATTAGACTATTATGTGGTTGATTTCTGTCGCTTTCGGATTTAGTTAAGTTTCTTGGAATTTGAATTGTATAAGTTAAAGATTTTTTGCTTAGTTCTAGTGGAAATCTGTGGATCAAAAATCAGAAATTGGGGAGATATTGTGTTATCTTGTAAAGCTCCTAGCTTTGTAATCACATATTTGGTCATGTGCTATCAATCAAGGGGAAAATTTGTTTTGAACTTGTTTTGGGCTTAATTTTCTTCTTGTGTGTTGTGATGACTGATGAGTGGATTACTAGTACAAAAACCTGTTGTTGTGTTGAATTGTATATTCAAGTAAAGATTTATTAGGCATTTTCGTACTTGTGATTTTGCAGGGTTGGGAAGACCTCCTTGATGAATCAGTATCCTAAACTGTGTGTGTGTGAATGGAGTTAATAGCTACAATGATTACATTCTTTGGTCTCTGTTTTAGTCCCTTTTCTTAGTTATATGAGTTTGTGTATCTGTTTCACTTTAACACCAAACCTTCAGATATGTTAATAAGAAGTTTAGCAACCAGTACAAGGCGACCATTGGTGCCGATTTCTTGACCAAGGAAGTGCAATATGAAGACCGGCGTTTCACTTTACAGGTTTGTTACTATCAGTAAACTTGCTTTCGTTTTTTCTTGGAGTAGACTTGCCTGTTGGTATGAGCTTGACTCCCTAATTGTCAGAGGTTAATTTATGAGCCTTTTGGTGAATCTCTACTGAACCTTTTGAAGGATGTTATAAGTCCTCTGCACTCTCATCTTATACCAATAGCAACTTTGGTTCTGTAGGTTCATATGTATTCCCACCTTTGTTTGACCATTATGAGCTAAGGTCTCTGCTTTTGCTTACAGATATGGGACACAGCTGGTCAGGAAAGGTTCCAGAGCCTTGGCGTAGCGTTTTATCGTGGTGCTGATTGCTGTGTACTTGTTTATGATGTCAACTCCGCGAAATCATTTGAGGATCTCAACAACTGGAGGGAAGAGTTTCTGATCCAGGTATGTATATTGATATATTCGTGCTCTCTTTTCCTCATCTTCCAGTGTCTTTGTTCAATAAAAGAATTTTGATTCAAATGGTAATTTGATTGTAATTTTTGCAGGCAAGTCCTTCAGATCCAGAGAACTTTCCCTTTGTTGTTATCGGTAATAAGATCGATATAGATGGTGGAAACAGTCGAGTGGTACGTGCACAATCTCCATGTAGTATGTACAAGAACAACATTGAAAGTTACATTGTTTCTAATTACCTTTTGATTTCTCAGGTTTCAGAGAAGAAGGCTCGAGCTTGGTGTGCTTCAAAGGGAAACATCCCATACTATGAAACCTCTGCCAAAGAAGGCACCAATGTAGAAGACGCTTTCTTGTGCATAACCAAGAACGCAATGAAGAGTGGAGAAGAGGAAGAAATGTAAGTTAAAAACACGATTTCCTAATCACTAATCACAGTCAATAGCTTTGATTATACTTTGATGGATCTGAAACTTGTTGATGTTTTGGATGTTTAGGTACATGCCAGACACAATTGATGTTGGAACCACCAATGCACAGAGGTCAACAGGGTGTGAATGCTAAAAGGATTCTCTTTTACCTTTCTGCTGTCTCACCGAGTTATCTCGCGCTCTGAGGTTTTCAACATATTGTAAATCTGTTGTTCTTTGGTAAATTATTATTTTAAAAAAAACCTAATATAATAAGTGAACAGCCGAATTGGATTGTTCGGTGTTTGTGGCCTTGTACTATGACTTTTTTCTCTGCAATTATCCATTACATTATCTTTTTATTTGACATTGTTGTTGTGAAAACTTGTTGGTTTCTCTGTTCATTTATCGTTTACTTTGTTTAACGTTAAGGATGACTTATTTAATATTGATCCAATGTAGTGTTGAAGTCTTGAAGACGACTTACATGAATTTCATATAACACATCATATGAATACATAATAAATCATAACTAACATATTTCTGGGTATTGTTTTTAGAAAGTTAGTGATTTGGATAATTGAATAAATTTGACAAAAGATAAGAAACATACACCAAAAGCACCGTACACTAAATTAATTTGTATTATCAAACAAACACAACGTGAAGCCATTACCACACAAAGACTCGCCTTAAGGCTTACAAATAATTAAATCCCTTATTGCTAGGGTTAACATTTCTCTTTGCTATGCGAAATATATTTTGTATTAGTGTATAACAAGTTACCAACTCAAGCAGCTGTTCTTCACTTAAATAATACACACAAACGTGCATGTATAAACCGATACATACATACACATTACTTATACATTAGGATTGTGGTAGATGATGACGATAGATTTGGTGTTGAAATTCTTGACGAACCTCTCTCGTCCTGCCCTAAATGGATTGTCCAGAAGCTCTTTGATTGGTTCAGGCAATGGCTCATTATTCATCATCTTCTTCCAATATTCCTCTGCAACTCCTCCTGATCTTCCTTCACTAAGGTTCACAAACTATACCAACAAAAATACAACATTCATTATATATACATGCATGTATAGATCAGAACTTGATTTATTAGGTTTTTTAATATATAGAAGAAGCTTTACCAGGAGAAAGCTGAAAAAGACAAAGAAGACGACGACCAAGTAACGTTGTTGCTTCATGTCTTTTAACTTTTGTTTTGTTGTCTGAGGATTGTGTGTCGATCTATGTTAAATCTTTGGGTGTTAAGTTTATATATATAGAGAGATCCTTTAAGAGGGACTTGTTTTCTTGATAACAGTGATTACTTCCCTCTCCTTCCAATTTTTGGTGTGAAAATCATTTTAATATTACATGGTAAGGTCAACTTTGTTTTTTGTATTGCTAAGTTTATGTATATTGTAACCTAATTGTTTTTTTATGTTTATCTAAATGTGAGAGTGGTGGGCCGCTTAAGTAAGGATTTTTGTCTATTCTTCTCTGTAGCGATCAACTATTTACAGCTCAGGTTGCAACACCAGCATATATCAGGCATATATAATTGAATAGAACATAGAAGAGTTCCATGATTAAATTATACTAATTTCCCAGTACTTACTAGGATTCCGTGATTAAATCAAACAAAGAAGAATAGGGACAACATATATTTAATATCGCAACTAGAATTCCATTATAGTATTTACAAATGAATATGAGTAATTTTTGTGTCAAACACTTATCAAAAATTTCAAAACCAATCACTAAAGACTGTGGCTGTATTGAAATATGTTTTTGTAATATCTACATGTTTTTTTTAAATGCTAGTTTCATTTTTATTAATGCTTGAAAAAATAATACAAAATGATAATATATGCATAATTTTAAAAAGTTTCAACTTATATTTGATGTGTTACTAAAAGAAAAATTAGGAGCTCTCCAACATACTGTATATCCAATTTTCTGAAGAGCTTTTTGTAATTAGTCATGCTCGTAAATCTATTCTTGAGATCTTTGATTAGATTTAGTTTTTTACTTTTTTGGCTAATTTTTTCTAATCAATTATTTTAACTCGAAGTAATAGAGATTCACTGAATTCGTTTAAAAACAAATAAAACCAAGAATAAGTGTTGGCTTTTCTCCGTGAGAGTTATTTTAATTCATGAAAAAGACAGGTCAAAAGTTTTTTCTTAGATTATAAAAGTTTGATTTAACCAAAAAGAAAAAATTATAAAAGTAGGAACAAAGAGAAGCGGGTCAACTTTCAATGTGTGATCGCACATTTGCAATACGACACATAGCTCAAAGTATACTAAAAACATTCATAGTTATCATTTAAAAATGCCTTATGATTTCATAAAAGGTAGTGGAGTACTTATTAGTTGATCAAAGAGGCCATTGATTAGATCAAGATCAAGAACAAGCTACACGATTTTTCTTCTTCTTAGAATTACTTGGATTGATATTCCGATTTTTGTTCCTCGAACAAACTATAATTTTTGTTGCATGGAAAGATTATGGGATTTATCAATGAATAACCATAAAAAAATATTCAATTAAGAATATATCCATATCAACTGATAGGTTATGATATTTTGTATATAAAATATAATATGACGAAATTACCCCTAAAACAAAAAGAAACATTTTTTTTTCAATTCACTTCACTTTTTTTTTCTCTTCTCTCTCCCTCACGATTCTTTTTCTTCTTCACCTCTCTTCCTCCTTTTGATTGTGTAAGGTTTGGGTTTACAGATTCGTGTTTAGGGTTTATTGTTTAGTTATTTCAGTTGTTGTATTGATTATTTCTAATCAAATTGGATTCCTCTGTTTTTCCTGCAATTCCTCTATTTTCTGGGTTATTTTGAAAATTAGGGTTTTTGAAAAGTTATAGATGAAAAGAACTAGCGATTCTAGTGACTGCTACGCCGCCGAATTGTGTCGCATCAAATAGAGAACGAATCTAATCTGAGCTTTATAAGAAATCTCATACTTCAATTCATTACCCAGAAAATCTCATACTTCAATTCAATGACACCAAATGTTTGTGCCTTTCCGTCTTAAATTCGTTGAGACCTTGCTCTGAATTCGGGTTTGATTTCTAGATCGCAACTTTCGTGCCACGGTCTATAACTCCTTTGTAAAAATTTACCGAAATCTCCGACTCCGATGACGTTTGACTCGTCGAAGAAAGATGAATGGCAAACTGGTCTTTTGATAGCGCATGTATTTCACTCTCTAATTTTCGTTCTGCTATGGATACTTTCTTTATTACTAGCCCTAATATAGCTACTTCACCAATTCATCCATAGATTATCTTATATACCAAAGAATGAGACAAAAATCTCTGATCGATATATATTAAGGACGCAGTAAGTTTTTCTATGGATGGACAAATCATCACTTTAAATGATACATCACCATTTTAATTTTGTTTAGTTTATCAAAACGATTGAAAAGATAACAATTACTCAGTCTTTTAATAAAAACCAATTAATCAATAAAAATAAACTTTTCAGATGGTCATATTACACAAAATATTACAAATTCGAATTATATGATTTTATGATTACAAGTAATATTTTGTGTCAAAATTTCACGTGTTTTATCAAGGTGACGAAGTGCCAAACAGTGGAAAAGATTATCATACTTTCTTATACATGATATGGAAAACTTTACTGATAAAATCAAAAGTTCAAAACCACGTGTTATCTAGTCATTATATGGAGAAATGTAAAAAACTACAGCATTATGAATACTAAAATGGATTTGGAACAGAAAGAGTACACTAGTAACCTAACTGATTAATTGGCTAGAGAACAATGGATTAATAAGACCCCACCATTGGTTTTTGAAGTTGATCCTCTCAACTCTAGGGAAACTGTCCATGAAGGCAAATGATGTAGTGCGATTATGATTTGAACTTATATAAACTATTGTTTTTTTATTGTGGATATGGTATTTGGCCAAGTACACACCTATTTTCGAATCTTGTTATAACTTTGCCAACTTTTGGTGGTCATAGAATTTTGTCTAAAGATTTGAAACCGCTTCTACAATTTTCCAATTAGAAAAAAGGATAATCATGACTAGAAGCTTAACTTAATTTATATAGAAAGTCATAAAGAAAAAGATGATCTTAGTGCTTCTCATAAGTGGATACTGAATTTTATATATTTGCTATGTAATGGGGGTCTAAATGTCTAATTATATAAAACTATTATAGATAAGGTTTATATATGGTTTAATGATTTCACCTTTTTTTCCTGATTAATTGTGGTGCAAATGGAAAGTCTAGAGTTTTATATGGCCAAATAACATATCACATGTGAAATCGAGTTCTCACCTTTACATGCTTTCACAAGATCACCACTGACGATAAATGCATATAGTTATAATTTAGTTTTTATCATTAATAGTTCTTGCAATTTTGATGTAGGTGGTGGTAGTGGTATCGAAAGAAGATTTGACTGAAAAAAAGAGAAAGATTTGAATGTGAAAAGAAGGTTGGTGGTGGAGCAAGTTCTCGTAATGGAACTATTTGGAAATTCAGCGAAACTTTAGCCAAAGTAATTAGTAGAACCATGACTAGGTTGTCATAATACACTATGACAATAAATTCAAAATATAAAGATATAAATTAATCTATCCGGTCCAAGAACAAGATTATGTGAGTTACTTTATATTTCATCCTATTAAGTCGAACTATGAACTTTGTCTACCTCCTTCATAAAAGATTTTTTGGATTCAACTATTTACCCGATAACGTAAGTTTTAGTTTATTTTCGTGTGTTAAATATATGCATCTTTTACCGAAACAAGTTGTGCATTGCACGGATATAACTGATCTTATCAAGCTTATCCAAAAAAATTAACCCAAAAAAATCGTTGTAATTAAAAGTTAAATCTTGTCGAATGACACGAAGCAAGCGAGTGGGGTTCAATCAAGTCATGCATGCATATCTGAATTGTTGGCTCTAAATTTTAATTTTTTCCTTGAAACCATCAATTTGTAGTAAATATATAGTTATAGCCTATAGTCAACTTATACATGTACTTGTTGGAATTAGCTTTTAAATTCCAAAGTCAACTTAGATTTCTCAATCATGCACACTATTACCTCTTTTTATTTTGTACTGCAATATTACAACTATGATTGTTCATTAGTATAATGGCTATTCACTGTCAGTAGGAGATTATCATTCTCTCGCTTTCAATGTAAATATCGTTTTTAACATTTTTACAGTATTTCAAAAATAGAAAATGATTATTTATATTTTTGTTAAAGAAAATATATATTTATTTGTAATTTATGTTTTCTTATTGATATTAGGTAGAAAAACAAATTTAGTATCTTATAATGATACCCTTTCGTTAGCAAATCTATTAGCCTAAACCAAATATGTTTGTGAAATGGAGATATTCATCCTTATGTTAGTCAATTTCACTACTAGAATACGTAACAGAAAAGACAACAACTCAAATATCATTACAACAATGAATAGTTTTCTTTGTCTGATAGAATATTATCCTTTCACAAGAAAGGAAAAAAATCGAAAGAATATAATGAACTAAATTTCGATTCCTAACGAAGTTGAATACTTGAATTACGTTCGTCCATCCACTCGAATCAGTAGCAGAAACAATATTTTACAAACATCTTTCGCAAAGTTTAACTATTTGATGAATCCCGAAAATCCATCCCAACGTCATACATAAGTAAGCATATTACAAATAATTTTTGAAATGGGAGTTGTTTTTTTGTCACAAACATGAATAATTCTTGAAATGGGAGTTTAACCATTAGTTACTTCACTAGAACCACATATCCATATAATAAATATAGATTCCACGAACATGAATATTCAGTCTGTTTTTTCTTCTTCTTATTTTCGGGCTAATTCGGATGATAAAAAAAATAAAAGTGTGATGTATTAAAGTCAAAGATTTTATATAGTGGGTTGGTTGTCGCCATAGAATTAGAGTAGTAATGGAAACAAAATATATTGGTCAATGATGCTGCGACTAAGTTCAATGAAAGATCAATGGGATTCTTTTTTTTTTTTTAATTATGTATAGTGATATTTAACTTTTAAGAATAGTAATTATTGTTTTAATCCTTTAGAATTTGCCAGAGGTCTATCATTCACATTGTCAACAAAACCTTATTAAATTTAAAGAGAACCATAACCATAAGACTTCGTGAGAGAATGACCTCCTTTTTCCATATTTTAGAAACAAAACCAGAAGCATCCAATAATACAACGAAAAACTTAGATATGTATAGAATATTCGTTTGCCCAAAAAGAAAGAAAATGTATACGAATAATTCTTACTATTTATAGATTACTCTAGAACTCTATCTCTAATTTCGAAAATGATTACGACCATAATTATATACAAACAAGATTTGTTTCTTTTTCTTTTTCCATTGCGACGTAAAGGATGATGATATCCATGAACAATATTGTTTGTATGATAGAATCAATCGAACCAATCTCCTTGAGATAATATCCAATTATATATTTTTTCGTATCTTGTACAGTTTCAAATTAGATGACGATGTAAGAAGAAGCTGGCTTCACAGTAATTAATAATACAAATAAAATGGAATTAAAAAATATTAACAGTCTACTTAATGTGTAAACTAATAGATGAAAAAATCCTTGAAACTAGATTTAAAAATGAATAAGTCAGCATCAGCATAAGGATATGGATTATTATAAATATACGGAGAGATGGTTGTCATACTTCATTGAGATCTAAGGTCACTTGAATAACTTTTTTAAGAATTTGCTCATCTTAAAAAAAAAAAAAAAGTCAAAACTAGAAGAAGGAGACGAAGAAGAAGAAACTCATTTTCTCTCGACAGAGCTAATATAATCCATATGGCTTCGACTTTGCGATTCTCTGTCACCTTCCTCACCCTCTTCCTCTTCTCTCTGGTATGTTTATCTTCCTATGTATTACTCTGCAACATAATCAGATAAGTTTATTCATCATGGCTCTTACCAAAGGGTTTTAAGAAAAATTAATTTTCTTCAATCGGATAAAAAGTAAATAATATACTATAAGAATCACAACATATTCAGGGAATAGTTTATATCGAATTTCTTTGTAGCTTTATTTGCATAAGTTCATCTATATATGAGGGATTCATGGTTCTTGCCACATTGTTAGAAAGAAAGAAAAACTTTTCTGGGAAACATTATATTAAGATTTTGAGTATTTTATTGAAGTTTCTCGACTCTAAATATCAATATCGGTTTTATGTTAGTGGGTCGTGGAGGCGCACACGTCAAGGAAACTAATATCAATCAAGGAAGAAGAAGGTCAAAATACTAGCCATTTGCTCAAAGATGGTGAATACGAGGATCCTACAATGTACATGTTTTTCGCAATCGATAAACTCAAGTTAGGAACCAAATTGCCCATTTTCTTCGACAAAAACGATCTTCAGAAACTTCCTCCACTTCTCACAAGACAAGAAGCTGATCTTATTCCTTTCACCAATTCAAAGCTTGACTTCCTTCTCGATCACTTCTCTATCTCCAAAGACTCTCCACAAGGAAAAGCCATGAAGGAGACTTTGGCACGTTGTAACTATAAACCTATGGAAGGACAGTTAAAGTTTTGTGGGACTTCTTTGGAGTCAATGCTTGATCTTGTGAAGGAAACAATAGGATCCAATGCTGATCTCAAGGTCATGACGACGAAAGTAATGGTACCGAAGCAAAACAAGATTAGCTACGCTTTGCATAACTATACATTCGTGGAGGCTCCTAAGGAGCTTGTTGGGATTAAGATGTTGGGATGTCATAGAATGCCATACCCTTATGCTGTTTACTATTGCCATGGTCATAGTAGTGGAGCAAGAGTCTTTGAAGTTAACTTGGTGACAGACGACGGGAGACAGCGGGTTGTAGGACCCGCTGTCTGCCACATGGACACGTCTATGTGGAACGCGGATCATGTAGCGTTTAAGGTGTTGAAGGTAGAGCCGAGGTCCGCACCGGTTTGCCATTTCTTCCCTCTTGATAATATTGTGTGGGTAACGAAGTAGGAATGTAAACTTAATTAGCTCTATATTATGTGAGTATGTGTCTCGGCGTAACTATGCTTTGAAAGAAAAAGAAAAACAAAAAGACAGTTTGTGTTGGCTTTGGTATTGCCTCTTTCGTGTGACTTGCAGCTTCTAACGTTAAAATACGTACTACTACAATGTAACATATGTCATCTCATGCATCCTGATATAATACTTACCCTTATATATTTTTGTATACTTTTTATCGTGTGTAGTTTTTGGTCCATGAAACTATGTCCCCATGAGTCTAGAAGTTTTCGAATTTTGGATCGTAACGATTTTCGATGCGGGCAAATATGAGTGTTCCTAATGGGAATGTCACGTACTTATACAGTTATACTTCAAACTGGTAATTCGTATAAACTTATTGGACGATCATACAAAGTTACTTCATGATCACTGTATTAATAATTTTATATATATATATTTTTTAAATGATAGTCAGAAATAGTTGTTCAGTAACACAAAAAAAGGAAGAAAAAGAAGTTACATAAGCCAATTTCAAAGCAATAATCTACAGTAGATTAAAAATAAGGCCGGACTAAGCCCAGTAATATGTTGGGCTTTTATCTGCTGGGCTGATTGACTTATCCTTTTTATGTTTTCCCTTCTCGGTTTACTAACTGTTGCAAAAAAAAATGTTTTTAATTTTGAAACAAAGGGTGAAAATTTGTTAATACGAATGCAGTTGTTTACAGATAATAATCAAATAATTCTCACTAGGTAATCACAAAAATTATATTGTCCAAATCCGATATCTTGCTTGTAAGGGTTATCTTGTAAGGATTACATGAAAAATTATATTGTCAAAGATTAAGACATTGTTAGCTTGTTTTAATTTTGGTAAAAAAAGAATGAAAATAAGAAATAGTCGAACATAAAAACTAAAAAATAGAAGCCTCATAACCGTTTTTCGAAATTTAAAATGAGGTGATTAGCTTTTTATCACAATTTCTTGTTTGTTAAGATTTGGAGGAAAAATCCCTCATATTAATTTAGTTTTCAATTTTGTCTCTCCATTTCAATTTCCCTCCGACATTTCATCCAACGTCAAAAAAGTATTTGTAAGCATTTCAAATTAATTAAAGTTCTGAGGATAAATACGAAAATAGTTTAATTTCGGGGACTAGACCAAAACGGCTATTATGGAGAGAAAATCAAGTCGAAACGAGCCGATGCATAACAGAAAAGATTCTCTTCTCCTGTGTTAAAATTTCCTCTCTCCTTCCTCAGATTTTCTCGCATTTTCTCTCGTCTTCTCTCCTACTTTTCTCGTCGTTTTCTTGCTCCCCAGTTAGAATCACAGTGACCAGCACGCACAAAAGAAAACACTGACGCCATTTATTTTGTCTGCTTCACTTTTTTTGCCTCTGGTTTCGTACGGAAACCTCTAAGTTTTTAATTTCTCTCACCATTTCGGTGATTTTCCGTCGTTATTCTGCCGGAAAACATGGACGACCCGAACGGATGTAACCAGAGGAGAAGAGCTCGTCAGATCTACGAGGAAGAAGACGATAGCAAAACGATTCGGCGCCGTCAAGCAAACCAAGTGGTGAACGAACCTCAAAACGACGACGCACAGGCTGATGGCGACGACGAAGGACTTCCTCTTTCGCTAAGCTTGGGTCCAACATCGTATTACTCTCAGATCCCAACGCCGGCGACGTCATCGCTTCGTTTAGCACCACCACCGTCGCGTTTTGATCTACCTCCGACGATCTGGCAGTCACCTGATTTTATGGCGCGGATGGCTTCGTCTCATTCTTATTTCATGACGTCGCCGCCGAATATGTCATCGTCGTCGCTGAGCAACAATCTGTACCAGACCGGGTATCGAGGATCGCCAACACCGACGATGCAGTCACCGCTTGGACCGCCGGTTAGTTACTTCCCCCCGTCAGGTTTCGCCCCTCCGTCAAATCCGACTCCGGCGAGACCAGTGAGATCAGTAGCCCCCGAGGATGAGCCACGACGGGGTTCCAGATCACAAGCGAAAGAGGATACGATTCCGCCGCCGTTTCCGTGGGCGACGAATAAGCGAGGGTGGATACACAGCCTCGAGTATCTCGAATCGAAACAGATCACCACAATCACCGGAGACGTACAATGCAAAAACTGTGAGAAAGTGTATCAGCTAAGCTACAATCTGAAGGAGAGATTCGCGGAGGTTGAGAACATTTTCGTGACGCGGAAAAGGATCATGAGGGAACGAGCTCCTTCGAACTGGACAAATCCGGAGGCGGCGAGGTGTGAGCATTGTGGCCGTGATAAGGCGGTGAAGCCAGTGATTGCGGAGCGGAAGAGTCAGATTAATTGGTTGTTTTTGCTTCTGGGACAGACGTTGGGCTATTGTACATTGTCGCAGCTGAAGAATTTCTGTAAACATTCAAAGAGCCACCGCACCGGAGCTAAAGATCGTGTGCTCTACTTGACGTATCTGGGTCTTTGCAAGATGCTCGAGCCTAACCGTGAGCTCTTTAACCGTGAGCCGTTTAGGAGGTAAGTTTGATTCTATCTTTCGTTCTGGGTTTTGGGGTTTGATTGAGATTACTTTTGGTGAAAGATCGTTTGGATGTTCGTTTGGGGTTTTAGCAAGATTTGGGTACTGTTGCTTTTAGGTGGATCTTGTGTGAATAATGGGGGTGAACAAAATGCAATTATATTGCATTTATTGTAATCCCTTTGGTCGTTTGTTTATCGGGATTAATATCTCATTAACATTTATGGTTTTGTAAAGTTTATCATCGGATATTATTTCCGACTGTGAATTGAACGAAGCTGTATACATCTGTGTAAAGCAAGGCGTTTGTTATTATTCCATGCTCTCTGATTTTAGTTTTTGTAATGGGCCTTGGGTTTAATGGACTTTCAGACGAAGAAAAAAGAGAGTTTAACGGACTTTCAAGTAATTTTCGCTTATATGGTGGGATTTGAATTAGAAGAAGTTATTTAGAATCTTTGTCAATTGATCTAAGTTTAACGATATTTTTTTATTTTAATACATTGCATATTCAAAAATTATTTTGTGAATGGAGGATAAACTCTAGATTTCAAATGTTTTAGTATATCACTCGATAATCTCTAATGTTCAAAGATTTATCTCAATAATCTATGACCCTATCTTCTATTTATAATTAAAAAAATGATTAGATAATAAATCTTATATGAATTACAAAACAGAGAGATAAATATCATTATCAAATCTACTAAGGATAAATAGTCAGCTCAAAGACTCTTTCTTCGTCCAAATTATGAACATGGGTGCATGTTTTAACTAAACTTACAAATCCTCACATAATGAACCGAATAATCCGACTTCAAAGTCGACTCAGATCTTGGTTCAATTTCTCATTTTTATGCACTGTTCGGTGTGATTCATACCGGTTAAACCTATAGTATTTTACCCATTTACCCCTTTTGAATATCCTCCAACAACGGACAAATTATTTACCAAAGAAGCGAAGAAAAGAAAAAGAGAAAAGGGAAGAGACAAAACGAATGGCGAGTAAGGCGACATCACAATGAACCTACAAGCCCAGCCATGGCTGCTTCTTCTTCCCACACAGAGGCACGAATTGAGAATATTTGATTCCTAACCAGTTTTTACACTCCCATTTATGATTTCTCCGTCCTTGGTGGATCCTACGAGATTTTGACTCAGTCTTTAGGCAGATCTGATCGCGGAAATTCCCTTTTCCAGCTATTGTTTTTCTTTCCGTGGCGTCCGCTTTCGTTTGATCGGAGATGGAGGCATTGACGGAGCTCTGCGACATTATAGCGCAGAATCCGAAGCAATTCTCGGAGAAATTGGCTTGGATATGCGGCCGTTGTCCTCAAACGGAATGGCTGCTCGCCGAATCGCCCAGGGTTGCTCGGAGTCATCTCAACGCGGTCTTGGCTGTTGCTCGGATTATCTCCAAGAACCCAGAAAACACAGATAATCGTGCCAAATCCGTCGTCAAGGACTTTCTCAGTGCTGTGCCTGCGTCGTTCCGCCGTTCGTTCTGGCCGCATTCGTTCCCTTTGCAGTCGATCTCTGCATTCTATTGTGATTTCCTGATCTACCTTTCGTGCGCCGCGGATCTGTCGCCGGAATTCGGCACCGAGGTTGCCAGGTTTACAGGAGAGGTCGTGATAGCCGCCACGAGTTGCGGTGAGAGCGACGGGGATCCATCAATCTCTAAGGCTTACTTGGTCGCGCTTTCTCAGAATTTCCCGTCGATTCTGCAGTCTGATGGTGATAAACTGATAACAATGCTGCTCGATCAGTTTGTTCTGCACCGTGCTCCTGCTTCGCCCAAGGAACAGCGGCAGCAGAACTCGGCGAACTCTGAAACCTCGTCGTCCCAGAGCTCTCCCAATAGTACGAACTGCTACCCCTCCGGAAAACCTGAGGAGTCTAGTCCTGGTGACGAAGTCGCTAGCCATGGGTCCACCTTGTCTTCTAAGAGTTCCTCGTCTGTGGTGGTGAATGGGGGTAGTATCGTGTGGAAGAGTGGTGTTGATCAGCTGAGCTTTGGATTTAGCGAAGGGAGTGGAGGCTCTAACCCTGTGTTTAGACAACAAGTGGCTTCTTTTGAGGACGAATCCATCGAGAGCTTGGAGAAGCAAGAGATTGCCTTTAGATTGATAACCCATATACTGGATAAAGTTAAAATTGATTCTAAACTTCAGGATCAAGTGAGATTTATAGCGAAGAGGCAACTCCAGTCCATGTCTGCATTTCTGAAGGTAATACTTTTCTTGTGGTGATAAAGTATGGCATTTTCTGGATTTGGTCCTTTATTAGGAGTGCTAGAGAAATGATATCTTGGTGAAGCAATTATTGGTCGATTGTCCCTTTTACTGTCTCAATATCATGGTGCTTACCTTGCGGATTATAGATTTCTTGGTAGAGATGATGACTCTGTTTCTGCCTTCTGTTTTACAGTCAAGAAAGCGAGACTGGAACGAACAAGGCCCAGTTTTGAAAGCTAGAGTCAATGCCAAACTGTCTGTTTATCAGGCTGCAGCAAAAATGAAGATTAAGAGCCTTGTATCCCTTGAGACAGATGGCAAAACCTCTAAAAGGTTGGTCCTGGAGACTCTTGCACTGCTATTAGATGCTGCAGATGCCTGCTTGACTTCTGTGTGGCGGAAAATGAAGGCATGTGAAGAGCTGTTCGGCTCTCTGCTTTCTGGGATTGCAAAGATTGCAGTGGCAAGAGGAGGACAGCCACTACGTGTGTTGCTCATCCGGCTTAAACCACTGGTACTGGCTGTCTGTGCACAGGTAATTTTGTTTTGCTTTAACTCACACGAGCAACATATTCTACTCTATTGATGGATAATTTTATCGTGTCTGGTGATCTATATCATGTCACCAGTCTGAACAGATATTGTAGTCCGTTTAACTCTAAATTACTGAAAGAAGTTCCAATTTATTTCTTATATCTGTTGGAACAGCCTGATACTTGGGTGGGAAATCAAGGGGCTATGCTTGAGAGCATATTTAAGACTAGTTGTGAGATTATTGAATCTGGGTGGGCCAAGGACCGAGCTCCAGTGGATACCTTCATTATGGGGTTAGCCTCAAGTATTCGTGAAAGAAATGATTATGAAGAACAGGTCACTCTAATAAACTTTCCCTTAACGTGTATATAATTATTTTACATTGCTCTTCGCTGGTAATTTGCCTACCTTCTGTTACATTGTAATTTCACCTTTCCAATAAGGCTCATCATTTGGTGTCTAGGTTGATAAAGAAAAGCAAGTGCCTGCTGTACAACTAAATGTGATACGGCTGCTTGCTGATCTTAATGTTGCTGTTAAGAAGCCCGAAGTAGCAGACATGATCTTGCCACTCTTTATTGAAAGCCTGGAAGAGGGTGATGCTTCAACTCCTAGCTTTTTGAGACTCCAAGTATGGTTCCATTTTATAACTTGATGGCTATAAGTATCCTATATATGTTACTTTCTCAAACTTTGGTGATGGCAGAAACTGCTACCATCTATATCTTTTTCGTTTTAATTCTTGACATATTTATCTATGCATCTACGCCAATTTTGTGCAGCTTCTTGATGCTGTTTCTCGCATAGCAACATTAGGTTTTGAAAAATCTTACCGTGAGACAGTAGTTCTGATGACCAGAAGTTACTTGAGCAAACTTTCGAGTGTAGGATCTGTAGAAAGCAAAACATCAGCACCAGAAGCCACAACCGAGCGTGTTGAGGTATATGTCATTTCATACATGATAATTTGCTGTGTTTCTTTTTGGCTTTAACTATGGCACTGGTCCTCACATATCCAATTGTGCTCTAGACTCTTCCTGCAGGTTTTCTTACAATTGCCAGTGGTCTTACGGATACAAAATTGCGTTCAGACTATCGCCATCGCTTGCTTTCTTTATGTTCAGATGTAGGCCTGGCTGCCGAGTCCAAAAGTGGAGGGTAAATATATGGTCTTAGCTTTTATAAACATAGAGTTTCTTATACTGTTTACGGTTTAGTCTATCTTTTAAATGCCTAGTCAGATAACGTTTTTTAAAACTGTTCTTTGTTTACTAATATATTTGGACATAAAAAATCTGTTCAAATTATGAGAATTCTGCTGGCTATAGCTTTTCGCTGCTTCTGTATTTTCCTAGCAAGGGCTAAGTATTCCGTGATTAACTGGATGACCAATATTTGTATTTATGCTGTTAACGTTAAAGATAAACATTTTTCGCTCTCCATTTTTCCTAAAAGCTGAGAATAGTCAGAATTTTTTTTACTTAATGATTCTCCACCTTAATTTATTTTTTGATCTCATATTGACTGGAGTATTTTTTGCGTGCTGCATTTTCTTCCAGGAGTGGTGTGGATTTTTTAGGGCCTCTTCTTCCTGCAGTTGCAGAAATATGCTCTGATTTTGATCCTACTTTGGATGTGGAACCTTCACTTTTGAAGTTGTTCCGCAATCTCTGGTTCTATATAGCCCTTTTTGGTTTAGCACCACCTATTGTGAAAGCTCCAACACCAGCAGTGAAGTCAACTTCCAATTCAGTGAACGGTACGGGAAGCATGAGCACAGTTGCTTTTCAAGCTGTGGGAGGGCCGTACATGTGGAACACAGAGTGGGCTCTTGCTGTTCAGCGGATTGCTCAAGGCACTCCCCCTCTTGTAAGTCTATAAGGTCATCTTCAGAGTTTAATTGTGGTTCACCGTTTTATAAGCCTTTTAAATACTGAGTCTTACATATCCCAGGAGATACTAGTTCTGTAGTTTAACTTTAACTAATTGAGAAACACTCTTTATAGGTCGTCAGTTCTGTAAAATGGCTTGAAGACGAATTAGAACTCAACGCTCTTCATAATCCTGGTAGTCGTCGAGGAAATGGAAATGAGAAAGTTGCTTCAACCCAGAGACTTGCTCTTTCAACTGCCTTAGGTGGCCGAGTTGACGTTGCATCAATGGGCACCATCTCAGGTAGACCAAACAGGGAGTTATTGTTCAATATCTGCGATATGGAATTTAGTGTGGCTATCTTAGATACTTAAAACTTTGTTTCTTTCACTTCTTTCAGGAGTGAAAGCTACCTATTTGCTTGCTGTCGCTTTTCTGGAGATCATACGCTTTATTAGCAACGGGGGTATCCTTAACGGTGACTCAAGTGTCTCTGCCTCTAGAAGTGCCTTCAGTTGTGTCTTCGAATATCTGAAAACTCCAAATCTTACTCCCGCTGTTTCCCAGTGTTTGACGGCAATTGTGCATAGAGCTTTTGAGACAGCAGTCTCGTGGCTGGTACGTAAATACCTGGTCATAGTATATTAGCACCTTTTTTCGAGGACCTTGTGGTGGCAACTCTAGCTCATTCATTATGCCCCTTATAGAATCATTTTGATATTGCTCACTAATCCAGCTCTAATTTCTGTTTTTGCTGCTTTTTGCTACTTTTTTGTTTTAATATATGAAGGTTACAGAAAATTTCCATCTGGTTTCAGGAAGATCGAATATCTCTTACTGGGAAAGATGCACGTAACAGAGAACTGACAACGTATGCACATGCTTGTTTCCTCATAAAGAGTATGTCACAGAGAGATGAACACGTTCGAGATATCTCTGTGAACCTGTTGACTCAACTACGGGACAAGTTTCCTCAGGTAAATGGGTATACATTCTCTCGTTCAAAATATTGTATGTAGGCTCGCCATTTTTAATGCAAAAACAAGCTGAGAAATTGCATATATGAATGTATTACATTGATAGAAGTAACTTGCATGGAACAAGTAACTTGGTTATTTAAAGTATTTTTCTTCTCACTGTTGTACAATAATTTCATGTGTTACCCATTGCGGATCTTTTTTGTTTCTGAATCTAGCTTTTCGGGTTTTGGTCTTTTGATCTCTTACAAGTGGTCAATTTTCTCATTTTCACTTCCATGAGACACCTGTGGTGTAATCTGTTTGTTTTTATGAACATTCAAATTCTCCATCAGTGTTTGATTTTGCCTTCTTCAACGATTTTTTTTTGGAAATTATCCCTCTGATCTGTAGATCAACTAACAATGAGAAAATGCAGGTCCTCTGGCATTCGTCGTGTCTCGATAGTTTGCTGTTTTCAGTTCATGACAATACACCTTCAACTGTTGTCAATGATCCCGCTTGGACTGCTGCTGTTCGATCCTTATACCAGAAAGTTGTTCGAGAATGGATCATAATATCACTTTCATATGCTCCATGCACCAGTCAGGGTTTGCTTCAGGTTTCCTTCTTTTTGCCAATTCGTATTGTCTTATACTTGCAGATTCGAAGCTTCTTATTAGTGACAGCTTTCTGTTTCTCCAAAATTCAATCTGTTAATTTGACATTTTTAAACTGGAACCTACTATGGAGATATAATTCCTTTCTCTGGTCTGTTGTAGTGCCTTATTTTACTTTCTTCCTCGGCCAACGAACTCATTTTAGTTTTAGACATCTAAATTCTTAGAATGATAAGAGAAGCTGGGCTTTAGTTTTTATCTCGCTCTACTACCGTAATTGTTTTAAATGTTTCTGTAATGACTTTAGTTTCTGAGATTGTTGCGAGTCTGTTTTTGGTGCACAAACGAACTATGAGAAGCTTTGGATATTTTGTCTATATTCTCATTGCAGGGCTCTTTTCCGTTGTTCCTCCTTATGTTCCTTTTGAGTTACAATAGAGTTTCACATTCCTTCTCTTGTTTTAATATGCACCTCAGGATAAGCTATGTAAGGCAAACACATGGCAGCGAGCACAAACTACAACTGACGTGGTTTCTCTTCTATCTGAGATAAAGATTGGAACTGGGAAAAACGAAATTTGGTCTGGGATAAGAACTGCAAATATTCCAGCGGTGATGGCTGCAGCAGCTGCAGCGTCAGGGGCAAACTTAAAAGTTTCTGAAGCCTTTAACTTGGAGGTACTTGGTACTGGCGTAGTCAGTGCAACGGTAAAGTGCAATCACGCTGGAGAGATTGCTGGGATGCGAAGGTTGTACAACAGTATTGGTGGATTTCAAGGGTCAACGCCTAGTGGTTTTGGTGGTGGCCTTCAAAGATTAATATCTGGGGCATTTTCCCAGGCACCACAACCAGAGGATGATTCATTCAATGAGATGTTAATCGCCAGGTTTGTGCGTCTTCTTCAGCAATTTGTTAATACTGCTGAAAAGGGTGGAGAGGTGGACAAGTCACAATTCCGAGAAGTTTGTTCTCAAGCAACTGCACTTCTTTTGTCAAACCTGGTAAGTTTTTCTAAACAAGAACCAAGGGGATTTTCTTAGTTTCTTACGTAGGTGGAGTGAAGGAGCACATGGTCGTGATATCTACCAGCTACTACGTTCTGTAAATTATAATCTCTCTTATTTTTGTACCAGGGTGGTGAGTCGAAAACAAATGTGGAAGGCTTTTCTCAGTTATTGCGTCTCCTTTGTTGGTGTCCAGCATATATATCTACTCCAGATGCGATGGAAACTGGAATTTTCATTTGGACCTGGTTGGTTTCTGCTGCTCCTCAACTAGTATCTCTTGTCCTTGCCGAACTTGTTGATGCATGGATATGGACAATTGATACAAAGCGAGGACTCTTTGCATCTGATGTGCGGTATTCTGGCCCAGCTGCAAAGCTAAGGCCTCATCTTGCCCCTGGGGAACCAGAAGATCAACCTGAAAGTGACCCTGTTGATCAAATAGTAGCTCACAGACTGTGGCTTGGTTTTTTGATAGATCGTTTTGAGGTAAGGATTTATTCTCTCTACTTTTCCAAATACAAACCGAACCCTTGTAGGTGTGCCGCATTTCTGCTTTGTCATTGCTTACGACGGTCTAGAGTATATTATTAGTGCTGAGTTTTTTTATGATCGTAGTTGAATCAGTGTCAGTGTATCATTGTTCTGTAGAGGACCTTTGGTCACAAAATTGCAGTCTCAAAATAATTTAGCTTCACTTTGGAATTTGCGTACTGATCATTAAGCGCAAATAAGGTGTATTTGAGTGAGTTTCTTATCACTGCAATACCTCTGTAGGTTGTTCGACATAATAGTGCGGAGCAACTGTTGCTGCTAGGTCGGATGTTGCAACGTAGTACAGACCTTGATTGGTGCTTTACTCGCCACCCTGCAGCTGCTGGTACCTTTTTTTCTCTGATGCTCCTTGGACTGAAGTTCTGCTCATGCCAAACACAAGGCAATATGCAGAAATTTAAGTCTGGACTTCAGCTGTTGGAAGATAGAATTTACAGGTGACTTTTGACTGATTTCCCTTGTTCTTTGTTGCACCATACACTTTGTTACACTTTTTTATGGACGTCTCTCAGCCCGCATCTATTATTTGGTGGCACGCATTTGTTTTTTTCTTGACAATATGCTAGTGTTCATACAGGCCCTCTTAGTGTTTTATCAGCTGTAGGATTTAACATGAGTTGCCTTTGCATAACATCGAACTGTCTGGACTAGTGTCGGGTATATTAATAGTTATATCTTAGGCTAAAAGCAAACTGGAAGGAGCTATAATTAAGGTTTGTATTAATCTTAGGCATCTAACATCGCATTTCCGATAGCTTTCAAATTACATAAGTAACGTTGGTTAGGTCCATTTTACTAACTCTTATGTACCTTTGTTTTATTTGTGTGCACGTCAATAAAAAAATTGTTTTTTCCACTTGTTCCAGGACATCTTTAGGCTGGTTTGCCCATCAGCCAGAGTGGTATGATGTAAATATTCCGAACTTTTGTCAAAGCGAGGCTCTATCTGTTTCAGTTTTTGTTCACTTTTTATCGAACGAGCTATCAGATTTAAGTCAATCTGATTCGAAAGGAAAACCTCGTGAAAGTGGGAACTTAATTGATGTGGTAAGATGACTATCTGCGACCTTTTCTTCTTTCACCTGGTACATCGTTTGTTTGCAAACTACAATATTGATATGGCCTGCATGTCTACAGACTGATCAGTACCATCCTGTTTGGGGTGAGATGGACAACTACACTGTAGGAAAGGAAAAAAGGAAGCAGTTGCTTTTAATGCTCTGCCAGCATGAAGCTGACAGGCTTGACGTTTGGGCACAACCTATTAGCTCAAAGTAAAAACTTGCTTTCGTTTTCTGACGCTTTCACTTCTCATTAGTTAACTTTGACTTACACTTGTGATATTTATTATGTACAGGGATAGTCCATACTCGCGGCTGAAAATAAGCACTGAGAAATGGACCGAATATGCTAAAACGGCCTTTTCAGTAGACCCTCGCATTGCTTTATCAGTCGCCTCAAGATTTCCTGCAAATGCTGCTGTGAAATCTGAAGTCACTCAGCTGGTTCAGGTATAACTTTGCAGAGGCTGCATCCGTTAAGACTGTAGAAAGACAGATTTTATAAAACTTTGTAGTTTAGTATTAAGTTCAGAAAAAGTTTGCCGTGGAACTTTTAGTTGAATAATCTATCAAAGAACCAAAATCTATGTTGAGAATCAGATTGATATGGTTGTGCATGCTCTGGACATCTTGGCATATAAAATAGAACTTAATGTCATGGTTATAATTCTGTTTATTATTTGACTGATGCAAAAGAGCTTTCTAACGAAGAGTCTTTCTTGCAGACACATATTGTAAATCTTCGTACAATTCCTGAGGCATTGCCGTATTTTGTTACACCCAAAAATGTTGAAGAGAACTCAGTGCTGTTGCAACAGCTACCACACTGGGCTGCTTGTTCAATTACACAGGCTCTTGAGTTCCTCACTCCTGCTTATAAAGGACATCCACGTGTCATGGCATATGTCCTAAGAGTTTTAGAGTCTTACCCTCCTGAGCGAGTTACTTTCTTCATGCCGCAGTTGGTGCAGTCTTTGCGATATGATGACGGGGTAAGGCTTATCATGATATATTTTATGCCACTTTAATCTCTCTCTTTAATCTATTTGGGGGCTAAACTATTTTAATGATTTAATTCGGCTTATGCTCAATAAATTTAGCGAAGGCACACCTTGATATGTGAAACTCATCTAGCTTTTACTATTGGAATATCAGCCTCACATTTTTCAAAAACCGTATCTAATCTTGTTGTTGGTAGCTAGGCCCTCCATTTGCTTGAAATTTTCTCGTCGCAGCTTTTTTATTCAGACGCTAGGAAAATTACACTTCTACTGGAAGTGGATATTGCAAGATGTGTTACTTGAGTTATATCCTTTTTCCTGGTTCCTAAGGTGTTCAACAATTTGTTTTTTTTTTTATGAATGCAGAGGCTGGTTGAAGGGTATCTTCTTAGAGCTACCCAGAGAAGCGACATATTTGCCCATATTCTCATTTGGCATTTGCAGGTAAGTTTAAATTAGTGGACTTTGCAAGATCTTAGTTTTGCCTGAAATATATACGGGGATTTGATTTGCTAATTTTCAAGTTCTATTTCTTATAATGCCAGGGTGAGTCTGTTCAGGAAACACCCAAGGAAGCAGCGAAGGATGGTTCTATTGATAAGGTTTGCCCACTACTATCCTTCTCTGCTTACATTTCATTGGTGTTAGCTTCTCTGTGGAGTCTACAGCTTACTACTGTTTGTTTAAAAGAGTATCTATGTGGGCTAACGATTTTTCACAACATTAAATCATTGCCACCAGTTTTTCCTGATGTACAAATTGAGCTCACCTTTTGTTTTTTTTTCTGTCATATATCAGAATGCAGCATTCCAAGAAATTTTGCCGGAGGTTCGGCAGCATATCATCGATGGATTCACTCCCAGTGCCTTGGACATGTTCAATAGGGAGTTTGCCTTCTTTGACGAGGTTACATCTATCTCCGGGGTGCTATTTCCTCTCCCAAAGGAAGAACGCAGAGCCGGTATCCGGAGGTAGAAATTTAATTTTATTAAACCGTATCATCGTATGGATGGATCTGCGTGTGGTAGATACAAGGTTAACCTTAACACTTATTTTATGGCAGGGAGTTAGAGAAAATTGGAATGCAGGGAGATGACCTTTATTTACCAACTGCTCCTAGCAAGCTTGTCAGGGGTATCCGGGTTGACAGTGGAATACCATTACAATCAGCTGCCAAAGTCCCTATCATGATTACTTTTAACGTTGTGGATCGTGATGGTGACCACAATGACGTAAAACCACAGGCTTGCATTTTCAAGGTAAGCCTTTGCATGCTTTTTCATACAATTTTTCTAAGTTTTTAGATCGACTGTATTTGCCAGTACAGAAACAATATAAATCAATTCTCCTGTTATGCTCTTCCACTTGTTTAAGTGAACATAGTTAGACAAACAGCCAGTGGTTTATAGACATTCATATAATGCATCAGTTGGTGTTGACGATGAGTCTGATGATTCTTTCTTGTATTCAGGTTGGAGATGATTGCCGGCAAGATGTTCTTGCCCTTCAAGTGATATCTCTTCTTAGAGACATATTTCAAGCGGTTGGTCTCAATCTTTATCTTTTTCCATATGGAGTACTCCCAACTGGTGCGGAGAGGGGCATAATTGAGGTAAACTCTCAGTCTAAAATGTTCAAGTCTTAAACCTGTTTCCCTGGTGCATCAAATAAGGCTCATACGTTTTTTCATACCTCTTCTCTTTCGTTTAATTACAGGTTGTGCCTAATACACGAAGCAGAAGTCAAATGGGTGAAACAACCGACGGGGGTCTGTATGAGATTTTTCAACAAGACTATGGACCCGTCGGCTCAACCACGTTTGAGACAGCACGAGAGAACTTCCTCATCAGCAGTGCCGGTTATGCTGTAGCTAGTCTTTTACTCCAGCCTAAAGACAGACACAATGGAAATCTCCTCTTCGACGAGTATGTTTCCTATTTTGCACTTTCCTCTCGTGCTTTTCACTTGGTGCAATGAGAAAAAAAATTAATCACGACACTCATATTATGTGTTATGGTAACGCAGCGTGGGAAGACTTGTCCACATCGACTTTGGTTTCATTTTGGAAACTTCGCCTGGTGGGAACATGCGGTTCGAGAGTGCTCATTTCAAACTGAGCCACGAAATGACTCAGTTGCTAGATCCCTCAGGTGTAATGAAGAGCAAAACATGGCATCAATTCGTGAGGTAATTTTCAGTAACTCTCTCAAATCCTCTTTTCGCCTTAACAAAAAAATTCTGGTTCTGACTTCTGAGAGATGATTCTATAATCTTTCTGCATAAAAAATAGCTTGTGCGTCAAAGGATACTTAGCTGCTCGTCGGTACATGGACGGAATCATAAGCACGGTGCAGATGATGCTAGACAGTGGATTGCCATGCTTTAGCAGAGGAGATCCAATTGGTAACCTCAGGAAAAGATTTCACCCAGAGATGAGCGAACGCGAAGCTGCACATTTCATGATTCATGTATGTACCGATGCCTATAACAAGTGGACTACTGCTGGATACGACTTGATTCAGTATCTGCAACAAGGCATCGAGAAGTAAATGATCCCAAATCAGAGTCATTACATAATTTGCAGGTAAAATTCATTTTCGTATATTTGTTTGCTAGATTTGTTTTTCTTCTCTCTTCTCGATTGGTGCTTTGTTTCGGATTTATGTTGCCAAATGTAGTTATTTTGAGAGGAACTTGAGATTTTTAGGGTTTTGCTATGCGCAAAGTAAAAAGAAACAAAAGAGAAAAAGGTAGGAAGTGTTGTGGTGTGGGGATTTTTGATAACTTGAGGTGCAATCTATTATGATATATATGATCTTTGATATTTCTTCTTAGCCACGTCAACAAATTGTTTGTTGGGTTTACACGTATACAACTGAAGCTTCCACCTAATAAATAAACACATTTTTACTAGACGATTCAAATGGACGCATGTCTTTCTCACACAAAGATTGTTGGATCCAAAATTACAATAGACTGTAATAAAGAAAGGAGTAACGGAGTGAAAATTTGATGGGTTAAAAAGACGATTTTGAAAGTGATTGCAGTAGAAGTGTATGATTCTCCTTGACGACATTTGAATTCTTCTTAGCTCCATATTTTCCTCAGTTGTTTGAACCAACATAACATCACATCATCATATTTCAGTCCAGTTTTAATTTTGTGTATCGTTTTACAAGTTTCTATCAGCCTGGATCCAATCAAAACAAATTTTCGTTACTAAAAACCATTTATATTCTCTTAATTAATAATCATCTAACATTGTCATACATACCCAAATTATAGGAAAGTATCTTATTTATTTACAAATTTGGAAAGAAGTTATCAGTTTTTCTTAATTAAAAGGGATATTGTTTTCCTATTTTGTCTTTTTACTGCATTTGTTTATTATTATTTTTTCAAAGTGGAAATTACAAATGGAAAATTTTCACAGTGAATCCCATCAAATTAAGAAACAAATCTTTCAATGGTTATTTAAGGCTTGGTGGCTCAATCAGATAAATTATACATTTGAACATTAAGGATTATTGTGAGATACAAGGAACTATTATTAATGATCAGAGGAAGCAAATCTAATTTACAGTAAAATATCTACATATATTTTTCCAATTATATCATAGTTTTGAAATTGTTCTCTTTTTTTAAAACCACATATCTTCTATATATTGTTTGGTTTAGGTTCGTTTACCCTATAAATACAAAGCGTAGTATGTCACATTTCACACAATTTCTCATAAACAAAACAAAAATATAAAACAAAAGCATAAAAATATAAAATTAAGAAAATGTCTGCAAAACAGATCTTCGAGAAGTTCAACAAGAACAAAAACGGTAAACTCTCATTAGACGAGTTTCGTGAAGCAGTTCTCGCTTTCTGTAGCATTCCTGATGAAGAAATCGCTAAACTGTTCAAGGAGATTGACGTGGACGGTGATGGCGAGCTCGGGGCTGAGGAGTTTACTACGTGCGTTGATAAAATGTTGAAGGAAGCGTTTGCTTTTTGTGATAACGATGGTGACGGAAAGATAACGACCGATGAGTTCTACGGGGCCATGATTGCGCTCGGAAAAGATTGCACCGAAGAGAAATGTGCCGAGATATTTCGATCCGTCGATGCAGATGGTGATGGTCGTCTGAGTTTTGAAGAGTTTATGACTATGATAATTGGCGACTTGTAAGAAATGAGTAGTAAAGGGTGTTTGCTTGAATAACGATTAGTCAGGCATAATAATGTTTTATTGTCAATTTGTTATCGGTTAATAAGAGGTTTCTCGACCGTTCTTTTATCTGTAGAAATATGTGTTCAAGTGCATGTTGTTGAATGTTGCATATGCCAAAATACTATGGGTCATTAGCATGATTGATCTAAAGATTACTGAAATCTAAAATAATATAAAACTTTGTTGTCTTCTTTCTTTTTCGTCTATTTCTATCAATATTATTAGCTCTACAGAATAAATACAATTACAGTATTCCAAAGATTATTTAAAATATCAAATTAACTCATATTTACCAAATATTATACAATTTGTATGATGCTTTTATCAAATCTATCTAAATGAATAAATGATATTCCAAATATTTTATTATTTTTCGATGAGTTACTAAAATGATGAAAAGTATAATAGCATAAAAGCATTCATACAAAATTTGTTCATCATCTTAAGAAAATATTCCAACAAATTTGGATATAATATTCAATGAGAAAAAAGACAAATCCCGTTATTTAAGATATAATTAACCCATTAAACCTAAAATATTTATAACACAGTATAATTTACTTAATTATGTGTCCGGACGAGACGAGTAAAGTTTGACCATTTCGACGACAGAGACAAAACACTACCAGTAAACTAGTAAGAGGATTCGAAGTGAGATTCGAAGAAAGATGAGGAAAATCGCAGAGAGAGATGATGTCTCTGACGGCTCGTCAATGGAGCCTGTCATAATCGGTGCGCTAATTTTGGATGTTCACGCTAAGCCTTCAACCTCACCAATCTCAGGAACCACCGTCCCTGGCCAGGTTTCATCACAATTTGCATCTTTTTTCTTCTCAATTTTGGTTCTAAGTCTCTGATTTGTCAAACTTTCGCTTGAATTCTGGAGTGAGAGACCAATCATTGTGTATATCTCTTCTACAAGTCATTTTCTTCCAATCATGTTTGCAATTGGATTTTAAAAAAAATCAATAATTACGGATCTCGCTACTTGCGTCCCTCTGAATTACCTGAAAGCTTGACTAGTTAAAGATCTCTTCAAAGTTCAAACCAACACTGAGACAATTGTTATGTGTTGACTTAATATTAGGCTCTTATCTTTGGGGTTTTATAGGTCTTGTTTGCACCTGGTGGTGTAGCAAGAAATGTAGCTGAGTGCATCTTCAAGCTTGGAATTAGACCTTTTATGATTGGTACTTTGGGGCTTGATGGTCCAGGTTTGTTTGTTTATCGATACTATTTTCTTTCTTTCTTCAATGAACGTTTCTTGGGAGCTTAATACGTTCTTGTTTATTGATAACACAGCCAATGTACTATTGAAAGAGTGGAAGCTCTCCATGAAAGGTTAAGACTTTTTCTGCAACTGCTCTAAATTCTTGCGGTTTCTTTACGAAAGGATCAGTTTTGTGCTATAAAGTTAGAAAATTGATGCAAGATTCAGTTGAAAAGTCTGTCCTTTTTACTTGTCTATGACTATGAGACATCAGTTTTAAGAGATTTTATTGTATGTTGAATGTAAACAAACTTGGTTTGGTTGAATGATTATGTAGGAATCTTGAGACGTGAAGACATTAGTACTCCCATTGTATCGCTTGTATATGACATTAATGGAGAAGTTTCTGCTGGTGTTGCTGGTGTGGATGCAGTCGTACGTATCTTTTAACTTTCGTATCGTCTAATTTGATTTTAGTTCTATTTTTCTTAACATTGTTTCCTTGAGCAGGAGAAGTTTTTGACACCAGAGTGGATCCAGCGGTTTGAAGACAAGATAAGCTCTGCTCCGGTTCTTATGGTAGATGCAAACCTCAGCACTCTTGCTTTGGAAGCATCTTGCAAATGTAAAATGCTTATAGTTTCTTCTCGGTGAATCATATGTTTTGTCTGTCTTCTTCTTTAACGTTTTTTCTTCTTGAAGTGGCTGCAGAGTTCAATGTTCCTGTATGGTTTGAGCCAGTCTCAGTCACAAAGTCTCGGAGAATCGCCTCAATCGCCAAGTATGTGAGTGTTATGTCTCCATTATACTCATTGAAAGTCTGATTCTTTTTCTTTCTCTGTGTTAACGGATTCAGGTTTTTGTTTGCTAAATAGGTAACAATAGTGTCACCAAACCAAGACGAACTCATAGCAATGGCAAACACTCTCTGCGCCAAGAATTTGTTCCATCCCCTTAAACCAGAAGAGAATAAGCTTTCACCTGAAGATATATTCCACTTGCTAAAGCCAGCCATTTGTGTTCTTCTTGAAAATGGCATCAAAGTAGTTATCGTAACCCTCGGCTCCAATGGAGCTCTCTTGTGCTCCAAGGGAAGCCCCAAGAAGGCTCTGAACATAAACCGTAAGTTTCAGGGAAGTGCAGAGATCTTTCAAAGGGTACAATCTGTATGTTCACCGAACCGGTTTTCTGAATCAAGATTGAGTCTTTTCGCGATGCATTTCCCAACGGTGCCAGCCAAAGTCAAGAAGCTCACTGGTGCAGGGGATTGTCTGGTAGGCGGTACAGTCGCGTCCCTGAGCGATGGTTTGGATCTGATTCAGAGTTTAGCGGTTGGCATTGCCACGGCTAAAGCAGCGGTTGAGTCAGATGATAATGTGCCTCCTGAGTTCAAGTTGGATCTTGTTTCTGGTAATTAACTAATAACCGTTATGTTGTGTTGTGTTGTTTGCCAATATGAATTTATAGAGTCTGGATTATGGTTTAAGTTTCGGTTAGCTAACTTATATATTGGTTGTGATTCACAGATGATGCAGAGTTGGTTTACAATGGAGCCAAGATGTTGCTGGTTCATCAGTCAATGCTGTGAAGAAGAAACTTTGTTGGTATTTTTTGCCAGAATGGTCTTAGGCATTTAGCTTATAGTAATTGTGTCTTATGTACAATACCAAAACCATACTCTCAAACTTCCAATATGTTCCTTACTCTCACACATGGAAACACTATTGAAGTACAAACTACTCAAGTTCTTCGTTTCCTGATACCAAAACCAAAAAAAATAATTTAATCCTCTGTTTTTCTTTTTCTCTTTAATTACTGAGTTTTTCTCTTTCATAACAAAAATAACATTTCATTCTGTAAAACGGATTAATGACTTTGAACTTTTGTAATTGATATTTTCCCAAGATGAATCAAAATTAGCTTTAACCGGTTTAGACTCTACAACACTTGACCAGGCATAAAAAATTTATACTAAAATACTGTTGGGCCCACTCGAAAGTGGGACCCTCCAAAAATAGGCGTATGCCACTTGGCGTGGAGAGCACACGGTATTCTTTAGTAAAAGGCGAAAGAATAGTTCGCTTTGTGCTCACCACATGGCTGCGTGGTTTGAGATGAGGAGCCGAGGCCTTCTTTTATACGCATCTCTCGCTGGTGAAAATCTCACTTCTTCCCGATGTGGGACTTTTAATCAACTTCTTGTTTTATTTTAAAACGAATTCGTTTTCACTTTCTGACTGAAATGGACCGAGCAAACTGTCTTTGGGTCCAACAAACATTATGGGCTCAAATTGGGTTAATTGGAAAACTTCATGATTTGTTTATGTAGCCGAGAGAGGATGTTTGGAGAAACGAATGCAAGACTGGATACGACAATTAACAACACTACTTGTGATCAAGAGTGGATGCTCTCTGCAAGTATCTGACACAGCAAAGCCAAACACTTTTTTATTAATAAAAAACTTTAAGTTCGAGATAATTCTTGTGCTTCATTATAGTTTGGTGGCTGTTATAGTAAGATGAGAGAAATAGCTAGAGACAAATGAAATAGTTGACTATAATATTAGTCTTGTTCAAAAAAGGACATTGCGAATCATGAAACTAACTAATAATCTCTCTATCTATTCATTTTCCTTATTGTCTGGCAGCTGCACTAAGCTTGGATAATATGAAGAGCACACAAGTGGGCAAAGATATATGCCATGTTTCCCGAGATGCGGAGCTTCTCCGATATTCACAGCTTTGAAGTATCCGTCTTGTCCGAAGACGTAAGCGGTCTGGTAACGACATGTCTCCGGCGTCCATTCATACCCGTCTACATCGAAAACAACGGCCGCTTTCTTCTCCTCGTCGATGAAGAAACTCCCAGCTTCAACGTCAAACTCCAAACCATTGAGCGGTCTTATATCCACTTTCAGAAACATGCTCCACGACACCGCACCGGGCTCGATCTTAGTGGTAACCCAAATCTCCATTGTCTCGGATAAATGGCGCTGATCTAACACAAGACAAACTCACGGTTTCTTCCACGTAAGAGTGAAAAGGCAGAGGCAGACGTGGACCAAATCTCTCTCTCGTAAAATCAAAACACACTAAGAAATCTTCAATCTCTGTTATCATCTCTTTAAATCCATATCCCTCCACTTTAAGTTTCTCTTTTGCGAAAAAGTAAGTATTTCCCTTCACGGACACGCCGCGTTGATAATATGGTACATAAAAATCGGGAGTGACATCAAGAACTCTCCATGAATTGGAGTTAAAATTGAAGATTTCGAACCCGAAAGGTTCATATGCTTGAATGACTTCTACGTTGTAGCTAAAAGTATCTAAAAACCTCAAGATTTTGTGGTTACGGTTGTTGTCATAACCGAGAGCATACATGTCTTGTCTGTAGAGATTTTTTCTGCTTTGGACATACCTCGTTTTCCCCAAATAGGGATTCCACACCAAGAGCCTCGAGTTTTCGTCTTTGATGATGCATAGCAACAAACCGTCGCACTGAAAGACTTTAGATATCTCGACTTTATCAAATATACTCACTTGCTTTATAGATAATATATCAACAGAGTCTCCATCCTCTCGGATTCCTTGGAGGTCAAGTCTCAAGGAACAAACCCTAGAATCCATCATGAACCCCATAAACTGATGCCCTGGTTTACCAAAGAGCCAACTTTTAGATAAAGCATTCCACTCTTTGCAAGTAGATCGCACTCTTGTTAGAGACGTCATCGGAACTCTCGAGAGTATTTCCGCTTTCGAATCACTCGTAAGATCGGACATAGTCGTCGTCATTGTATTTAGGTTTGAAATAGCAAAAACAAACAAAGGTTTTGAGATGCCCAATCATGCATACATGTATATATATACGTTACGTACCTAGGTTTCCTTTTTCTATTTTCTTTTGATAGAAAATTTGTGTGGATAAGTCTTAATCAGATGAGGAAAAAAAAGAAAAACTAGTGCACGATGGGTATATATTTATAGAATTAGAGTACAAAATATTTTGTAAACCAGACAGTAATATTTGAAGGGTACCACTGTTTTCACAACGATAGCAATAGCATGGTTGATTTAGAGATTACTGAAATCTAAAATAATATTAAAATCTAGTGGAAGCCCCTTAGAGCATGTGTAATGCAAGGTGCTAATGGGGGTGCTTAAAATATATTTTATCATTAAAATTGTGTTAAGCACTCTGTTAAGAGTTCTCTGTTTTTTTTGCTCCAATGGGAAGATCTTATAGGGGTGCTTAAGACAAAAAAAGCATCAAGAATCACAGAAAAATGTTTATACATCCATTCTTGCTTGGTCCCAAAAATGTAAACTGGTCCTGCAATGTGGTACAATTAATGTCTTGGCAAGAGCCTGCAACCATGAAGCTCAACAATCGGATTACTATATGTCACAGCTTCTGCAGAATCCAACTCACCTTTAAAGCGAAAGTTCTCAATGAAGTTGACATTATGTACACTTTTACAAGCTTGTATATGATCATATCAGATGGTATCTTTAGCTCATGCGAGCCAACCAATCAACCATGGATGATGACCTGAGGAAAAAGTTACATGATCGATTCTTCACATCGTACAGACTACCTCCTGTAACTAAGCATCGGCCATAGGCATCCACAAGCTGTTTATTGCTTCTCGCATACAAGAGATGAGGATAGAGAATACAGAGTTGATAGCTCTGTCACACTCTCCTGAAATTAACGAAAATGGAGAAGAAGAATCAACTACATATCCACCATGATACACGACTTTAATCCAAAAACTATATCTACCAGATTCTCGAGCTGTATCACTACGACACAAGTTGTGGAAGCAAGAAATGATCAACATATCATGATTCCAGAACCCATTAGAGAGATCAAGATGAGATGATTATACTTACACAAAGAAGCAAGATAAGATCGAATGCAAGAACAGAAAGACAAACCTTTAATCTTCTCCAAAGCTTTTTCAAGTCTCTCACAACTCACAAGATAGAGCTTCTCCTCTGCCCAGCTGATTGCACTTGGCTAGAAACTCCTTATAACGCATGTCACAAAATGTAAGAACGCTTTGTGTCAGAGACTTCCCAAAGTAAAAGAGAAAAAAAAAGGCCATATACAATCACCCCTCAACTTCTTGACCATCTAGTTCCTTATGTAGTTTCGTATTTCAGTTTAATAAGGTGTTGTAAGTGACAACTGAGCGAACTAAATACTTTTCTATGCACAAGTAAATGGATGAAGTAAGGTAAATCGACTAGGTCTTCGAGAGCACCTTAATTGATGATCAGCCATAATGTAATCGCAATCTCCACCCAAATTATCGACTCATACATTTTCTCCGATGGTAAATTGGTTTGATTAATCATAAAAATTAACAACTAATGGGTAATTTGTACAAAGAATCGGTATCTCCACCACACAGCTCATTTCTCAATTTGAAATCCAACAAAAACTGAATAAAAAAGGAGAAAAACTCACGGAAAATCTTTCTGGATTGGTTCAGATTGAAATCTGAACAAGGGGAGAAGAGAGAAGATGGAGCTCCGACGGAAGAGACGAAGAAGAAGAATCGAGTTTGGTGGATCGGAGAATGGAATTGGAAGTGAGAGAGGACGCCATGATCAGGATCAAAGCTTGAACGCGAGCGAGATTCTTCTCATTTTCACCCAACGAATCGTGACATGCCACGTGGCACTAAGCTGCGACGCTTGTTACGCTTAAATAAGCGTCGGATTCTCGGTTTTAATTTAGTTTCCATTTAATTTTGAGCTAAGCGCTGCATTAAGCGCTTACCGTTAAACGTGCTCTTAGCCAGGCAAAAAGATTTATACTTAAATACTGTTGGGCCCACTCGAAAGTGGGACCCTCCAAAAATAGGCGTATGCCACTTAGCATGGAGAGCACACGGTATTCTTTAGTAAAAGGCGAAAGAATAGTTCGCTTTGTGCTCACCACATGGCTGCGTGGTTTGGAACGTTGAGCTGAGGCCTTACTTTATACGCATCTCTCGCTGGTGAAACTCTCTCTTGTTTCCGATGTGGGACTTTGAATCAACTTCTTCTTAAACGCTATCGTTTCCACTTTCTGACTGAAATAGACCAAGCGAATAAACCGGAAATTAGTTATTGACGCGGGTTAATGTGAAACCGGTTCGGATCAATTATCTCATCTTCTACAAAAAAAACACAAGATAACAGAATTGCCACCAAAGCAACACTTCGAATTTCGCGAGAAGCAAAATGATGAAAAGAAAGAAGAAACAGATATCGTTGTATACGGTTTTGATAACCTACGGTTAAGTGCAAGATTGAGATTTGATTGGACTATTAACTGTCTTTGGGCCCAACAAACGTTATGGGCTCAAATTGGGTCCATTGGAAAACTTGATGGTTTGTTGTTTATGTAGCCAGAGGTTTGGAGAAACGAATGCAAGATTGTGAACAACACTACTTGTGATCAAGACTGGATGCTCTCTGCAAGAATCTGACACTGTAAAACCAAACACTTAAAAAAAAAAAAAAAAACTTAAGTTCGTGATAATTCATGTGCTTCATTATAGTTTATAATGAAGGTGGTTGTTACTTGTTAGATGATAAATAGCTAGCTACAAATGAAATAGTTGACTATAGTATTAGTCTTGTTCAAAAGGACATTGCCGATGAAACTAACTAAGAATTGCTATTTCTTCTTTTTCCTTATTTTCTGGTTGGTCGATTTGTAGTTGTAGTTGAATAGTAGCAAGCACACAAGACACACAAGAAAGCTAACGATTACAAGCACACACAAGACAACAAACAAGTAGCAAATCGATTCTGTGTTTCATTCTTTTCTCTTTTTTTTTTTGTAAAAGTTCTGTGTTTCATTCTTCACATCTCATTCTTCTAAAAATACTCAACCACTGCTCTTTCTCTCGGCATATATATTACCATCCTCACAGCGAAACATGCATCGTGTAAGTCTCCTTATTCACCGGATGGGACATAAATAATTCAGAGCCGTGCCTACCGTTGTGTGGAAGAGGCATTGGCCTACGGCCCCAAATTGTTGAAAAAAACTTAGAATATATTTTATATTCTTTTGGTTTTAGTGTATTTAAAAAGCCTAATATATGTTTAGTTTTAAGTTTATTTAAAAAGTCCAATACATGTGAGGTTTATCTTATATTACAAATTGACAACACAACAATAATATAAAAATGAAATTTAAAATAAAAAAACGTAGAAGAGAAATAAACTAAAACCGATTTAGGGATTAGAAAACTTAGGGTAAACACAGTTTTCAGAATTTAATTTGTTTTCTATTGCTGTGAGCTTTTCTTATTTGTTAGCGTATATTTGCCCTTCTTTTATCGATTCAACTTTTCTGTTGTTATTTAGTTCTTAAATCTTAATCGTCCTTATTACAGTTTTGTTCACAAATCATAATAGTGTTGTTTAGAGAAGTTGATTGTGAAAAGTTGGTTGATGATTTTGTTGGAAAGAAAGGAAGAAGAATCATGTTTGAACTATTTTGTGTTTAATTCTTTATTTTGTTTTGTTGTATACATTTTTTTTTCTTTTCACTTCTGTTATTGCAGACATTTTTATTTTTCATAAGGGTTGGAATTTTATTTTTATGGCCTACGGCATCTAATTATCTTGGCACAGCTCTGAGTTTATTAAAACAACTAATATTAAATGATCAGACATAGTCGTCATTGTTTTTAGGTTTGAGAAAAGCAAAAACAAACAAGGTTTTTGAGATGACCCAATCATGCACATATTTACGTACTTAGTTTACGCACAAACAGAGCGCTTTTTCAAATGCATAACGCCCTGCTCATAAAACCACAACGGCCAGGTATTTATAGGATGGATTGCGATTTGAACGTCGACGCAAACCACTGGTCAGTTGCATCTCTAAGTGGACACGTCTGATGATGCAAATGGGCAGAACAGGTTCAACATAAGGACTGGATTTTCACCTGTTTTTATACTTGTTGGTGGTCTTCAAATCCAGGTTCAGCAAAAGGCTCGTGAGACAGGTGGTCAGGGCTAGAGGACGCTACGGGATGGTCATCTTTTCGCACTTAAGGATCATAGCAGAGAACTAAGACTTCAATCTCTTATCTCTCTATAGATTCTGAAGACTATCGTCCATCTTTGCTTTTTGCTTGTGAGACTTTTTAGTTTTCCTTTCAAAACACTATGAATGCTTGTGTAAGTTTTACTCATAGCTGTGCCTGAGATATTCCTGATCTCATTCAAAAAAAAAAAAAAAAAATTGGAAAAAATAAAAATCTCATTATAATCTCATTTTTTTCTTACATAAGAAAAAAAATCTCTAAGCTTTCCAAATAAAAATCTGGTTGGGAAAAAACATCATTGAAATTGAAACCTAACAGTTACATACCTACGAACATGAAAGGGAACATGAAAACCAAACAAGAATCTCTAAGCTTTCCAAAATCCAATTTCTAATTCTCCTCAATAATTCAATCTCTTGTGAGTTTGCTTTTAGGCGTATTTTCAATTTTTGGTTTTGTTTTTAATTAATTTTTAAACAATATTATGGGCCTTGAAAAGTTAGAGAAAACTGAGACCATTCCAAAGAATTGTTGGAATTGGCTCAGGCCCGGGCCTGGTTTTACTTACGATGATGCATCTTAAGTTTTTACCCAGTATTGTGCCGTATTCAAATGAAGAAAGAGGATTGCATTTGCCATAATCCCTGAAACCACAAACAAACCATTTCAGAAATAACATTAGATTTCGTTAATATTTCTAGTATTTGTGTTTCATTTGTCAAGTTTGACAGAATGTTGAGTATCATCAGAGACTAAGTAAACAAATTTCATTCAATTCAGAACCATGCAAAGTGGAGGCCAAAACGATTTTGCAGAACATGATATAGCATCCTATAAACCTCATACAAGAATTAGAGAAAATCAATCTTCATTTCATGTCTTAACTGGATTAATTTCTATGTAATGGTTGATCAGTCTAGTGTAATTCACTATCCACGCAGTTTACCATACAGATTGGAGCAATAACGAGTAAACATGTTGAGTAAAGAGAAAAGATCACATACTATGAAATTGCGGTAGCCACCCAAGATAGATGCAAAAAACTTTAAGAATATAACCCTGCCAGAGGAAATGGATTTTGTATAACATAACAAGAGAACATGAGTACAAAAAGTAAAAATTCCAAGGAAAAAGATAAAAATCAAATTCAGGGTAACTTATGACGAAAGTTCCCTAAAGTAGTTGAAGATCATGTGACTGTTAAGACTTTTAGGGCATTGCTCAACAGAATTACCAAAGCCCTTTAACTGATCGATCGCCACAACATTAGGGTGCACTAGTGATTTGGTTAGATCCAAGATCCACCACTACAACCTAAACCAATATCAGGTTGTCTAAATACTAAAGAGGATAAGGGTGAGTTAGAATTAAACTCACGCCATCCATAGCAAGATAGGATGCATCGACTGGGATCTCACCAGTCTTCTAAGACATACCTTCCATCGGAAAGGATAAATCAAGTGGCAATATGGCTTCAGACACCAGCGTCAAAAGCGTCGTATCTCCACAAACATGCAATTAACTTTCATCATGAAGACAATGATAAGATATCCGAGAAACGAAAGCATTACATAACATAACTTGAAACACAAGTCAGACATCTGCCTGAGGAGATAACCTACTCAAAAGGTCCTCACCACCGAGAGCAAGCAATTCTCGACAGCAACAAGACTCGTTGGCATTGGCACATTAGCTACCATGTAGGAGATATTATCCCACAACGGTTTACTGAAAAGGTTCAAAAACGCATACCATTAAGATCAAGTTTAAACGTAAGAATTTTCATTGCTTTGTAGAGAAACGTTTTACAAAAGTAAATGAAAAGGCATGTCCACCGAATATAATGATGTAAATAAGCAGTGACGAAAGCAAATTCAGAGTTATATAGATCTAAAATAAGAGGACGCTTTATTGAACAAGTTGTCTGCGTTATGTATTAAGATAATCAGCAACGGATCACCCACTACAGTTGAAGCAAGCAAATCAACATACGCAGAAAGAACACACTACAATCAAAAAGTTAAAGAAGCTGTAACATGAAAATCCTCACGAGTTTAATATATACAAATAGTCTCACTCTCACCCAACAGAAGAAAACAAACTCTAAAAAACTTAACATTTCCCTCAAACAGATGATTCATTTCCACCATTATGATCAACCATCTCCTGAGATGGACTAGCATTCAGCTAGTTAGACTTGCAAGAAACGAGTGTAAAATCACAAGCCTTTCTTTCCTTTTGCGCGGGTTGTTGAGCTTGATTTGCACTAAACTTGGGAGATAAGAAGACGAGCACACAATTGGGGGACAATACATTTTCCAGGTAGAAAATCTTCCAGTATAGATATTGGGAGCTTCTCCGAGAAGCACAGGCTTGAAGTATCCATCTTGTCCGAAGACAAAAGCTGTGTGGTAGCTAGGCTGGTTATCCTTGTTACTAAACTCCATTACATCGAAAACCACAGCGACTTTCTCTTGCTCGTCAATGAAGAAGCTCGGATGCTTGTGAAGCTGACCAACACCAAGTCTAGCTTGTGGTCTCATATCGAAAGTCAAAAACTTGGTCCATGACACGTCCTCGGGATCAATCCTAGTCGTAACCCAAACGTCCAGTTCCTCACGTATCTCCTCCTCACCACCATGCTGAAACAGCACAGCGAGCTGTTCTTCTCTAACACAAGAGAGACTCACAATCTCTCCTAATGGAGGTAAAGTGTGAAACGGAAGAGGCAGACGCGGTCCCATCTTCTCTCTTGTAAAATCAAAACAGAGTAGGAAATCATCACAATCTAGTACTCTACCAAAGCCACGGCTATACACTGAACTTCTTGAGCTTCGAAAAGTTGGATCAAAAAAGTCGCGTCCTATCTTCTCCTGAGCAAAGAAATAAGTATCTCCCTTCAGAGACACGCCGCGGTGACCAGATGCCACCTCCCAGTCGGGTCTGACCTCAACAAGCCTCCACGAGTTAGAGCCAAAGTCGTAGAATTCAAACGCGAAAAGGTGCTCCTTCCCTTCCTGATAGTCCAAATACCTCAAGATCTTGTGGTTACGGGTCTTCTTGTCGAATCCGAGAGCATACACGTCCCTTTTGTGGAAACTCTTTCTTGGTTCGATCGTCCTTGTTTGCCCTAAGTAAGGGTTCCACGCCACCAGCCTCGAGTTGTCCTTGGCCACGCATAGCAACAAGCCTTCACACTGATACACTTTAGAGATTTCCACTTGATTAAGTATATCCACCTGCTTAACAGATACATCAACCGCCTCCTCTCCCTCTTGCGCTTCCTCTTGCTCTTGCTCTCCGTCCTTGCTGCGGAGATTGAATCTCAGTGAACAAACCTTGGAATCCATGGTCATGAACCCTAGAAACTGCTGCGTCCTTGATGCTGCTTCTTTACCCAGAATCCAATCTTTCGATAGACCGTCCCATAGTTTGCAAGTGGACCGCACTTGTCCCAGAGATGTTATCGGAACCTTGGTCAGTATCTTCTCCCCAACCAGTTTCGATGGAAGATCGCACATCCTCGTCCTCATTCTTCCCGTATTCAATATAAATTAATTAGGGCCTCCTCCTCCCCTCTCTAATACTTATACACACCAAATAACTAAAATATGTCAAATATGGATAATCATGTAGAGCATCCAAATCGGTGGGTTCTACGAATTAAATTTTAATTACTTAAGAGTGAAGATATACGTACCTAGGTTTCCTTTTCTTTCTTTCCTTGTTTGTGGATAACTTGTATTAACGTCCCTTCCGATAAAGAAAAAAAAACTTGCAACGGATATTTAGGTTTTTGTTCTAATAGGTAACAATAGTGTAACCAAACCAAGACGAACACATAGCAATGGCAAACACTCAAGGATGTACTCTGCTAGCTAAAGCCAGCCATTTGTGTTCTTCTGTAAATGGCATTAAAGTAGTTATTGTAACCTTCGGATCCAATGGAGCTCTCTTATGCTCCAAGGAAACCCCAAGAAGGTCACTGCTGTCAGAGGATTGTCTAGTAGGTGGTACAGTCGCATCGCTGGGCGATGGGTTAAATATAATCCTGACTTTAGCGGGTTGGCATTGCCTCGGCTAAAGCAACGGTTGAGTCAGATGATATAATGTGCCTCATGACGACATGTTGGATCTTGTTTCTGGTAACTATTAGTCTATTAGTTATGGCTTATGAGTCAATATGAATTAGAGTTTTGGTTTCAAAGTTGGTCAACTCACATGTATATATTGATATTATATACCTCAAGAGATTTTTGGCCGTCAACGTAAGTCCCCGTCACCATAACCAAACAACCACCAACCTCAAATTACAAAATCTAACAAGGTTTTGGTAATAAATATATATTTAATGATTAACCGGCTTTGATTATTTGTAAAGGGTTTTATCACAAACAAAATCAGTTAACTTGAGCCGGATTAGAGATTTTGAGATTCCAACGAGTCAAAAATTTAAACTGAATACTGTTGGGCCCACTCGAAAGTGGGACCCTCCAAAAATAGGCGTATGCCACTTAGCGTGGAGAGCACACGGTATTCTTTAGTAAAAGGCGAAAGAATAGTTCGCTTTGTGCTCACCACATGGCTGCGTGGTTTGGAACGTTGAGCTGAGGCCTTGTTTTATACGCATCTCTCGCTGAAAATCTCTCTTCTTTCCGATGTGGGACTTTTAATCAACTTCTTGTTTTACTCTTAAACGCTATCGTTTTTCCTTTTTCCTTTTTTGATTTTTCTACTTTTCTAATTGAAATGGACCGAACGAATAAACCTGGAATTGGTTACTGAACCGGTTTTTAATGTGAAACCGGTTTGGATCTATTATCTCATCTTCTTCAAAAACACAAGATAACAGAATTGCCACCAAAGCTTCCATTTTATCCCCCACACACAAAACTCAGCAGAAGACTGAGGAATGAGGAGGAGATAGATAGAGCAAATCAAACTTTCCCAAATTCGATATGATAGTAACACTAAACCCTAAGATTCTCTATTTCTCCAAATTCAACCCACAATCTCCTCTTTCTCGTCCTTCTTCTTACTTCTGCAGAGCTCGAAATGTCTCTCTGATCACCAATTGCAAGCTTCAGAATCCTCAAGATGGGAAAACGATTGGGAATAAGAGCATCAGCAGCGGAAATCTTACGAAAACCATTTCGCTTTCCGATTCCGCGCCGCCGGTTGCGGAAGAGACCAACGGGAAGATTTCCGGCGATGGGGTTGGTACAGGTGGTAATGGTGGAGGAGGAGACGGTGGGTTATCGTTTCTGAAGAGGCTACGGAGAAAAGTTTTGTCCACTTTGTCTAATTTGCCTCTTGCTATCACAGAAATGTTCACCATTTCGGCTCTCATGGCTCTCGGTAAGTTCTAAAATTTTGATTTTCCTTTTGTAAAATTCGGTTGTTCTTGTTGCATTAGCATCAAAAATTTGATCAATTCTCGTCGTCGTCTCTGTAGGCACTGTGATTGAACAAGGTGAAACACCTGATTTCTATTTCCAAAAGTATCCAGAGGATAATCCTGTGCTAGGGTTCTTCACTTGGAGATGGATTGACACTCTTGGATTGGACCACATGTACTCTGCTCCTATTTTTCTTGGGATGTTGGCTCTCTTAGCAGCTTCACTTTTGGCATGCACTTATACCACTCAGATCCCTCTGGTTAAAGTTGCAAGGAGGTCAGTGTTTTTTCTTCCTTTTGTCCAGTTTTACAACTCCTAGTCAGTCACTTTACTAAGGGAAGAAATGGCTTGAACCATATTGCAGATGGAGTTTTATGAAGTCAGATGAGTCAATTAAAAAGCAGGATTTTTCAGATACTCTTCAAAGAGCATCTATTCAAGACTTGGGATTGATTTTGATGGGTGAAGGATATGAGGTTAGGCATTACTTTTCTCTCGTTTAGAGGTTATTGCTTTGATTGTCTTGGTCTAGTAGTAGTAATGTTTTCAGTTTGTTTGTTGTGCAGGTGTTTATGAAGGGTCCTTCATTGTATGCTTTTAGGGGTTTGGCTGGTAGATTTGCGCCAATCGGAGTACATATAGCAATGATTCTGATTATGGTTGGTGGAACACTTAGTGCGACAGGGAGCTTTAGAGGCTCGGTCACAGTTCCTCAAGGGCTCAATTTTGTCATGGGAGATGTCTTAGGTCCGGTTGGGTTTTTCTCATTTCCAACGGATGCTTTCAACACCGAAGTTCATGTTAACCGATTCACCATGGATTATTATGATAGTGGAGAGGTGAGGTTTTTTGTTTAATCTCTCTGACTATGTCTTGTGACCATTCACAATGAAATTAGAACTCTTTGTTTGTAGGTCTCACAGTTTCACTCTGATCTTTCACTGCGTGACCTTAATGGGAAGGAGGTTCTGAGAAAGACAATTAGCGTTAATGATCCGATGAGATACGGTGGGGTCACTATATACCAGACAGATTGGAGTTTCTCAGCTTTGCAGGTGACGAAAGATGGTGAAGGACCATTCAACTTGGCTATGGCACCTATTAAGATCAATGGAGACAAGAAGTTATATGGGACCTTCTTACCAGTTGGTGATACTAATGCTCCCAATGTCAAAGGAATGTAAGAACCACTCTTTTTCCAATTAAGCCAACGAAAGTACAAGAGAAGGAACATTTTGGTGTCTTTGTTTAACTTTACTCTTTTTTGCAGATCTATGCTAGCTCGGGATCTACAGTCCATTGTTGTGTACGATTTGGAAGGGAAGTTTGCAGGAATAAGGAGACCGAACTCGAAGCTTCCGATTGAAATCGATGGTATGAAGATCGTTATTGAGGATGCAATTGGAAGCACTGGTCTTGAGTTAAAGGTACAAAAACTTGTGAAAGTTTGTTGCTGACACAAAAAGAAGAAATTGGCTTTAAATCGAATGTATATAGGTAACATGTTTGTTCTTGGTTTTTGTTTCTCAGACTGATCCAGGAGTACCAGTTGTCTATGCTGGCTTTGGTGCTCTCATGCTCACAACCTGCATCAGTTACTTATCTCATTCACAGGTAAAAGCCACTCTCAAAATCAATATCAGTCAAAGTCTTGTTCATAGCTTAACTCTGTATTTAATTCTTTGAATTTAATCTCTTATGTATGTCTGAAACATGATCATATGTGTTAGATATGGGCACTACAAAACGGAACAACATTGGTTGTGGGAGGAAGAACCAACAGAGCCAAGAACACATTCCCTGATGACATGAACCGTTTGCTCGACCAAGTTCCTGAGCTAATCAAGAAGGCTTGAGTTGCCTCCGAGCATTCTTGATCAACTCTCTGATACATTCAAAGACAGAACCAATATAAGTTGTTCTTGTACAGAATTATGCAAAGAGAAAGGTATAGTTTCCAAGAATCACACTTGAGAACCGCAATTCTACAATGTTGCTGATCATATGGGAAGAAGAGAGAGGAGCTATAGAAACTGAAACTTGAGAATTGATATTTGCATGTAGATTTTGCTTAAAGTGACTGAGTTTCTACAACGTGAAGCTAGTATATAGATTATAGAGGGTGGGTGAATACTAAAGTACTGTAGTTATTTTCATGTTTGTCAAGTTACAAGATCTGTAATTCTGTATGTACATGTACATCTAAGAGCATCCACAGTGAAGAGCTCTCTCTATTTACAGTTGGGCTTGCGAGTCAGGTAAAACTAAGGCCCAATCTTACAAAATTCGATAGAAATCTGAAAAACCCTAATGAACACAACGAAAACATTTCCAATCTTCTTCTTCTCTACAAACACAGATTCTTCAAAACGAAGGGTTAAAGTTTTAATCCATCAGTCATTTTTCTCGTGTGATTGTGAATTTCTCTAATTTATTTTCGGGAATTTGGGTTTTAACCGGTGGGAAAAAAAGAAGGTTGAAAAATGAAGCCAGTGATCGGCACAGTGGTATCGAACAAGATGCAGAAATCGGTGGTCGTCGCCGTCGACAGACTCTTCCACAACAAGCTCTTCAATCGCTACGTCAAGCGCACTTCCAAGTTCATGGCTCACGACGAGAAAGACTCCTGTAACATCGGCGATCGAGTAATTAACTCTCTCTCTCGATTTCATTTCTTCTTTCTCCCTCAAATGTTGTTGACTGTGTAATCAACTCTTATCTGATACATTTCGGGGGAAAATAAAAATTCGAAATTGTTGATTATTCATGGAAACTTCTAATCTTATTGCATCTACATTTCGGTTTATAGCTAGCCAATGTTTTTGAGCTCAAGTCTCGACCAATTTAAGTAGACGTTGATTCTTCAGAAGTTTCTGACTGCTCTATTTAAGCTAAGAAAATTGAAAAAGGGAAGCTTTGGTTTTGGTTATTGTGCAGGTGAAATTAGATCCATCAAGGCCATTGAGCAAGAATAAGCACTGGGTTGTTGCAGAAATCATCAAGAAAGCTCGAATCTATTCTCCTCAAGCAGCAGCTGCTGCTGTTGCTGCTTCAACCACTTCCTCAGCCTCCATTGCTGACTCTGCTGCTCAGGTTCCTCCATCCTCCACTGCCTAAGGTGATTCATTAAGTCCTCTGCTACTGAAATTTCTTTACAAAAATATCTTCTTTGAGGTAACTTAAACGAGAATCAACTTGGAAGCACGTTTCTGTTGTCCTGATACTTTTCTTATAAGCCATTTGACAATTTGTGGATGTTAATGGGTCCTAAGATTATAAGGATTGTTGAATTACAACTATGCATCTTGTTGTTAGAAACTTAAACAGTCTAGCACTTTACTCTATGAAATCGAGAGTTTAGTACATTTATTTGTCTGTCTTCTCCAGTTTGGATTTGTACCTTCTTTTGTTTTACAACTTCTTTTTGAGGTTTGCTTGATCATCCCTTTTTCCTCTTGCTGCAGTTTTGTTAGGAGCCAACATGCACAGAGAAGGAAAATGTGCCTCTCAGATTCAGTGGATTTTCATCAGCTCCTAAGGAGACGGCATATACTGATCAACATATTCGATCAAATTCTTTATGCTTTACGGATGATGTCTGATATTTGGTTTCCTGAGATGGTTATGATAAATGTAGTGAAAGTTTAATGAATAGCACTGTTAGTAAAAAGTCTCACTTGGTGAGCTTTAAATGTATGTCAATTTGGCAAAACGTCTGCCTTCGAGCATGAAACAATGAATGAGCGAAAGCTGATGTACCAATAACATGCATTACTCCTCAAATAGTCAAATGTCTGTTATTTTTGGTTAAGATACCTGTATAAAAGGTTTCATAATCTATCAGGATACAAAGATTTGAGTTTCTATACACAGTTTTGTGTTTGCTACCTATCTATGTTTATGTGAGAGACGGAAGTAACCAGAGATTGAAGAGAGAAGAAGAAAGAGACAAGAACCAAGTCAAGAAAGCTAATGTTGCTGCAAATTGATATCTGTTACAGATCGTTGGTGGACATGAGGATTCGTCTGATCGCAAAAGATCTACAACACCAGCTGCTGATGAAGCTGAGGCCAACGCTAGAACCGACAACACCTGCAAAACAAAAATGCACAATTCGGATTAAAAAAAAAACTTTGTGCCTTTCCTCAGCAAGCATTAGATATATTTAAGTGCCTTACCCAATCACCAATAGAGATAGCGAGAAGGATTCGTGGCTTTTGAATTGGCTGCTTGAGAAGAACGCAATAGATATCTACCATTGCTAATGTCAGATTCCACGGTATAGCTAAAGACATGATCGTCACCAAGTAGCTGCAGGTTTGTTTATAAAGACTATTAATAGGGCTCACAACACCAGCTGCTGATGAAGCTGAGGCCAACGCTAGAACCGACAACACCTGCAAAACAAAAATGCACAATTCGGATTAAAAAAAAAACTTTGTGCCTTTCCTCAGCAAGCATTAGATATATTTAAGTGCCTTACCCAATCACCAATAGAGATAGCGAGAAGGATTCGTGGCTTTTGAATTGGCTGCTTGAGAAGAACGCAATAGATATCTACCATTGCTAATGTCAGATTCCACGGTATAGCTAAAGACATGATCGTCACCAAGTAGCTGCAGGTTTGTTTATAAAGACTATTAATAGGGCTCATAACAGAATAATAAAAGAATCTGGAATCAGGAGTAATTACCAGAAAGCAGTGAATTGGTAGAAGCGAACACCGATGGTCATGAAGAGAAGAGCCCCAAATGCAAACAGTGTCTGCCCTAATCTCAAGGAGATGCTTGCACTTGTCCCCACAGAGCCAGGAACCTCCACCATCACCAGCTTTGCTTGTGTATCACGTTAGTGAGCTGCTTAATCTAAAACTGGAAAAAGATTGAAACTTTTGACATGGGTCTGGCAAAAACTTGTGGAATTTTCAATTAATACATCTGGGTTTTCGTTTTTGTTCTTTTCTGGTGAGATCAAAGAGATGATGATCATGATTCATGATCATGACGAAGAAGAGGGAAGAAGAAATAAAAGAAGGACAAGTTGATAGAGTTTCTGGTTCGCACGTTGTGTGTGAAAGAGTTACGAATGGTGGAAAAGAGAAGACTGTTCATGTTATAAGAGTTGTGGTCTGTATTCATCAGACAAAGCAGAGCAAATGTCGGGGCAAACAGTTATGCAAACACACTATTATTCCTTCCTTCCTCGTTCATTTCATTTTCCATTAATACAAAAAGTCGATTGCTTTCTACAAATTATAAAATTATATTCCGTATTTTTACTGATATTTTATTCTTTTTCTTTTTTGTCGGCAATTGTATTTTATTCAGGGATGCAAATAAACTCTAGAGAAAGAGTATTAACCCAACACTGTGTTAGAGAAAGAGAGAAGAGCTTTTATTAGTTTCATTACCAAATCAAAATGTGATAATTTAAACGAACCAGATAAGCAAGTCGTTTGTGGATGGCCTAAGGTGATTCACGAAGACGAAACACGTGATTGATCATAATACTCTTTCCAATAAATCAGAAGAAACTGAAGGAGAAGAAAATATAAGCCGTAAAAAGAAGAAGAAAGGCAACGAGAGAACATAAAAACAAAGCAAACAATAAAACTTGATCACTATAACTTCAAGTCTCACAATTCGGTTATTCTTCCAATTACTAAGAAGATTTGCAAAAACAAACAAAACGTCTTCCATGGCCTCAATACTCCATCTAGTTTCACCTCTTCAACACTGCACGAAGATAAAAGAATATGGCAGCAACTTTAGCAAACATAAGACGCATTTAAAAATTTGAATATCGGAACCTTTCATTACACATTCTCTAATTACTACTTTCTAAATTCATAACACAGTTTTGTTCTATCATATCGAAAGTAAAGGTCAAACAATCTTTAGAACTTAATATCGATAAGCTGAAGTATATCATGCTTTTATGATTGTGAACATTCTCATGGACAAGCTTTTAAAATCTAGTTTAAGAACAGATGAGAGACCATGATGACCCACAAAAGATGCAACATCCAAAAAAGACTTGAAATTTCCAGTTTCTAATTCTGATCTAGCTCAAGTAAGAACCAAAACTCGATCCCTAGACCATTAGCTCAAACAGGATTCATTCGATCAAAATTTCAATTGTAATTCAGTGGCAAATCTTACTAATCTCGTTAACCGATAATTCGTACATCAATTCGGTAATTTCAAAATCAGAATCTTCCAAATTTGATTGAAATCGGAGGATCGAATTTTCCGAACCTGAAAATCGAGAGTGAATTGAGTCTCTTAGAACTCGATCTTGAGCTCATCCTTGGAATCGGAGAAATACGAGAGGACGTAAGGAGCGGCACGGATAACGACAACCCAGCTTCCAAACAGAGTCAAGTGGGTCCGTAGCTGCTTCAGAGCCACGGCTTTATCTGGCTTTTTGAACATTCCTGGAAACATGGCTGCTTTGCTTCGACTATCTTCTTCTTCTTCTTCTTCTTCCTCTTCTCCTCTGGTGTATGTGTGTGTGCTTCTCTAAAACCCTAACCCTCGATTTGATTTTGCCAACAGGTAGTTTAGAGATGGACCGACTTGTGGATCTGGGCCGTAAACCGAGCCTTTCGAAACCCAATCTGCGCTACCTTATTTAGCTCCGGTTTAGGTTCGATTTTTCTTGGTTTTCAGATTTGGTGGGTTTTCAAATTACAATTTGAGCATCGTATTGAATACATGTTGGTTTACGGAAAGAATTTTCAAAGTAATTGAGGTTTAAAATTGGTTTTTTGTTGGTCCGTTAGGGTTTGCTCGGGATATTGAAAAAATTTACTGAATTTTTCTTGACTAAAGTTTAAGATTCAATTATTTCCCTTTAATTGGTTAAACCGGAAGATATGATCTGTTATATATACAGTAGCTATTAACAGTTGGATGCATAACCATATTATTAAGAAACTTTATATTGAAAGTTATGATGGCATCAATCAATAATGAAACAAGAGCAAAGCACCATAAAACAAAAACCAATTAAAATCTATGAAAAACTAAAACCATCTAATGATTAATATGTTAAATAGGGATAGAGATAATGTAAATGGTTCACAGCATCACATAATGCAGCATGAACTGTTAAGGTTCTCGTCGCTAAAGTAGTTAGGTCCACCACCGTGGTGGTTCCACGGCGGCGGTGGCCCACCTCCCCAGTTCTCGTAAACCGGCCTTGAAGGATACCCGATTGGTTGGTTCGAGCTCGATCCATAGTAAGAACCGTGATAAGGGTCGTTGTACGCAACCGTGCCCATCATCGGCTCATGATACGCATGCGTCGCTACGGCTGTTGATGGTTTGGGCTTATCAGCATCTTTGGGCTTCTCAGCATCTTTGGGCTTATCAGCATCTTTGGGCTTCTCTGCTTCTTTCGGCTTCTCTGGTACTTTGGGCTTTTCGGCCTGAGATTTGGGCGGATCGGTCATATGGATTTTCTTTATGTATCCTTTGCCTTTGGAGCAGAGTTTATTCATTACTTTCTCAGGACTGCAACACACCACTTTGATCGTGACAGTGTTGTTTTTCTCATCGAACGTTTGGTCCCTTATTACTTCTGTTAACATTAACAAAGAAATTAGAAAAAAAGTATATATATTAGTTCGAATTTTTTAAACCAAATATTTCGATGAAAAACCAAAAAAAAAGAAACATATGTATATATGGAGAAAAAGAGAAAACTCACCTTGGAGGCTGCAAAGAGCTTTCTTGACTTTACAATAACTCTTGTGATCATCAAGTTGCGCCGTCTCCAATTTCATCCAAGTAACCTGTTTTACATGCACATATTAATACATTAGTATTGCGATTAGTAGCAAAGAGCTAAAGCTAATCATAATGCATCGGAAAATCTAATAGTGGCAGACTTTTTAGTTCGATAGCTTTGAAAAGAAGTTAGTGTCCGAAACTAAGAACACACAGAAACAAATTAAAAAGGAGAATAAAAGTATGGAGAAGAGAACATTACCTTCTCCTTTCCTACGCTCGTCATGGCTTTGGGTTGAAAGAGAGATAGAAGTTCAGTCTCAAAAAGCTGGCAAGAAAAAACGATTATCTGAATTAAACTAATTATATATGGAGTTTCAAGGAGGCTTAGAATGGAAAAAGAATTTGACTAATGTAGAGTTTCCTTTTCCGAAAAAAAAGAAACATACTAATGTGTATAATTTCCATTGCTACTATTCCATATTTACTCCAGACAATGTAAAGATTCCCCTTATTTAACGTCATATTATGAGAAAGTAAACTATTGTGAAGACTGAAGACAAACTTTTTAACATATCTGAATGCATGCATGTTTTTCCTTCATTCGATCTCATTGCAATTTGACCTCTGAAGCGATTCAGCTTCTTGGTGGACCCACCGATCTCTATTTTAGAATATTGGGCCGGAATCTATTCCTTACCACTTGTTATCTTTTACTGATAACATATTAACGGCCCTGATTAATTTGTGGTATAAAATGTCACATATGAGACATAGACATGCTACTATTGTAAAAATCCTGATTACGACAGTCATTGTGAGTCAACCTGAAAACTATTTAATTAAAAAAATACGTCATTTATTACATCCAATAACCATAACCAGATCACTTGCAAATTAATCAGTTATTTAAACAGTCTACGTTTGGTGTAATTACTCGCTGCTCTTTAGATTCTTTCACACCCACCAAATCTACTTGCATATATAACACATAGATACAGAAACATAAATTGAAATATAAAATTATAGAGGCAACAGACAAATAAAAAAGAGAGATAGGCTCCCCAATAAAGGCGCAATTAAAAATCGGTCAGAAATACACCAATTGTGAGACTCAAAATTTATTGCTCAACTACTTCCTCTACTCATAACTACAATCTCCAAACTTCACCACCGATACGCAGAGACTTTTATTAACCTCAAAACATTTGTTTATTTTTTTCAATCTTCAAATAGAGACACTCACACTCCTCATCTTCCTCATCCTCAATCCCAGTTTTTTTCTTCATCAACAGTGTATATTCGTCATTTTGTTAAAACAAATGGCTCCAGCTGCGGATCATGTAGTTATGGTGGAAGAAGGACGGCCAGCCACGGAGGAGTATCCATCGGCCGGACCGGTTTATCGATGTAAATACGCTAAAGATGGCCTCCTTGATCTCCCTACTGATCTTGATTGTCCTTGGCAGCTATTTAGGTATCGATCTTGATTCTTGAGACCCTTCACAATTTAAAAACTGGTTGGTCCAATGCTGATCAGTGTGTGCTAATTAATAGCAATTCTTGTATAATATATGTTTTTTGTTTAGTTATACAGACTTGTCTCACTTGACTCTTGTGTATTCTTATTTTAGTGAGGCTGTGAAGAAATATCCTAATGAGCAAATGTTAGGCCGACGCTTAACGACTGATTCCAAGGTACACATCATTTCTTTTTGAACTCTATTCATATCGTTTTAATTTATACGAGAGTACTTATGATTAATGTGTATATAGGTCGGTCCATACACATGGATCACATATAAGGAAGCCCACGATGCTGCAATTCGGATTGGATCAGCAATCAGAAGCCAAGGCGTTGATCCGGTACGATCCCTTTGTTAATGTTTTGAACCAAAATCATGTATATATATGATCAATTGAAAGTCATTGGCTAAGAAATGCGTTTTTGTGGGATAGGGAAACTGTTGTGGAATATACGGATCTAATTGTCCTGAATGGATTATTGCGATGGAGGTAAAACGAAAATTTTGGATTAGAAAGCAGGGTCTAATTTTTTTTTTCATTTTATATCATAAAGTTTTCTAAATGTGTCTGTATTGCAGGCCTGCATGAGCCAAGGGATAACCTACGTACCTCTATACGATACTTTAGGTATATTTTTACTAGAACTAATCTTAGAATCAGACTTGTCTTATGATGGTCTTGTGGTCATGATTGATCTAATAAAACCCTAATCCGAGGTTGGATTTTGATGATACAGGCGTCAACGCTGTAGAATTCATCATCAACCACGCCGAGGTTGCGCTAGTATTCGTTCAAGAAAAGTCACTTTCATCCGTAAGTCATTTTCTCTATCGAAATCAGTCATAATACTATTAGTTTCATTTTACGTTTCTTGTCCTGCAAGAAATATGTTTTTGTTTGTTTTTTTCTTCTTATTTATGCTTGAAAGCTTCTGTGCAGGTCTTAGCATCCCATAAGGGATGTTCTTCGAATTTGAAGAGTAAGTTACATATTATTTCTTTTAAATCAATGGTTCGATGCATATTTTGATATTATATGACTTTTCGAACTGACTAATTCTCTGTTCTTTGGATTTTTTTGTTTGTTTGTTTCAGCTATTGTGAGCTTCGGGGAATTCTCAGCCACACAAAAGGAAGAAGCTAAGGAACAATGTGTTTCTTTATTTTCATGGCATGAGTTCTCACTAAAGGTCAGTGTTATAAGTCATAACTAAAAGAAAAAGACATCGATCTTCCATAATTGGCAAAGATTTTGACTTATCTTGTCGGTCTTAATATGTTGTGTGATCTTTTCTATTCAGGGAAACTTGGATGCGACAGAACTGCCACGTAAGCAAAAGACAGACATATGCACAATAATGTACACAAGTGGGACGACCGGAGAACCAAAAGGTGTAATCTTAAACAACGCAGCGATGATGGTCGAAGTTTTATCCATTGATAAAATGCTTCAAGTCACCGATCGATCGGTAATTTCTTTATTTTATTTATGCCATGTTCGTTTTCTTGCCGCTACTCGCTAGTATCAATTACAATCAATGGCAGTGACGACGAACAATATCTTTTATAACCATTAGTCATCAACAAGTAATAATTAACAGCGAACGAGTAATGTTTGTTTTGTAATCGGTTGGTTCAACAACGCACGACAAATTGACAATTATCGAAAGGCTGAAAACATTTCGTCGTTATAAATATGGAGTAACAATTTGTCACTGAAATGTGTTGGTGAACCCATCGATTACAAATTAAACAAGATTTAATAGCTGAAATTTGTTGGTGTACTAACTTCTATACAAAACAGACCAAAGCTTTAGTAGGGTTTTCATATTGAGCCGATCCATAATTAACTAGTTGACAATTGATAATTTATGTTTTCATTTGTAATGTGTTGTAGTGTGACACGACAGATGTGTTCTTCTCGTACTTGCCACTAGCACATGTGTATGATCAAGTCATGGAGATTTACTTTCTCTCCAGTGGCTCTTCTGTTGGATATTGGCGTGGGGTAAGCAAATTTTTCCTTTAAATTTTCAACCCCCTTTATTTTCTTCTTTTCATACATAATGCTCAATGAACATTTTTTGGTTATCTTAATTTGTGACAGGACATTCGGTACATGATGGATGATGTTCATGCACTTAAACCAACTGTGTTTTGCGGTGTTCCACGAGTCTACGATAAAATCTACGCTGGTAATAGCCTGATCGAGTTGCAAATTCGAATTGTCTCTGCTCTTTGTTGGGTTTTCTTGAAACATTATTTTTGTGGGATGTAGGTGTAATGCAAAAAATATCAGCCGGTGGCTTGCTACGCAAGAAAATCTTCGATTTCGCTTACAACTAGTGAGTTTTCTTTGTTTCTCAAAATTAAATCAACCGGATTTCGGAATACCAGAATATTTTATGATCATCATCTTGTGATTACAGTAAATTGGGGAATATGAGAAACGGATTGTCACAAGAAGAAGCTTCTCCTCGTCTAGACAGACTTATGTTCGACAAGGTCAGTACCGTGTTATACATATATTAAAATAAAATAAAATTTCATTAGGATATTTTGGATTAGAAAAAATGTATGGATTTATAATTGAGGATTTGAAATTGTGACAGTTAAAAGAAGCATTAGGAGGAAGAGCTCATATGTTGTTATCAGGTGCAGCGCCTCTACCTCGTCATGTAGAAGAGTTCTTGAGAATCATTCCTGCCTCTAATCTCTCTCAGGGTTACGGTAAGTCTACATAAACCGATCATCTCGTATATTACTTGTTAATGTCTTAATTAGTTAGGGCTAAACCGAATGAAATGTGACAGGATTGACTGAGAGCTGTGGAGGGAGCTTTACGACCTTAGCCGGAGTATTTTCAATGGTGGGGACAGTTGGTGTACCGATGCCGGCCGTGGAGGCAAGGCTAGTGTCGGTACCGGAGATGGGCTACGATGCATTTTCCGGCGATGTGGCAAGAGGAGAGATTTGTCTTAGAGGAAATTCAATGTTCTCTGGTTACCACAAAAGACAAGATCTAACTGATCAAGTCCTAATCGATGGATGGTTCCACACAGGTAAATTTGCTCTTTTAATGATTATTTTGAAAATTTACATTAAGGATGTGAACTCCAGAAATCAGTCTATAGTTTCAGCTTGTAATAAAAATTTGACTTTATTCATGTGTGTAGGAGATATTGGGGAATGGCAAGAAGATGGATCTTTGAAGATTATCGATAGGAAAAAGAACATCTTCAAGTTGTCTCAAGGTGAATATGTTGCTGTCGAAAATCTCGAGAACACTTACTCTAGATGCCCTCTAATTGCTCAGGTATGTATTCATTATAAGAAGATATTTTCAAATGAAAATTTCTGAATGCTATAAGTATAGTAATTGTTGTCAAAAAAATTACAATATCTACCAATAATTTGACAGGTATGGATCTATGGAAACAGCTTCGAGTCGTTTTTGGTAGGAGTAGTTGTACCTGAGAGAAAAGCTATTGAAGATTGGGCTAAACTCAATAACCAATCCTCTCCCAATGATTTTGAATCTCTATGTGAAAACCTCAAAGCTAAAAAATACTTCTTGGACGAGCTTAACTCTACTGCAAAGCAATACCAAGTACGTACACATTTTATTCATTAAACTGAAATGATTTTGTTGATATTAAGCAAAATGTGTTTCTTTTGTATTTGTAGCTAAGCAAAATATGTTTCTTTTGTATTTGTAGCTGAAAGGATTTGAAATGTTAAAAGCTGTTCATTTGGAACC